TTACATTTACCTTTTCATCCAAACTTTCGTAAATGGAACAATTTAATCACAATTACACTTTTCAATTTTTTAAACTTAAATATAATATTATTATGTTGTAGGTATTTTAAAATAATCTACTCGTTGAAGTCTCGTGCAGAAATTGTTGAAATAGATATTTACAACTTTTAAAATATAGCAGATTTTTAAGAAAAATATCGGTTTAGTTAAATGTTTCAAACTGACGTCACTTTACAATTTTTTCATAATTTGACTTATGTGAACTCAATTTAACATATTTTTCACCAGTTCTTGTAACTTTCTGCTCATTTTCACAGAAAACAATTTTCTAATCAAAGAACTTACTCTTTAGTAACATATCTCTTGTAAATTTTTGAAATTTGTACGCTTGTAGAAATTTTGGAAGAAAAACAGACAAAATTTTAGCATTGTTAGTAGGCAGGTATCAAATTCACCTCCTTTTTATACAATTTTTTTCATAATAATGCAAAAATAAATTAGTAAAATTCCTCTTAATTTGAGGCTATTTTTTTAATTGTCTGCTTTTCCAGAAAAATAATTTCCTACTCGGATGAGTTACAATTTTCTTCTGTATAAAATTTGAAAAAAATTGCAGATTTTAAAAACGTAGAAATATTAGAAATATCTCGAATTGACGCCACTTTGCATTTTTTAAGTAATTTTGTAATCTTTTTAAAAATTTAGATGTTCTATTCTTCATGTCGTGTGGAACACCAAATGATTTTCCTCGTCGAACTTTATTTTTTTTTTTAAATAATTCGAAATCACTTATACCAAATTCAGATAGTTGTCGTCGACAACTATCGAAAAAGACAGATCGACAACTTGTCGATCTGTCTTTTTTCATAAAAAATAAATTTCCTGCTGGAAGGAAACAGCATTTTACTCACTCTTGTATATTTTAAAACTGGCGAATTTTATTTAAAAACAGGATAATATTTAGTAAATAACATGTCTCCAATCGACGCCACTTCGCAATTTTGTCATAATTTAAAAAGTCAATTATTCAATTTAGATGTATCTTGTTCATCCGCAGAACATAAAATAAATTTTTTTTTGGTGGAAGGAAGCTAATTCATAAAATTTCTCGTATACAAATATAAATTCACCAAATTTTTAAAGATGTTTTTTTTAGAAATGTTCGGCTTTAAATTTGAATAAAAAACGGAACGTCTCAAATTGACGTCACTTTATTTTTTTTTTAATAATTCGAAATCACTGAACAAAATTCAGATAGTTGTACTAAAGCTGAATTCCGTGAATTAAGTATACACAAAATAAATAGACACCCTTGATCTGAGGAGATTTTCAAAAATTTTGGAACTAATTTTCCTCCAAAATATTTGTAAAAGATTGTAATACTACAAAATTAACAATGTTACCAAGGACTGCGTGAATTGCCGCATCATTTCTCAAACCCAAATTAACATAGTATGCTCCAAGAATCTGTAAACCTTAATTGCGAACTAAATTTATCCATAATTTTGCAGATGGAGTATGACAAATATTTTTTATTGCGAATTTCAAATAAATTAAAATTGAATGTAATTATCATTTATTCAACTGAATGGGAACATTTTCACGAATTTTCACGAATTGGGCAGGTCATCATTAACTAACGAATAGTTTTTATATCCCGAGAGGAGACTTCCCTTGACAGCATCTGTAATCAGATCCGTTGGTGCAGCAAAATGTCGGTTGACAGCAAGCAAGGGATCCGGGCTAACAAGTTTGAATATAATGTTCAGATTAAAATTCAGGTTCGAAAAAACCCTAATTCTCTTCTTACCCCACAAGCATAGCAGGCGCCGATTTCGGGTGTTTCAGCTCGTTCAACCGGTACGTACGTGTCAGTACCACTGGCTTCAGAAATGGCCAAGGTGGCGATAATCGTGAGGAAGATGACGGTTGAGAATCTGTAAAATAATTTTAATTTTTGGGTTTACATTCCAAATCGTAGTTTGCGGAATACTAATGTTTTTACTCAACAATTTGGGCTATTTTAAAAAAGACGCCTCGATACCACTTTAAGAGTTAATGCGGGACAGGGAGGGACTCATGTCATGACTCATCACCAAAATGGTCAAAATCATCAAATTGTTAATCATTTCTGGGAATTTATTTTAACATTCGACAAATTTGAAATTTGTAGTCACTAAATGATTAATAGAATGGTGTTGAGTTTTTTAAGCCTGTTTCGACGAGTTCCAATTTTTCTGTAGGCTTCTTAAACTTGAAATTTTCTCCTTTAAAAACTATCAAAATCTGGAGTGTATCTATATTTTTAAAAAATTCTCAACGACCTGTTCTACAAATTTGTTGTCCATAATTAAAAAAAAATTACAGCGTCACGAAATTAAACAAAACAAAATAAAAATAATTTTTAAGCTTTTTAAGATTTTGATGAGAAATTCGCAACAGTGATATTTCGAAAATTATATTAAGGACACGACTTTTATTTGGGGACGATGTGCAATTTTGAAAAAAATACTTACTTCATGGTAATTTTTCTGGTTAATCTCGTAAAGGTCGCAAATATGATGTTTCTTGTATGGACGATATTTCTGATTGGGCTTTACCGTCTTTTTATACCCGACCTAATACCCACCCACTTCACCTAATAATTTTGGAGGTCAAATAAAGTGGTGTCAGTAGGTTTCCAGGTGTCTGATAAGACCTAATCCTTCAAGTATTTAGTTCTAAAAATAAAGTTTTCCTGATCCCGGAGAGAACAAAACATGATTCATATTTCATAATTAATATTGAGAAATCGGACCGTGACACTACAACAATGAGACTTGTCAAGGTCATTTTGATGGAACGACGACAAACAAATTAAGCCACTGACACCGAAATTCCGTGATAATTTTTCATATCGAAAATGAAATTTATGGACGGTGTCGTAATAGGTATTCCTGCATATGCTAATTGAATGACTGGAATACGTGTGTTATAAAACTAAATCATCAAAATCACCTCATTTTTAGCCACTTCTCTCTCTGCTCTGGGAATTTATTTTAAAATTTTGAACGAAAAATTTTGTTGTCAGGTTGTTGCCAGTTTTCTGAAATTATAAACTCCAGATTTTGACATTTTTTGAAGGACAATCTCAAATTTAAAAAAAATTGGAACTCATCGAAACTGGCTGAAACAACTCGCCGACAGTTTATTAATCAATTACCTGAGTACAAATTTCTGGTCTAGAATTTTCAAATAAGTTCCCAGAGCCGAAAAATGAAAATGTGTTGATTTTTGACGAATTTGGTAATGAGTCATCGAGTCAGATATGAATAATGAGTTGGTTTCCACTTTCCACTAGGTTTATGATAACATCTAATCAATCATCAAGCATTTTGTATAACAAGTTTAGTTTCAAAGGTAACATTTTCCTTGTTTTGAAATGTTTTATCGAACATAATACCATTCACCAATTTCCACAAAAATTGTGAAATTGATAATTCTCTCCGGAGAATTATTTTCTGGAAGTTTTTGAACTCAATTGAATTTTAAGATTCATGAAATTTCTAGGAAGTTGGTAATTAAGATAACAGTATTTTAAACAAGATCAAGGAAATTGAAGACAAGATTTCTAAGTTGAAGGATAAGTTCATGACGTGTGACGAGGACATCATGTTCTTCATAGTTTATGCTGTACTGCATTTGAAATTATACTTATTCTGATGTAAATTGCGCTAGAACTATTATGCAGAATATGCATAATGCAACAAAAGAGGTTCCTTTTTTGTGATGAAAGTTTAATCCCTAAAGCTCTGGAAAGCTAGAAAAACGAACTACGTATAGTTAATAAAGTAAACACATCTGAGAAAAAAGTATATCGATAGCACCACGGACTTTTAGTTTTCTCACAAAACCTTGAAAACTCGGCACTAAAAAAGGAACGAAATTATTACACATTCGTAATATGTCTTTGAGTACATGCTTACAGTTAAATATACATTTACAATAAAAAGTTAGATTTTCATATAAATTAGTGCCTCGCGAAGCCATAGACAAACACGGTGTATTTTAAGACTAATTGGTCCTTAGCAGGGCTCTCTAATTAATTAGTTGATTAATTAGCAATGCCTAACTAATTAATAATTACCAATTAAATTCAATGAGCACAGTCCTTGCTAATTAATATTACTCATTAATTAATTTTATCGAACAAATCAATTACTAATTAATTTTTTACCTCGTGTTTCTTATTAAAATCTCTATGTTTTTCTCAAAGGCAATCTTATGTCTGCTCTTAAAAATTTCTTTAAAATATACGATACCGTTTAGTCAACTTTTACAACATTTTTGCACTAAATCGTTTGATCTTTCAACATGCGTATTAAATAAAAGATATGTCTGATGCTTAATTTATAAATTTTAGAAGTACTTATGTATATATTTCTAAAATTTATAAATTCAAGTGATCCAACCAGGAAAAAACCTACAGAGACCCCCATACCAAATTATATGTGCAACGGAAACCAACAAAAGCCGAACGCACTTGAAGGAATCGAACCTTATATTTCCCAAAATTTCATTTCGTCGAACCTTAAAAATTAGTTTGAATAATTCAAACTAATTTTGCGATAGGAAAGGGCCTCTCCTATCTCACAATGTTAAAGTCCCCAGATGCCTCCACAGCTTCCGCCTCTACACTCTTAATAACTGGGTATTGATATGCGACTCCACTGCGCGTTGGTATTGAGTGGTAATACCATTTTGGTATTGAACTAATACTTGCTGGTAACGATTTAAATACTAACTGGTATTGGATTTATAACCACGCAGTATTAATCTAAATAATACTGATTTTGTGCAAATCCATAGCAACGCGGTAGAGTCACATATCAATACTGTGTTAATTGATTTTATCAGGAGTGTACACAGCTTCTATGGTTACCAAGTATCCAAGGAGCATTAAGACCTCTGAATTGTATGCATGTGCGATTTTTCTCAAATAATTCCTAAAAGATAAAGAATCTAGAAAACTCTAAATATTTATTCCAAATTTGTACATATCGAATGTAATATAAAATCCGTTCTGTAATAAGCCTCCTACGATATTACATAAATCCAAACTACGATCAAATTCTCATGCAAAACCTTAATGAGAAAAGATTTACAACCACATTAAAAAGTACACAATGTCAAAAACATAAATATTCATGTTTGTCTACTACATTATTAAATAACTCTAGTAAAATGAACTACTTAAGACTAATTTACACACTAAAAATAAATATAACACTTGTTTCCTCCTTCTCTCTTTCCACACCACATTCCCCATCTCATTGATAACTCCTCATCACCCCCTTATCTTCCCATCTCTCACGTGGATGTCCATATGCCTGGGAAAATAAATAAATATTAATAAATCCACCTTCCCCTTAGACATTTTAGAAAATCTCTATCAAAAATACACCCTAAAAACTCTTGTAACAATGAGTCCCCCAGGCCCAGCGTTGGTCTCGGAACTCCCCAAATTTCTCCATAAGGTGTGCTACACCCTGATTTTTGGGGTTGGCATGCACAAAAAACGTTATCAGAAATTTTTTTTAAATTAAATTAAAAAATTATTTTTTTTACAAATTTAAAATTTTCACCAGTAACGTTTTTTCTGCGTGCCAACCCCAAAAATCAGGGTGGAGCACACCTTATGGAGAAATTTGGGGAGTTCCGAGACCAACGCTGGGCCTGGAGTCCCCACTTGTCCTCTATATATGACTATACCGCATTGGTAATAAATTATTACCAATGCGATAACAATATTATTATTACTAATAATTAATATTGTAATCGACTGGTGGTAATTTATTACCCATAGGACTGCATATGCTTATGTCACCTTTCGTAACAATTTTATTACAACTTGGTAACAGTTTTATTACCATGTGGTATACAGAGGTCACATTTACATATCTAGAGTACATATGTACCTAGAGTACAAATGGTTGTTACCACAGTTTTTAGAGTATACCTATCTACTCCCCCTTACCGTTCCATATCTTTAAACCTCCCACAAACCTTGTCACACCCATGGAATCCGCAGTGGTACACTTTCACACCCTCCCTCTCAATCGCCCCCTTCTCCCAGACCACTTTGCACACGTTTATCTCATGGATTATCCGATTGCTCTGGTTCGACATCCGCTTCCCACACGCCGTGCAGGGGTACCCTCCCTTCCCATGGATAAGGTTCACATAATTCCGAAGGGTTACCTGGTTGCAGAAGGACTTTGGGCAGATGTGACATTTTATCTTGGACCGTCCCCGCCCGTGAACTTGGGAAATGTGCTGCTTCAGGAGACGCTTCGTCGTGTACACATTGTCGCACTGGGGACAGATTTCGACCGGAGGTGGGGAGCAAGACCGGTCGTCAAAATGTTGAATTGATCGTGACGGCCTGGAAGAGAGGGTTACATATTTATTAGCAACCTATATAAATACATACTTGAATAATGTAGTTACCAATCATATTATACGTACCATAATGATACTATCATTATTATAATAAATAATATATAAATGTAAAACTTACTGATAATATATTGCATTTATATATAATATACTTACTGATAATGTATTTTTTACTATTTTTTTTAATTACGAGTTAAATAAGCGGAGGACATGGCTGCCGGATTTTGAAAACAGTGCTTCGTTTTCTTATTGAGTCTAATTTTTTTGAAATTTTGCGAAAAGTCGAGCAAAACCTGACACCCACAAGCTTCGACCCTTTTATAAATCAATCACAGCTCAAAAGTTATGCATTGACTTGTTTGAAAATTATAAAAGTTAATATACTTATATAAATTTAATTTGACCTCCGTACCTAGCTTTTCCATTTTTTTGCAATTGACTCAAATATGAATAAACCCATTCCGCTGTTTTTTAATACATAGTAAAAAGAGGGAATTGTCCATCTTTTCCAAAAGTCGTCGTCTCTTAAAAGAACTCACTTACACTTCATAGTTTAACGCTCCCAACGAATTTCCAATTTGGCCAGAACTCGGCGCTTGTGGGGGAGGACCTCCAGAAAAATTTTGACTATATGCCAAACGATCATGCAGCATCGGGGGAAATGTGTCCAACCGTCCATGAAACATTGGCTGACCTCCCATCCTAATTAACCCACACCATTTTTAATCAATTTACAATTTTCTCAGATTTATTACCTTTCTGTTAAACCCTCTCTTCCTATATCCCAAGATTTATTGTGTATTCTAAAATGTTTTGTCAGCACTTTTCCAACTATCAGAGAAAAATAACACTTTACAAATTTGCTGATGGAATCACAAATACTTTCTAGAATTCAAAAGACACCATGTTTACCATGACTACTTCAAATTTCCACTAAATTTTAGAAATATTTACCTTGATATAATTGATACACAGGACAAACTACATATGTACAGCGCTGACACACAGTTTATGGAATTAATTAATTAATCCAACAGATTAACTCCAAACAATAATAATCTTCTCGTGTTACGACGACACGTAAACTCCAGCAATTATTAAAATCTTCAAACTAAAGTGGTCTTTTAAGACGATATATTTTTTAGTTTGCTCACATTAATATTTAAATAACAATGACAAATGCATTTATATCTGTAAAATATCATAAGTTTATTTGCAAAAACTTTGTATTTATTTTGTTTTGATTTTTACTGGTCTTTTTTTAAGCAGCTGCAGGTAGAAAGATTTGCCGGTGGTGCTGGTTACCAGGGCAACGGTTATACTCTGTGTGTGGATGTGGAGTAGGGGGATATGAAGAATCCAGCCATTTATGTAAATAAAGACAGGATGCCTATATACATACCATGCATTGTGGTTGAATAATGCGTTGAATAAGTTTGACTGGAATTTGCGTACATTTGCTCAAAATATGTGCGACACAAATCGTTTTTATAAAAATTAAGTTAGCTCACATTAAATATGTAGATAAATAAATGTTACGAAATCAGCATTGACAATGCCTAATGGTATTTTATTATAGTTTAATGCATTGTAAATAAAATATTGCAAATAACATGCTGCACAATTGTTTTTAGGATTTTAAATAATATGATTTTATTCTTCGACAATGTTAAAGTGTATATATGCATGGCCAATTAAATAAGCAACTATTAGCTTCATATGGTCTGTGCTAAATTAATAGGTCGTTTTCTTGAATTTTCTCCTGCGTACGGAACACTAATTCTTAACAGATATACAAGTCAAATTCGTATTTTTAGATTAATTATTCACTGATATTTAAAATCCAAATTGTTAATCCAAATTAGTAATGAATTTTGAACATTTCACCATAGCCAAAAGAAACGGCTTATTAATTTATTTAGAGTTTATTCAATTTAGTAAAGTAATATATTCGCAGAGTTATTAATTTATTAATAATTAATTTATTAATTTATTAATTTTGCACGGACCATAGTCTCAGGATTTTAAGCTTTTATCGTCCCCTTTGGTCATAATAACGTTTTAAAATCACTGCAAAAACAACGATGACTACAATGACCATAAATCCAATTACTGCGTTGGGGATGTCAGGTTCACAGAGTTCCACCTTCTTCTGCGAGTTATCCCAGTCCCTCACCGTGTAGTGGACCCTGGAGTTTGTGTCCGTGACCTGAGTGCAGTTGAGGTCGTCATACAAAATGGAACACGTATCTCCAGCCTTCCGTTTAATCGATCCTTTCGGCTCGGGCTCATAGCCAGGGAGGAAGATGGAATCAGAGTCATAGATATGGACACATTCATTTTCTGCAATGGAAAAGTTACAGCAATTAACAGGATCCTCTAATAAATAAAGGTTTTGATTTAAAATAAATATTTAGAAAATTCACCATCTGCCTGGGATTTATTGGCAAGCGTTGTTGCAATAGTTGACACGCAACAAATGGCAAGAATCTCAATTATGGTGGATTTGTTCATTTTTGTGTAAGGCTATATTTTTATTAGTGATTAACCTTATAAAAATTAGAACGAAATATTTACAACAATAATTATTTATTCAATTCGCCTCGTACTGTCTTCTGGATACTGTTGACTGAATGGCAGAGATATTGAATTTAAGAAAGAGTCATTGCGTAGTATGTATAATGATAAATCATTTTTCTTGCTGCTGCCATACCTATGTATAAATAAATATTCATATATACTTTTATTTGTGTAAGTAGGTATGTAGTATCAGTGCATAACGTCAATTCAAGCAAAAAAAAAATTCCTTGGTATTAATCCAACATAATTTATGTATGAATGAGTTATACAAGATGAATTCAAGTCGTACGTATTGAATATGGGATCTCATGCAATACACCGAAATCCATTATTGTCTATATGAACATTTTCCCCTCCACAATTTGCATGCAATTGAATCCACGCTGATTAATCAAGTCTGAAGATGGTGGTGGTTAAATTAGCATGTTTACATATGCTTACCAGACCAATATTAAGTATTGTTTACGTTCATATACTTATTTTTGATCAATTTGAGTGATTAATTTGAGTCAAAATTTGCAAAAAAAATTCGCACATTTTGGCATTTATCTCGAAAACTGGCTAAGCGCGCCCCCAATATTATTACGGATTATTGATCTACTCATTATTTCGCAAATTTTAAGCCATCAAACTCGAAAATCGTACGAAGATGAAAAATCACGATCTCATTGTATATATCTATCTTAACTAATATGGAAATTGAAATAATTTTGCAAAACTCAATAAATTGGAAAATTGGGGTCCGAAATCGAGGCAGTGGCTCTATTCTAGTCCAAAAATAATTTATCAAATTATTTTCAGTCATATTAAACCGAATTTGGACGAGTTTGAGACAAAAGTCAAAATTTGCAAAAATTAGCACATTTTGGCATTTATCTCGAAAACTGGCTAAGCGCGCCCCCAATATTATCACGGATTATTGATCTACTCATTATTACGCAAATTTTAAGCCATCAAACTCGAAAATCGTAGGAAGATGAAAAATCACGATCTCATTGTATATATCTATCTTAAAAATTGCAAATTTTTGCAAAGTACTTAAGGTTTTTAAATTCAAAATTGTACTATAGTTTTAAAAAATTCAAGTCAAACAAGATTTCTTTTCAAATTGAATATTTTATAAAATTGTTTGATTTGAAAACCGGATAAAATTATTTTGTCAAAGTTTAATATTAAAATTAATAATTAAATTATCAGATTTGGAATGGGGATCAAAGAAGTACAAACATTTCAAAGTTTTTTTAAAATTTTTAAAATCCATTTAAACTTAGAAAATTAAAAAAATGTATGTACCATTTAAACATTACTTCGCCTCTTGTAACCAAATTATTTATAAAATTAGAAAAACTTGATGTCCCAATTTCCTAAAAAAAATTCTTCAGCCTCGAAGTTTTGAGGCGAAAGTATTTAAATGATGACCGAAAATGGTTTCGTTTTTCGCCGCATTTTATTATTCCATTTTATCACGAATTACACAATCCTACATTAACCTTGAATGAAATATTCCCCATTTTTTCACGAAAATTCAGTCAGAAAACCGTCATAATTTCGTCCACATTAAAAAGTACAGAGTAATAAAACACAAAAATTTATTATATCGAAAATTTAAACACAGGTTGAAATCCCCGAGAAATTTTGAAGTAAAAAATGCCAATAATTTTTTATAAAAATGAAATAATTTAAATGTTTCCAAATGCAAGTTTTTGAATTATAAAGATATTTATGGAAATATTTTCGTAATGCCGAAACGAACCTACACGTTTTCTAACTTTTACAAATTTGAAAGCCCAAATCTATCTATTTTCTATATCCGAATAATACCTACAATAAATTCTTAATATGCATCAGTATCTCACAATTTTTAAGAATCGTACAAAATAATAAAAACCTTAACGAAATGAAAATCTATTAGTATGGAAATTTTATAAAAATGACAATAATTTCTAAAAAATAATTTCTACTACATAAATCAAAAATATCACGAATTACCTGAAATTACCATGTCGTTCAAACTTTCGTAATTACGCAACTCTTCGAAATCTGCAGTGGCATTTACAATACATAATTTTTAGGAAACACAAAAATTCGAAATTGAATTAAATGAATACTATAAGAATTAACTGGTATAGCTCATCAATAAAAATAAATTCCGTTTAAAAATGCATGAAATTAATCCAATTCCCTATTTCACAAAAAAATTTAATAAATATTAAACAGAACATGAACATTTTCCATAAAAACTAGTTCTACAAATTTTTGCACGAACAATATGCAGACAAATGTGTGCATTTAATGAACCAATTAAGTATTAAATGACATAAATAACCCATAATTTTGAGGAAACATGTAAAATAAAAAAATCATGAAAAAACTCAAAAATTTTGAGTAAAATAGTACTGTTTAATGGAACAGATTTTAATTACATAAAAAATAACAACAATTTCTCGAAAAGATAAACAAAATCGCATGCTTTTAACAATTACCAATTTATTCATGATCTAAATTGTTCAGTTCGTACCTCAGATTACACGAACCCAGGGTTCGGAAAACCCCGGGGTTTTTCTAGAAAAACCCAACCCTGGGGGTTTTTCCGGGGTTTTTGGGGTTTTTGTTTTTTGTGGGTTTTTTGTAGATTTTGGGGCAGGTTGAACCAAAAATTCCTAAAATCATATATTAGGGAAAAACTTATTTAATATACGAATTTATCATGCAATTTTAAGCGTTATCATTGACTTTGATTGTTAAATCGAAAATTCTTGTTTAGCATGTAAACCTGGAAATATACAACGATACTTGGAAATTCATGTCGCACATAAAAATTCTCAAAACTTCATGATGAATCCGACAATTTATTTAGGATTGATCTAAGTTGTAGTTTAAGGGATTTTGGTTCAATCTGCCTTAAAATCTTGCAAAAACCCCGCAAAAACCCACAAAAACCCGCAAAAACCCACAAAAACCCGCAAAAACCCACAAAAACCCGCAAAAACCCACAAAAACCCGCAAAAACCCCATTAAGCATTAGGGTTTTTTCGGAGATTTGATACCCCAAAAACCCACAAAAATCCCAAAAACCCCAACCCACAAAAACCCGGGGTGGCGAACCCTGCACGAACCTTTTAATTTGCATCAATAACTCCTTATTTTTACGAATATATTTTTTTGGAAATACAAAAAATAGGTAGGCCGGTGGCAGTCTGGATGGGTGATGTCTTCCGTTCCGGAAGACTCAAATAATCTAGACACTCATGACTCACATAACCTTATTTCACGCTGGTTTGTAGCGCTCGCAAATTCCCCAATTTTTGAAATGTGTAAAAATTGTAAAATTTCAGCGATTTCTTAAGAAAAAGTGGAAATTTAAAATGTCGCCAAATCGGCGACACTTTTCAATTTTTAAAACTTTAAAACAATATTATTACGCTGTAGATACTTTAAAATAACAAAGTTTTGAAATATTTAAAACTTTTAAAATTTAAAAGATTTTTAAGAAAAATGTTGGTTCAGTTAATTCTTTCAAACTTACCTCACTTTACAATTTTTTCATAATTTGACATACCTACATGAAGTAAACTTAGCATATTTTTTCACCAGTTCTTGTAATTTTTTGCTCATTTTCACAGAAAATAATTTTCTAGTCAAAGAACTTACTCTTTGGTAACATATCTGGCGCTGTTCGTAAACTTCGTAACGCTGGCTAACCATAGGAAGATAGGGATTTTTCCCTATCCTGCCCATACTGGCCAGCGTTACGAAGTTTACGAACAGCGCCTCTCTTGTAAATTTTTGAAATTTGTACAGCTGTAGAAATTTTGAGAGAAACACAAAATTTAGTTTTGTTGTTAGACAGTATCAAATTCATTACATTTTTAATTTTAAAATAATAATGTAAAAATAAATTACTAAAATTCTTCTTAATTTGAGGCTATTTTTTAAATTGTCTGCTTTTCCACTAAAAATAATTTCCTACTCAGACGAGTTACAATTTTCTGGTGTATAAAATTTGAAAAAAATTGGTAGATTTAAAAAAAACGGGAAAATATTGCCATTTAGAGAAATATCTCTAATTAACGCCACTTTGCATTTTTTTTAGTAGTTTCGCTATCTTTTTAACAATTAAGATATTTTGTTCGTTTCTCTAGAACACCAAATAAAATTTTCCTCCTCGAATTTTATCTTTTTAATAATTCAAAATCACATTAAACCAAATTCAAATAGTTTTCGAGCTGTATTTTCTCATAAAAACAAATTTATTGCTGGAAGGAAACAGCATTTTACTCATTCATATCTTAAAAATTGGCGAATTTTATTTAAAAAAAGAAAAATGTTTTGTGAGTAACTTGTCTCCAATGCAAATTTTTTATAATTCATAGTATCAATTATTCGATTTAGATTTTTATTACTCATCCGCGGAACACAAAATACAAATTTCCTAGTGGAACGAAGCTTCATAAAATTTCTCATATACTTTGGCTGACCTGATGAATCAAACGAGATAAAATGGCATATGCTTGTACATACATAAATTCACGAAATTTTGTAACATGTTTTTTTAGAAATGTTTGGTTTTAAATTTGAATAAAAAACGGAGCGTCTCAAATTGACGCCACTTAAAATTTAAAAAAAATTCAAATCATTTATCGAATGTAATTATAAATTGAATGTAATTATCATTTATTCAACTGAATGGGAACATTTTCACTACAGGTCATCATTAACTAACGAATAGTTTTTATATCCCAAGAGGAGACTCCACTTGACAGCATCTGTAATCAGATCCGTTGGTGCAGCAAAATGTCGGTTGACAGCACGCTATTGCCCTGGCCTAACAAGTTTGAATATAATGGTCACATTAAAATTCAGGTGCGAAACAAGCTCATTCATTCTCTTCTTACCCCACAAGCATAGCAGGCGCCGACTTCGGGTGTTTCGACTCGTTCAACTGGTACGTACGTGTCAGTACAACTAGCTTCAGAAATGGCCAAGGTGGCAATAATTGTGAGGAAGATGATGGTGGAGAATCTATGAAATAGTTTTTTTTTGTGGTTTGCATTATGGACAGATCCCGGTCCAAATCGTAGTATGCGGAATATTAATATATTTACCCAACAATTTGGGCTATTTTAAAAAAAGACGCTTCGATACCGCTTCAAAAGTTAATGTAGGACGCATGACCAAAATGGTCAAAATCAACACAATTTTTGTTCAGAATTACTTCGCTGAAATTATATAAACCCATTTAAAAAATTTTTAACAACTTGATATTTTTATGCTATTACTGAATTTTTTATAAGAAATTGTAAAAATCGATAATTTTTTAAAAGGTTTTTAAAAATGGATTTAAACTGTCAGAATTTGGATTATCTATATTTTTAAAAATTCGCAATGACCTGCTCTACAAATTTGGCGTCCAGAATTTTAAAATAAATAACTTTCCAGCGCCAAGAAATTATTAAAAAATTCAAAATGATTTTGATGATTTTGATGGAAAATTCTAGACAGTGATATTTCGAAAATTATATAAAAGACACTCTTTTTATTTGTGGGCACCGTGCAATTAAAAAAAACTTACTTCATTGTATTTTTCGGGATAAATCTCGTAAATATGATTTTTCTTGTATGGACAATATTTCTGATTGGGCTTCACGATCTTTTTATACCCACCACTTCACCTAATAATTTTAGAGGCCGAATAAAAGTCATGTCAGTAGGTTTCCAGGTGTTTGATAAGACCTAATCCTTCAAGTATTTAGTTCTAAAAATAAAGTTTTCCTGATCCCGGAGAGAACAAAACATGATTCATATTTCATAATTAATATTGAGAAGTCGGACCGTGACACTATAACAATGAGACTTGTCAAGGTCATTTTGATGGAACGACGACAAACGGATTAACCAAGTGACATTGAAATTATGTACGTGATAATTTTTCATATCGAAAATAAAATTTATTAACGGTGTCGTAATAGATATTCCTGCATATGCTAATTGAATGATTGGAATGCGGGTGTTATAGAACTAAATCGTTCAAATCAGCTCATTTTTAATCACTTCTTTCTCTGCTCTGGGAATTTATTTAAAAATTCTGGTCCAGAATTTCTGGACGACAAATTTGTAGTTTCCCAATTTTTAAAAACAACATACGCTCCAGATTTTGACACTTTTTGAAGGAAGAGATCTCAAATTTAGGAAACTTTTAAAAAAACTGGAACTCGTCGAAACTGACTGAAGACTCGCCGACAGTCTATTAAGCAACTAAATGAGTACAAATTTGTCGTTCAGAATTTTAAAGTAAGTTCCCAGAGCCCAAAAATGATTCGAAATGATTTTTGACGAATTTGGTAATGAGTCATCGAGTCATATATGAATAATCAGTTTGTTTCCACTTTCCAGCAGGTTTATGATAACATCTAATCAATCATCAAGCATTTTGCATAACGAGTTTAGTTTCAAAGGTAACAAACGGATTAACCAAGTGACATTGAAATTATGTACGTGATAATTTTTCATATCGAAAATAAAATTTATTAACGGTGTCGTAATAGATATTCCTGCATATGCTAATTGAATGATTGGAATGCGGGTGTTATAGAACTAAATCGTTCAAATCAGCTCATTTTTAATCACTTCTTTCTCTGCTCTGGGAATTTATTTAAAAATTCTGGTCCAGAATTTCTGGACGACAAATTTGTAGTTTCCCAATTTTTAAAAACAACATACGCTCCAGATTTTGACACTTTTTGAAGGAAGAGATCTCAAATTTAGGAAACTTTTAAAAAAACTGGAACTCGTCGAAACTGACTGAAGACTCGCCGACAGTCTATTAAGCAACTAAATGAGTACAAATTTGTCGTTCAGAATTTTAAAGTAAGTTCCCAGAGCCCAAAAATGATTCGAAATGATTTTTGACGAATTTGGTAATGAGTCATCGAGTCATATATGAATAATCAGTTTGTTTCCACTTTCCAGCAGGTTTATGATAACATCTAATCAATCATCAAGCATTTTGCATAACGAGTTTAGTTTCAAAGGTAACAAACGGATTAACCAAGTGACATTGAAATTATGTACGTGATAATTTTTCATATCGAAAATAAAATTTATTAACGGTGTCGTAATAGATATTCCTGCATATGCTAATTGAATGATTGGAATGCGGGTGTTATAGAACTAAATCGTTCAAATCAGCTCATTTTTAATCACTTCTTTCTCTGCTCTGGGAATTTATTTAAAAATTCTGGTCCAGAATTTCTGGACGACAAATTTGTAGTTTCCCAATTTTTAAAAACAACATACGCTCCAGATTTTGACACTTTTTGAAGGAAGAGATCTCAAATTTAGGAAACTTTTAAAAAAACTGGAACTCGTCGAAACTGACTGAAGACTCGCCGACAGTCTATTAAGCAACTAAATGAGTACAAATTTGTCGTTCAGAATTTTAAAGTAAGTTCCCAGAGCCCAAAAATGATTCGAAATGATTTTTGACGAATTTGGTAATGAGTCATCGAGTCATATATGAATAATCAGTTTGTTTCCACTTTCCAGCAGGTTTATGATAACATCTAATCAATCATCAAGCATTTTGCATAACGAGTTTAGTTTCAAAGGTAACATTTTCCTTGTTTTGAAGTGTTTTTTAGCGAACAAAACACCATTCACATATTAATTTTGTGAGATTGATAATTCTCTCGGGAGAATTTTTTTCTGGAAGTTCAAAAACTTCCAGAAAAAAAATTGTTGAAATTAGTAAGTTAGTAATTATGATATCATTATTTCAAAATATTTTTAAAAAATTCAGAATTTTACACCAGTTTGTCAATCAGGATTCCTTTTCAAGTCGAACATTTCGTAAAATTGTTTGATTTTAAAACCGGACAAAATTATTTTCGCAAGGTTTAATACTAAAAATTTATATTAGATTGCGTCCCAACACGGCAAATGATATTACTAGAATAAAGATTGAGTGTCAATAATTTATTCAAATTTGTAGAAATTCAAATCAATAAAAAATACGTGATTTATCCTCGCAACTTGAACCAGGTCAACACCATTTTTTCTAAATTTTAAAACACCTTTTTGGAAACACAAAACTAGTTTGAAAATTCATCAAATTCGGGAGATACAAAAATAATTTTAGACAAATTATTATTTTAAAAGTAGAAAATTTGGACTCAAAATCCATGCAGATAAATAAAGATGCCAATAAATGAACTACATATCTTTTTGTAATAAAGAAAATCTCAGTTTTTATTTATTTCAGCAATATTTTTTTTCAAGCTACACATTTCTACAATTTTTCTGCAGAGATTTTACTTATTTATGGATTCATTTTCATAAAATATTGACAACAACCACAAAACTAAAAGTTGTTTGAAGATACTTAAAATATCCACGCTTTTTTGAGTCATCTTCTGTTCTGAAGCAAAATACACTGTTTATTTTCATCAAACTAGAATGCACTACTTTCTCAGCACACTATTTTTAATGTAATTACATAATTACGAGTGAGACTTATGCATGAAATTATTTACTCAAATATTTGTAAATTTTGTGGTAATTAATTTAGAGACGCTTGCTTTTTGTAATGTGACAGTAAAGTTACAAATATAGGAGTGAACCGTAATCAAAATCAAGCTTGTTGCAACAATTTTCTAAAAAAGTATAGTATTTTTCTCTGAGTTTCAAAAATCTTAAAAATTTTAAAATTTCTCGCTTTTCGTAATTATTACTTTTGCAAATCTTCAGGTCCTGTTTCAATCTTTTGAGAAATTTTTCGGTACATACATTTTTTTGAAATATTTGAGAAAGTAGATTTGTTTTCCATTTCATGCCAGAAATACAATACATGTGACTATTTTTACATATTTATGACTATTTTAATCTAAATATGCTTGCTGCTCGTGTAATTTTCTAACCTTTATAAATATAGTTTCGTATCAGTCATCCGAAAAAAATTAAATAATATATTAAAGCAAAATTGCTAAATGCAGGACAAATATTTATGTAAATGCGGTAAATGTACGGGTAGTTAGTTAATTAACAATTAATTAATAATACTAAAGGAGGACAGGTGTAAGTAAATAATAATAATAATAATGATAACAATTTTAGGTTATCAATTCCCGCAGGATAACAAAGAAAACAAAAAAACTGAAAACAAAATTTTGTGAATTACACAAAGTAAAGAGTAAAAAACAGGGTGTGATTATTCTTGTAACTTGCGCCATAAGTTAAAACTATAACATGGGCACAAGTCGGTAACGATAAACGCACCTTAATTTAGTAATGATGAATGAATTGGTTAATCGGGAAATTAAATTAAATGGACAGTTAATTAGTAAAAAAAAACAAGATCAAGACACATTCCATCATATTTTTTACATTTTTTGTTTTTCATGAATATTTTGAAATTTCTAATATTTTTTGTAAGTGAATATAATTAAAAATTGTTAAATTGCTATGATTTGAGATTATTACATGAATATTTATGTAGCTGTACTTTTGGAAGATCTTGTTTGGTCGCGATGTTAATTTTTTGATTTTTTTAACCAATTGTTGTTCTAGATTCGGAAATTTTTGTAATTTTGAAAGGTACAATTGAATCATTGGATACAATTTTGGTATACATTTTCTTTTCTCTAATTCTAAAAATCTAAGGTAAAAATTTTACCTTTTTTTGAACCAAAATTGAAAATTGCCCCTTTTCTAACAAAATTACACCTACAAAATTGTACCCTTTTTTGAATAAAATTTCATCCAAAATTGTACATTTTTCTACCAAAATTTAACCTTTTTCTCACAAAAATTGTACATTTCTTCTTCTTTCTCACCCATAAACATTTGTTACTTTTTAATTAAATCTCGAATAAATTGTGTCATGATTAATAATCAAGCTTTGAAATCACGCGAGCTTTTTTTTTACTTTAATAAATACACTTTTTAAAAGAGATGAGCATCATTTCTGGCTTTTTTGATAGTGTGATTTTTTGTTCAAGTTTGTTTTCCATACAGTTTGAAATTTAGTAGAGACATAGATCATCGTAAAAACAAGGTGGTAATTCACGCCAAGAAGACTGTAAACTGTGAAAAAATTAATAAATTTTGTCATGTTGAAAACTTGGGGAAAAAATTCAGAAATATGGAATGTGGGGAAAATTATATCGCAAAATTGGTAAATTTATAGAGTTTACAAAGCTGCAAAGTGGAACAAAACTTATAAATTCTAATCAAATCGGAAGCCTTTCTGGGAAATGTATTTAAAAATTTGTCATAGTTTGGAAAGAATTACGACCAAATTTTTAAAAACGAATCTCTCCTTAGAAAAAAATACCCAATTTTTTAACACAGTTTACAACTCCTTAAACGTGAATTTCCCTCATAATTTGAATCTATCTCATTAATTATCCTCGTTCTGCTCTTTATGCTGGATTTGACACGCGCTCGGTGAAAGTTGACTCGCCAACGTGTCCCCACCGGGAAGAAAATCTTCTGTAACGTTCAATTTCGTTAAAGACTGCGACTTGCTGCTCGTGTTGGACGAATTCGACCCAGAATCGCCCCGTCTCTGTTTTTCCATCAATTTTCTGAGCAGAACTTCAGAATCGATCGCGTTCAAGATGCCGCCACCTCCACCGCCCGCCATGATGTGGGCGGCTTGCTGCTGTTGGGCGAACTTGGCGTCGAAAAATCCTTCCATGGAGGAATCCACGTACGAGTTTTTGGGCGTGAAGGGGTACGACGAACAAGCCCCGGGGTTCAATTGGTCTTCCGTTTTGTCATAGCCGCGCAACTTGTGTCGCTTGAATTCGATTTTTTCAATCATTTCGCGTGAGTTGAAGGAAGGGAGAAAATAATGTTCGGCCGGGTAGCCGTCTTCCGGCTCGGCGCAAGAGTTCTGCGGTGTGTATGGGCAGGAATTGTAGGCGGAGGATTGGTTACTGCCACCCTGGAAAATGAAAATAATGGGGAAAATTAAAATCTGAGCAAATTTGGAAGGTGGAAATTGTGAATTCATTTTTTAAGAAAAAATTGATTCTAATTTCATAGCAAGATTTGAAAAGTGTGATAAGCAACCCTTGATCATTCATCAGTTTATGAGATTATAACCAGGTTACAAATTTGAGAGCGAATCTAATGATAATCACAGAAATCATCTCATTATTAAATCTTTAACTTATTTAAAGCAATAATTAAATGTTGTTTCCAGGAACGACGTTGTAATGTGACAATAAAATTTAAAACGATTAAACTTTATATAATTTGAAGCAAGATTTTGAGCCAGTTTTTTTCATTGAGGCATTTCACGCAGACCTTGGTAACTTTTAAAATGCATAAGTTTCGTAAAGTAATTTTAAACTGTGCAAAGTTCGTATTTAAAAAGCTGCTTGAAAATTAAGTGACTCTTGAACTAGTTGGTCAAAGTTTATACGCAAATCTAACAAAAATTACACAGATTTGCATTGCAATTTAACTCCCAAAATTAATTACCAACTTACATGACTGATAGGATCTCCCACGCCGAGATTTTGTGCGGACGTGTACGAAATCGAGGGGACGTTTTGCTGCTGCATTTGATACTTGTTCGGACTCGCTTCTCCGTTCGGGATGAGAATATCAACACCAGTCAAAGCATCCACATCGAGCTGGTTTTCTAATAAGGAAAAAAATACCTAAATCAAAATCCAATCTAAAAACAGAATAATAATGATTGACATGCAAAACAAAGCGAGTAATGAGCTGAATCTGAATTTGACAGGTTTTCAATTCAATGAGAAGCTGAGATTGGTCGTAATTTAAATTCTGTAGGATAGATGTTATTAAAATAAGGTAGGGGGTCTGCATAAAAGGTGTGGGATGGATTTTAGAGATTCTGCCACGATAGGATTTTCCAGGGGGAAATAAAATTGGAAATTTTAGGTTATTTTTCGTATTGTTTTTCTAACAAAATCATGTTGTTTTTGAGTCACAAAATCGTAATTTTGTGATTTTAGAGGTCAAAATTCAAGGTTTTTTGATATAAAATAACGGGTTTTAAGCAGAAATCACGTTAAAAAACAAAATTTCGAATTGTTAATACAAAATCACGATTTTTGAGACAGAGTTACGATTTTTGCAAAGAATCAGGATTTCTGAGACAAACACGATTTTTTAGACGAAATTGCGCTTTTGAGCCGAAATCACCCTTTTTCATACAAAATCCACACAAATTTGCAAAAAACCAAACCTCTCCCTTCCACACCAACTTTGTAAACAAACTTACGGGCTTTGACTTCGAAATGTGTCGCTAAAAAAGGAAGGATGAATTTTCTCGAGAGCCCGATATTCTTTTGATCATAGAGCCAGTAGCAGCTTTGCGAGTCTGTCGAGTGTCGGATGAGCTGGAGGTGGAGGTTGTCGCAATTCTCAAGCGGAGTGCAAACCTAGACAGACAAGAATACGAATCAGTTTCATTGGCAAAAACAAATTAGCACGTCTCGCCAAAACAAGACTAGAATTGACTATATATTCACGGCAATGAAGTCGGTAGCAAATTGCCAAATGTATTTACGACGTGCATGTTTTTATGGGGGAATATAATTTGCTAATCGATATCTTAAAGTCTAACACGTGTAATTCACGACTGGACTCATTCGTCCAACTACAATAAAATACATAAATTCAGTCCTTTTTAGTAAGAATCGACCAATTCTTGAAATAAAAATGGATCGAAAAATGCAAATAATTATTAGCGAGAGAGGTACAACAGGTGCCCAAAAAGTAATTGTGCGGCTAATTTGTCACCTGTTTAAACAAAGTAAATGAAAAAACCTTGTAAAAAATAATTACACAAAAAATACACCATGTAAAAACTATGGCCCTGTTCTAGATATTTCAACATTTTAAAGTAAATCTGATATGTAAAGAATAATGAAATTTTGATTAATAAATTCATTCATGTCATTTTGAAAAATCTGTATAAATTGAATCACATGAAGATCACCGCACCTGTTTCGCCTTATGAATCCCATCCGAAAAGATGATCAGATCACGTCGAATGTTCGCCAAGTCTCGAACTTCCCACCCCATCACGACCACAGCGGTGCAACGATTCGTCCTCTGACAGTTCTTTAACGCATCCAGGGCACCCGGTAGCTCGAGGAATTTCTAGACAAAATTCATATAAAATTATGAAACCATTTCATGCGCAATTTAGTTTCCACCTTGAGTATGTAAATTTCACCTGAGAAAGTAGTGGTACTGCTGGAACGGCCACGGTGATTTCGGGCGTTTTTAAAATTTTGCAATCCTTCCGCAACAATTGGTCGGTCGTGAGATGTGAAATGTCCGAGCGGGCTTTGACGATCGCGGTGTAAACGTCGTCATGAACGGGACGTTTCGAAACCAATTTTGCTAAACAATCTTCAAGTTCTGAAATTGCCTTTAAATCTTTTGGCGTCGTTCGTTGCGCTGCTGGAGATAGGTTCACCGTATCGAGTAGGATGGTTCCTGTCGGATAAATAATTATGTAAAATTAATGAGAGGGGATTCGCAAAAGTTTGCGTTAAATTCTTACATCGTTTATGAAATAGTGAGACAATTCGCACAATGATAACTTTGTAAAATCCGTAAACTTACAAACTTCACAAAAATTTACAAAAAAGTCTACACAGAGGACAATTCAAGTCAAAGTTTGAAACGAGGTAAAAAATTTTGGAAAATCAAATTACAAAATTTTGAATAAAGTGAAAACGGATTATTGGATAATTTACGAAAGTCACGAAATTTGTAACTATCAAACTATGCAAGCTTTGTAAAGAGCACTCCTTGAAACTGTGTAAATTTCGAAAATTAATCAAATTTGAACGGATTTTTTTTTGTAAAATTTTCGAAATTAGGCTCCATATTTTTTGGATTACTTACCATACAACAAATTACACACCACTTGATCCCTATCGAATAAACCGAGGACAATTTCTGTGACCAAGGTGGCGCAGGATCCGACGGGTTCAATCGTGTCTCTCCGATCGAGAGGCTTTTCTCTTTTGTGATGATCGATGACCCGAACGACGCTGGAGGTCAGGGGGGCGTCCGCCGATGTTAATACGTTGTGGTCCACCAAGGTCAATTTTAACTTTCCGCTTGAGTGAAGACCAAGAAGATCGATTTCGTCGCTGTAATGAAATAAGAGATTTCAGAATTTATTCAAAATCTGGAATGTTTGCGAGTTTGATTTTCGAAAAGAGATGCAATTAACACGGAATTTTGTGTATAAACTTTGTAAATTTTGTAATTAGCAAACTTTTACAACTACGAGATCTGGTATGGACTTTCTTGTACTACAAAGACCGGAGTGAATTGGCAACATTACGAAAAATTCGCAAAAAAACAAGTCACAAATTCACAAAATCTAGCTACAAAAAACAACAAATTAAATACTTTAGATGTATAAAATTTCACAGAAATTCGCTAAATTACTAAAAAATGGAGTACATACATTTGGGGGTAAATTTAATTTAGGACGACGCCTTTAAAAATTTTAGGTAATAAAACGTTTCACAAAATCAAAAAATTATTTTGTTTACTCGAATTGTACAATTTTTAGGTCGAAATTTCTAATTTAGTGAAATTAATTTAGTTTGTATAAATTCATTTAGGTCCCAATACGAAGCTCCCGCTGTGTTGTTACATAATTTTCAAATTTGAGTAAACAGTTCATAAGTTTTATGGTCAAAATTAAGCAATGTAATTTTGAAATTGTGACTTATTTTTTCAAAATATTTTTCTCACCGGCAAATGAGCGACTCGACCCGGATGCCGTTCCCTTTGAGGAAGAACGTGACCTCTGTGCGGAGGGGGAGATCTTCTCTGGTGCAGTTGACGACGGGAAAGACGAAGGACTCCTGGTCATGGTCCACATTTTCCTTCTCTTCCTTCGCCAAACTTTGCGCCGTGTAGTACGCGGTCACAATCGCGGACACGACGGAATCCAAGTCTGCCGCATCGTTACCCAGGATCACGTGCGTATCGCCAAGATTATCCTGAAATTTATTAGAGAAATCTTTAACATTGAGAAAATTCAGGCAAAAAAATTACAATTTTGCAAACATGCAAATTATGCAATTTTGACATCTGTATAATTTGACATTGCACAGACAAACTTTTTTCTATTGTAAGAATGGGTTACACAATTTGTGAAAAATTACGATACGCGGATTAAGTTTAATGTCCAATGCTTTCACAAAATTTTGCAAACTTGTCAACTTTTTGCAGAGTTTGTACGGATATTGAGGCAATTCACGCAGTCATTGGTAAATTTTGTACAATGCGTAAATTCTGTAAAATAATTTTGCAAACTTTTACAAAAATAAAGAGACGCCCTTGATCTGAACAAGTTTACAAAAAAGCTAATTTTCCACAAAAATATTCATAAAATTTTGTACAATTAACGGATTTTACAAAGTTACAAAGGCCTGCGTGAATTGTTTCATTGAGTAAATAAAAATAATTAATCTCATCCATGTCATTCTGTGTCAATTAAAGAACGAAAATTATCCAAGTTAAGCCATTACATAAAATAATAGCGAAAATTAAGTTCCAACTCGACTTTAGCGTATCTCTGAATAATTAAACTCATAAACTATTAACGTAATTTGACCTGGTAATTGGAACTTGTTGCTACTGAATAAAACATGAGAGGGTGGATTGGATATGATGATGATTTAACTAATTATTTGCACCACCACCACCACGACGAGTACCTAAACCGTGGTAATAATAATTATCATGTTCCGTTTTCTAGACTTGGATTACATTCACAATTTCACGCAAACCATTATATTTAATGAACCATGAACTTTAAGCGATGTAAGTACAAGAAAACATGCACATTCAGGTCATACATATTTAATATTTGCAAGGATTTAGCTAGCAATTCCTATTAACAGTGATATTCGTAGCCCAGTAAAAAAAAATACAAAATAAGTTTCCGAAAAAGTTTGTAAAGGAAAATTCGGTTTCAAAAATCGATGTCATCATTTTCTAAAAGTTTTAAGAGATATTTGTAACCCGTATGCAAAGATTACGAAGAAAAGTTAGATTTCAAAATCGATCGTATCCAGATCTCATAATTTTGTAAAAAGTTTCACTAAATTTACGCAATTTACGAATGAATATTTGCATAAAGTTACACATGAAATTTGCCAAATTTGTCTAAAAAACACACGATTTACAAATGCTGCGTTTGAATAATTTGTTGTTCTACTCTACAAGTGAAAAATTGAGACCAGTTTTATTGCAAGTCTGACCAAACATTTAAAAAATCGCTATTTTTTGACGGACAACATCTTACGAAACTGACGAAATCAGCATCTCGTAAAAAATAACGTATCGTAATAACATGTCGTTAAAAATTAAGTCAAGTTCTCTTGTGTGAAATGTAACCCGGCCGAAGAACATGAAATAAAGTGCATAGCCTGGTAAAAATTATTTTATGCAGGCATCATCATCATCATTTTTATGATAATAATACACAATATTTAAACTCCGTTTCACGTTACTTGATTTGGTCATATGGAATACATTACCCGAACGATCCGAATTATTTTATTATTTGAGACCTGTAATTTTCATTTTGGCGTTTAAATTAGTCAATTTCGTATGATTTTTACGCCAAAATAAAAATAAGTGGTGTCAAATAATAAAATAATTCGGCTCATTCGGCTAATGTAATGTAATGTAATGTAATGTAATGTAATGTAATGTAATGTACTCAAGGCGGGGAACTCAAGTAACTTGAAACACAGTTTACCACCACCCTCCATCCATATTCTTATTTGTAATACGACAACTTTGCCTTTTTTAAGTCGGGCTAACTTTAAATGGTTCATTCCACCCTGTAAAAGTCATTGTTATTTTTCCTTACGTAAAGGATGTGATCCATTTTTAGGAGAAATTTTACCCTATGAATCAATGTCATGCTTTATGCACGGTGCAAAAATATCCGTACCGTACCGACCGAAGGGGTTGGAATTTTATTATCACGCTGACAGGACGTGGTCGTGGTTGTGAAAGTCGACTCTTTTAACCTGGATGATTATGATTATATAGTTACTTGAGAATAATGGGAGCGATTTAATTGTGAATTATTATTGCGGCTATTATGATTATCTGGAAGAATAGGTAGGTGTTGATAATACATAATTGATGTAAGATATGAAGGTCAAGGGTCAGGTTGGCAGAATAATGACCCACAAAAAATCAAAAACTTATTCAAATCCAAATCTGGTAAATTTATGTTTGTAACCGGTGCAAGTTTTGTAGAATTATGATACAAACTTTTATAAAATATGCAGATCTGTGTAAATTTTACATAATTGATGTAAGATGTAAGTGAAGGGTCAGGTCGGCATAATAATGACCCCGCTATACAAAAAAAATCGGAAACTTGTCCAAATCATGTTTGTCAAATTTTGGAGAATTATGGTAAACTCTTAATAAAATATGAAGATCTGCATAAATTTGTGACAAATTTGTAACCTGTGTAACGTTTGCAAATAAGTTTGCAAATTTCACTGGGTTATCAAGTCTCTGATAAGTACATATAAGTTCGCTTACCCTGGCAGCCCTGTCCACACTGGACTTTGACGATGACAGAAATCCTTGCAGGGATGAGAGGTCCATCTTACTTTTAGTAATTTTCGGTGGGTTGACAAAACTTGAATAATTTTCACGACCCCTTCTTTTATCAAGAGTTACGAGCACGACACCAAAATCAGAACTGGTAATCTTCTCCCCGAAATGCGAAGATGACGAGATTTTGTGAGCAGAAGTCAGCAACAGGCGTCGGACGATCCAGTTCTGCGCCAGGGTCGGGAAATATCCGGGCAAATGATGATAATCAACTCAACTCAAATCTGGAAATATGAGTCAACAAAATTTAGAGTCAGTCATGGAGACAGAACTATTCGCAAAAAAAAACTCTTTTATTATTCGCAAAGTTCGCAAAAATAGATAAATTTGCAATTGAATTCCAATACCGACACGTCATAACGAATGACTTATCAAGTATATTTATTGATAAGACTCAATTGACGTTGGTGTCGTGTCGGTGACTTTTACTACAGATATTTGACACGTGACGTGTTCCGATGATGATTGATTTGATCAGTGCAACAAGTAGACAAAAGATAAGTCTCCAATTAAAATATAATTTTTATGGAATTTGGAACGTGATGTCGTTCAAGTGTCAAAATAACAAAATTTTTGACGCCAGGGCACTGGGCAGGAAAAAATGTATACCTCCATTAAAAAATTATTTGTAATCATAATATTGTAAAATGGACGGAGGAAAATTGAGGAAATAAATAACTACATACGTTCGTTTGGCTTATCATATCATGCTTATCATCATTTTTTCCCCGTGATGAAAAATATTGGTCATTTATTTACATATGTCTATTTATGTTGATTAAATCTTGCTTGTGCTGTGATACTGCATGCAATTAATTAACTGGAATGAACTGAAGTTGTTTGTTTTGATTGTGAAAATATTTAAGTCGAGTGAGTTGCGCTTATCATTATCGCCAGCACTATTTACTTATATAACTAATGTCTGTATAGCTCATTAATTGTGGTGGACGGGACGCAATTAAATTTATGTATTTAATAATAAGCGAAATGAAATGGAAGGAGATTCGCGAGTCGCGAATTTGTGTAGTAGTAAAAAAATTAATGTTATTTATGTATGTACGGAACTCGCAATGTTTACAAAATGGAGTGATATAAACAAACCACGTCTACGTCGTCAAGTTTAACGACTCTATATACCATACACTAGTTTTAGTTTAATTATTGACGTAGTTAAGTAATTTTAATGAAGATGTAAAGAATTTTTATGATTCAAGGAGAGAAAGATTATATAAATCATATTTAAATGCGATGACATAAGTTTGGTAAAGTCGCGTGTCGGAAATTAATTAGTTTGATGGCTTGATACTTCTACATGTTGAAAGGTAATGTATTGATGTGGTGCGGTACATTTAATTAAAAATAATAATTTAATTGTGGTTAAATAAAACATTAATTTGAGGGGAAAAGATGAACGCGGACCCGTCACTCGTGTCGTAGAGAACGAAAATTATGAAAATTTACGAAAAACGTTTGATGGGGTTGATACTTTTAAAATTTTGCACGGATATGAGTTGACCTCGCATTTAAAAATAGTAATTTAATACTAGTTTAGTTAAATTAACCAATTTGCGCAAAGCGAAAAGATAAAGAACGAAAATAATCACGAAATTGACACATTTACGTCACGAAAAAATCTGGAAATAAAGATAAGTACTTACCCAGAAATAGAATATGGTGATCTCTTTTCCTTCTACTTATCAATCTTCTCTTCTCTTAATAATCCGATTATTTAATCAAGTTCTCTTCTTTTCTTACAAATTAAACGTTTCCGATTGTATATTTCCTGCTCAAAATTGATCCAATCCTTCCAAATCCTCTGTGACGCTGATAATCCAGGTTCACTTATCTTCCAAAATTGACACACCACCACCACCAACGTCACGGCAATTAACTAAATCGGGAGATTTCCAGAATCTGGAACGTTCGATTTCGTTCAAATCAAAATGACGACAAAACGTTGTTTTTGGTGATGACGAAAAAGCTGAAATCAAAAAGACACACAAGGCTTTTAGAAAAATATAGAACTCTGTCCTCTCCCCGTCGGAAACTTTGAAGTTCAGAAATTTATTTATTTATTTATATATTTTCCGAGGAACGAACAAATGAACCGTGTGTTGCAAAGGCGAGAGTCGAAGGGTGAATAAAAAACAAACCCAAATAACAACACAGCCAGCAGGCCAACCGTGAGGGGACGGGGGTGAAGGATGTCGCCAATTTTTGGCGAGATTAAATTTGCAAAGTTTGCAAAAATAAGTTGATTTGTTAATTGTTTTCATGAAATTATTAAAAATGTTGGGGTAAAAATTTACCACATCATTTAAGCACGACCTCCACAATGCCAGTCATTTTTTACCTAAAAACAAGTCGACAACAATGCAAACAGAAAGCCATTAAGGATAAAAATAATCAAACACATTCCTGGAATTGTAAATAAGTAAGAAAAAAAGGAGAGAAAATTTTTGAAATTTTGAAGTTTTCAAAAAATTGCGTCACCATCTTTTATCACAAATGGAAGATGCAAATCGAAATTGCGAAAACACAAATAATCAAACACATTCCTGGAATAGTAAATAAATAAAAAAAGAATGGAAATTTTGGAATTTTGAACAGTTTTTTAACCCACCTTTCGTCATCTCATATCATCATCTTCTCTTCTCATCACGAGCGGAAAAAATTGACGCAATTCCGACAAGAAGTTGCGAAAAGTGACACTTTGACATTTCCGAAAAGAGAGATGCGATGAACAAGATGTGATTCCCTCATTATTTTTTGAGCAGGAGCAGACTTTGGCAATTTATCGATTTTTTTGCAATATACCTATTTTTACAAGTGAATAGGAATCCGGATTTTTTGCAATTTTCTTTTCATATTATCGGATTGAGTAAGTAAGTAAGTCGTCTTTTCATACCGATTTTGCAATACGAATGGTATTAATAATCCATCCAATTATATAGAAGAAAAGGGTCTGTGCAAAAAAATTAAGGGATGATTTTTGCACATCCTAATCCTTTCCAGGTTATCATTTGTCCCTTATCGAGGTTATCAAAAAAAAGCTACACACATTTATTTTGCACGACCCCATCCATATTATTGCAAAGCAATGCGATATGTAATACCTTTTGCTAATGGGATATAAATATGTGCTTTCTCACGGTCGACATTGACATTGAGACTCATAGGCCATGTTTTTAGCACATTTTTTTTCGCATTACTTACTTCTGTCTGGTTCTGGTGGTGGCATTGGCACAAAAAATATATAGACTTTGCTCTGCTCAAGAAGGTAAATAAAATCGCATATTTGCATTATTTTTTTGCAATGTGTGAGACGACCTATGGAATGGTTTTGCAAATACTTGAGAGTAAAGGTTGATTTTTATTTATGTACGTACACATTTTAAGTTAAAAAGGGTCATGTTTTTCTTAATTAGTAGTCAAATATCAATGTACGTAATAGCGGATAAAGCATTTCATGATGTAAAATTGCGCATGATGCGAAAATTTGCCAAGTTTTAATGCAAAATTTGATCGGCATGCTTAAAAGAAAATCCAGGATCGAGACACTTTATGACAAAAATATTTTTAGATTTTAATGTTAATCTTGAAAGTATTATGTATGCATTTTACAAGCTGAAATAAAGCCAAGAATTTGTAGTAAACGCCACAGTCGATCATCGTTTAATTATTGCAGTTTGCAAAAAAATTGCACATTGCAACGGGTCAATAATGCATGAATTCAAGAAACTTGGGCCAAAATTGAGAAAAATTTTGGCTAAGTTTTACTGCAAAATGTTCAAAATTTATGCAGTGATTGTACCACCAACTGGATTATTCGGAGAAGTTTTTATCGTTAGTTTGTATTGATCGCCCACCCGGAGGCAGGCTGTCAAAAAATTGTTAAATTCTCATAGAATGTCCCCCCCACGGAAATCTTTAGTAAAAGGCGAAAGATTTATACGACTTGAAGGGAGACCCGAGATGCTTCAAACTTTGAAAATCCTCTCCCCCAACCTCCTTGCACCTGGCACCACTAAATCCCACAACTTTTACCGATTTCCACCACCCCCACCAAACCTGACCATACTCCAAAATCTCGTAATTTAAATCCTACATACATCCAAGCAACTCTGTATGCATCAAAATTTTCAAAGTATCTACCAATTTTTGAGCTATCTTAAATTTTCTGAAAATTCTGAGGAATTTGTATGCAAAACATGTTGGAAATAAAGGTACACACGTTTTTGATATTCATCATCAAAATGAAAGTAGTAATTTTTTAGAGAAAATTTGAATCTTGGTAAAATTAAAATTAATTTCCTCCGTAAATTACGGACCGTAATATAAAATTTAGTATTATTTTGTACAGAGTTTCTTTATTTTTAATTGAGACGAGACGAGACAATTCGGTGGGTTTTTTGGGGAATTGAGAGCGGGATCCAGAATACTTCGTCGAGAAAACGTCGTTTTGCTTGCTGGTGCTTTTTAAAATTAAAAATTTCAATTTACGAATTACGAGTCGAAATTTATGACCTGACGGCGACAAATTTGTTTATCGAGTAGGAAGATAGCGGAGCCAATCTCTAGTCACTCGTAGGGTTTGTAGCAATCGTCTAAGGTAAAAAGTGCAATTTAAAAAAAGAATAATTTTTTTTGGTCTGGATTTGGTTGAGTAATTTAACGTTTGCAAAAATAGGGGCTAAATCATGTCTGACTGATATTGTAGATTGTGTCAAATTTTGATGGGTTATCTAACTGTTGGTATCTTTTCAGGTTGAATCATCATCATGCCTCATTCTCCTAAAGCTTCAACTTCACGTTCGTCACAACAGTCTGTCGCTAAAAAGAAGAAGAATGTTGCCCCCCCAAAATCCATCGTAACAATCGTGCCGAAGGAACAGTTCATCCTACAAATCGACATTCCTGACGACGACGACGGGATGCCTGAATTTCCCCTGTTTATGTTCTCGATTTATCCAAATTTCAACTATGCTGATGAAATTGTCGGTTTAATTCATGTAAGGAATTGAAAAATTATGAGTTTTGCATTTGTGAGTGGTTTTCAAATTTTGTAAATTTGTTTTCAGCGGAACGGAGGCTGGGTGAAAGTATATGATGAAAAAGACGACAAAACTCGTAAACAATTCGATTGCACCATTAAGTTGGTAAATTTCAAGGAAATCATTTTAAACTATGATAAGCACAAAATGGGATTGCTTCCCAATGACTCGTTTGATTTTGATTTCGTTCGTCATTATCTGGCCAATCCTGGGCCACATATTAAGTTGGAGAAATATCGGTAATAAATGATAATAATAATTAACTAACTTATTATTTAAATGAAAATTTCGTGGGTGAGATTTCTGTTTTGTTTTCTTTGGTAAACGGAATTTATGTTCTTGTTTCTATCCCCCAAGAAATCCTCCATTTTTTTGCCAATTTGGCGACCACTTTTTTATGAAGAATTTTTCAACCAAAAATCGCACCCACAGATAATTCATAGAGTTTTAATTAATTCCAATTAATTTTAATCAGGTACAATTTTTATTTTTATACAGACTGACCGGCTCTGATTACGATATCAAACGGGGGAAGTGTGCTGACGACGATGTCGGAAAATTTGATGGCGACGACGTCGTATGGAAACGGAAGAATTGGGACCAACTTCCACGCCTACGACATCCTGATGCACGAGTCCCCGTGCCGAAGATAATGACTATCTATCAAGCTTGTGGTAAGCACAACTACACCGCTACGTCATCCGAGGAGGACGAAGTAGACAATACTGAAGGCGCTGGAGTGATAGCCAACACGGCGGCGGCGGCGGACTCGGGCGCGGCAGATTTACACCCTGACTCAGAAACTGATGTAGCGCTTGATAATCAGGATGAAGATGCTGATTCATTACCGTCCGGTCCGCCAGAAAATGCTCCGTCGACGGCGTCGAATGACTCGTACATCGTAGAAGAAGAAGTAGACGACGTAGAAGAAGAATCCGACGAATCTGAGAATTCGTTGCCCAAATCCAAATCCATTCTACCGAAAAAAGGGAAAGAAACTCTCTCATTCGTCACAGAGTCGTATCAGCCTCCTTTGGATAAGCGAAATCGCGTCATTCGTACCGCTCGGAAGCGGGCAGGTCCACCCGCTTCAGGCGAATGGGTCGATTTGGGCAATCAGGGTGATGATTTTTTAAAAATATTTAATTAAACTAATTTTCGTTTAAATAGATATTTTAAACATTTAATTCTAGCCTCACCACCGCCACCACCACGTCAAGCATCGCCATCACCACCTCCACCTCCTCAAGTTCAAGTTCGAGGGAAGCGAAAAGATAAGACCAAACGTGTCCTGGTCTCCCCACCACGTGACAATTCTCCAGGTGATCGCGTAATGTCTTCTCCATCACCGACGCCAACCGTGGCTGCTCCAATACGACCATGTAGCAAACAATCTGACAACGGCAATCTCATCCCTGTCGCCACGTCGAGTACAAAAGCAACCGTGGCTGCCCCACTACGTAGCAAACCATGTGATACGAACACAAAAAAAGTGGCTCGTGAAAGGTCTGATTCTAGCAGTAATTCCATCCCTGTCGCCACGCCGAGCACATCCCGACAACCACCACCACCACCACGTGGTCAAAGCAGCCGTGGAGAAGAAGAGCGCTCCTCAAGGCGTCGCACGAGGGACTCGGATATAAATTTGGAGTGCTCGGATGACCAATCATCTGACTATGACGTGGACGCTGATGACAATCCTACCCCACCACCGCGTAGAGCTGTGATGGAACAGTCTGCAAATTCTGCTCGGTAAGTGGTCATGCTAGATAAGCCGCTGTGAATAACAATAAGTTTGACCCCAAATTTCTCCAATTTTATCCCGAATTTACTCAAAATTTCCCTAATTTTGTCTCTCCCAACCATAAAGATTTCAACGACACTACTTAATTTGTCAATTAAAACATTTACTTCTCTTTCCCAGATGCAACTACGCTCCACGCGACCTCCAAGCTATCCTGGACCTCGTCCTGCTTAACAAATGGGGACGCTACGTCAAGGGGATCGCTCTCTGGAGGTTTGTCGAACAGCACAGTCTGCTCGAACGTAAGATTGGATATCGCACCGACCAAGCACTTTGGACCACGTTCAAGGTGAAAATTCTCCCCGTCTTGATGGGAGAATCCAATGCGACCACGTTCCGCATTACGGACCAACAATTAAGAGACTTTAGGGCGGATCGGGCTGCGGCTCAACTAAAACAGTATGGAAATGCCTTCCCCAAAAATATTAACATCCGGAATGTGAAAAGGGTTTAAATTTTACTAATTTACATGATTCTATTATATATTTTTGTAATTTTCAACCAAATTGGTGATCTCATTAAATTTGCAGACATTTTTTATACCAATCTCTTCTCGTTTTTGAACTGTAATTCATGACTTGAATCCAATAAAATCTATAAAATCGTAACTTATGGTTATTTTCGGCATCATTATCATCAGGCATAGTAAGTAAATAAGTATAAATTTCACGTTTCTTTCTGGGGGTTCGGTTCCAACAAATAATTTAAAATCTGAAAAACATCAACTTTTTTGTCTAGATTCTGGCATGAAAAAGATAAAAGAATGAACAAATTTGGTGAGATGACTCCGTAAATCATTTAAACTATTAACCAAATAATTCACTAAGTTAGTTAGTTAACTAAACCATACGGAAAAATTTGCATACTTGAACCCGGTCTAAAAAACGCTGCCTTGTTGCTTGTTACATAACGAGCAGTTCCAGCCAGCCAATCAGATCAATTCCACGAGGAGGTGTGTGAGAAAAATACACATGAGAGAGTGAAATATTCGTGTGAAATAAGTTTAAAATTTAATTTATAAGCTGGTTAAATATTAATTAAATAGTAAACGCATTTTATTCGTCTGCGATATCTAATACATCTGCAAAACATCTAAAAGTTTTAATAATGACATCCTCAAAATCCATTTTACGACTTGGAAGATTACCAATTTTGTGTAAAAATAATAATGCGATACGACGACAATATTCATCGTCGCCGGGTAAGTAAGTAGGTTATCGAAAATCAGTAATTTTGGATAAGTGTTAAAAAATTGTAAAATTATTTTCAGGTTTGAAAACCATTGGTTTTATCGGACTTGGAAATATGGGAGCTAACATGGCACACAACTTAATCAAGAAAGGTCACAATTTAGTCGTGTATGTATGACTTTTTTCATGTAAATATTGAAATTTTAGGTTACCTAGAATTTTAGGAAATTTTAAAATTATAAGTAACAATTATGCTGTTTTTTAGGTACGACATTCAATCTGCGGCGACATCACAGTTTGAAAAGCTGGGTGCTAAAGTGGCCCCCACTCCGGGGGACGTGGCGGCTCAGACGGATCGAATTGTGACCATGTTGCCGGCGTCGGCTCACGTGAAAAATGCTTATCTTGGAGCGAACGGGATCCTTCAGTAGGTTGCGTTACGCTGTTCTTATCAAGGTTCATGATAAGTCTAATTTATTCATTTTCAGAGGGGTCAAGAAGGGGTCACTTCTTCTAGACAGTTCTACAATTGATCCCGACACGTCAAAGTATATCGCTGGCGAGGCGTCTGCGAAAAACGCGACTTATCTCGACTGCCCAGTTTCAGGGGGTAAAATTTTAAATTCTTGTGCATGGAAATTTGTGCCTTTAAAAAATGCAGTAAACTGGAGTGAAGTGTGAGGTCAAAAGTTCCCATATTTTTGGAGATATGAATATATGACCCCCATAAAATTTTGTAGCGTTTTAAACTATTTTGTAAAAATATATATTCAGAAAAATCGTATGAAAATTGTCATAATTTCTGAACATTTTACAATTTTAATGCATTCTTTTTCAGGCGTGGGTGCCGCCAAAGCGGGGACGCTCACCTTCATGGTGGGAGGACCACAGAAAGAATACGCCGAAGTGGAAGTCCTCCTCCGCGCCATGGGGGCGAAAGTTGTCCTCTGTGGAGGAGTTGGGTCTGGACAAGCAGCAAAAATCTGTAACAATATGCTTCTCGGTAAACAATTCAATATTTGTCGATGATAACCTTGGCCTAGGACCTGACCTCTTATTCTCTGTTAAAATAATAGGAATTAGCATGATCGGCACGGCGGAAACAATGAATCTCGGGATCAAAATGGGTCTTGACCCTAAACTTCTTGCATCGATTTTAAACTCAAGTTCGGGACGGTGTTGGTCCAGCGAGGTTTGCAAAAATATTTTTTTTAATATTGCCGTTAATTAACAGTTTTTTAAAAATAATTTATCAACTTTTCTTTCCAATTTCCAGATCTACAACCCCGTTCCCGGCGTTGTGGATGGCGTCCCGTCCGGAAATGACTACAAGGTCTATTAATCAACAATTAATTAATTAGTTGTAAACTTAATTAATCCAGTATTTAACTAACGATTAAATTTTATCTAGGGCGGTTTTGGCGTCGCATTGATGACGAAGGACTTGGGTTTAGCGCAGAACGCGGCGTCCGGTTCCGGTACAGCCACCCCGTTGGGCGCTTTGGCTTATCAACTCTACCAAATGATGTGCTCACAGGGCTACAAGGGCAAAGATTTCTCCGCTATTTTCCAATTTCTTCAAGATAATGAGAATCATAATTAGTTGTTTAAATTACTTAAGATTTAGAAATGGAAAAATTGTGATTTTAAACAGAATTTATTTTTTTGTGGGAGAACAGAAACACGAATTATTTTTTTGGAAATTAAATAAAGTGTAAACGACAACAATTTGCCTGAGAGAAGATTGCATGTTTTTATTCGTGATATTTTTGGAATCTTGGATAAATTAGAGTTGTGAGGATTTTTTTAACGACTAGAAAGCCAAACTTAATTAATTAATTAATTAATTAATTAATAGAATTATTGTATATTATTAGGCCTCCCTGGTGCGGAGTAAATTAGATACATAATTAAGTAGTTTTAATCATAATTTCTGCCGTAATTAACTAAAACAAAATAATAATACTAATAATTTAATTGCTGACTAACATAATTTATGCAGAAAAAGATGTGTGCTAGATTTTTGGCTGATTTTCTATTCAGTTTTTGACATGGGAGCTTATGGCGAAAAGTTGACCCCACAAACAAAAGAAAGAGATCACATCACATCCTTTTTCTACACATGCCTGTGACACAATAATTAATTATTGAATAAGGTAAATAGGACGGCAGGCGGATCGAGGCAGCCAACTGGAAATTAAAACTCGGAAATTTACTTTACATTTCCGGCCGCACACTGAGTTAAAATTATCTTAATCATGAAATTAATACAGAACTGAACTGAAGCCTTTTTCTTGGATGGAATTGGAGCACTATAAACTAACAAAAGTCAACTAATCACTTTCCGAGTTAACATATGTATTTAGTTAATTATTAGTTTAGTTAGTTAGTTAGTTAATGGTGTAAAAATATGGGACGACAGCAGGGGTACAAAAATAGTTTGGGGAGGAGTAAGTAATCGGTGCAGATTTCACTATTCATCCAAAATTTTCTAAAGAATTGAATGTTTTGAACACTGATTTCAAAATATTATTACTCTGTTATTTGTCCTGTTCTAAAATATTTGGGTTTTATTTTAATCTTCTCTCGTTGAAAGGGAAACTTCTGCTGATTCTTCGAGTATTTCTTGTCCTTGTTCTTGGCTGCGAATGTTGACCTCCAATTTACCGCCGACGACACCATTTTCATCGTTGGAAATACTTTTTCGCTGACTTTCTACGACGCTGGTCTCCTCTTCGTCGTCATCGTCCATAAAGGGTACGTTTTCATCGAGGGGTGGTGGTCCTTCCGGTTCTTCTGGTCGGGTTTCCTCTTCCCCGTCGGATTTTGCGTCGGAAGAGTCACCCAATTCGATGAGAGGTTCGCCATCGCCGGCACCATCGGACTCTATATTTTGCGACGTGTTTCCTTGTTCGTCCCCACTTTCGTCGCCGGTCACAGTAGTTTGTGGCGAGTTGCTCGCGATTGAGGAGTCCATCTCTTCGATGAGGACGGTGTTTCGGGGAAGCGTGGCAGCGGAGGGGCGCTGTTGACGGGGAGGATTGAACTGGCGACAGTAAATGCAGCGGTAGCCTGTGAGAAAAGTTTAAAAAAAATTGAATATTTCCAAAAAATAAATTAATTCTACTTATTTTTCAAAATACGAAACAAAATTTAAAATATTTTTAAATCCTAAAAAACGTATATAGTTTCGTATTTTACCCGTGTATGGAAAATCGTCCGGTGTCGCGAGTCCATTATGAGTCGCACAATACCGACAAATAAGCGCGAATCGGTGCGCCGGACCGTCCGCGACGACATAATCAACCAACTTATCGAGCCAGCCGGTCTTCCTATTATGAATCGTAGGGGCGGAGGGGGTTTGAGGTAGCATGTAGCGCATCGGGGTGTACCCCGTCGGGACGGAGGCCATTCCTGGTGTCGTTCCTTCAAAAAAATGTCGCAATTTTTTTTTAAATTCGCACTTGCAAAGTTGGTAATTTACGTTTATTACCAAATCTCATCGGCGTCGCACCCGCGGGCATGATAGCTTGTTGCTGTTGCGGCCTAAACGGCATGGGTGGCATGGGAGGCCTGCCTCCCATGCCGAGCGGGGGTCGATACCCGGGCGGAAAGGGTTGGCCCATCCGCATTCCTTGCGGCGAGACCGACGGTTCACCCATTGTCCTCCGTCGCATTCCGAGATTGTCGAGAGGTGCAGGGCGCGACGTAATGGGTGTTCCACCGGCGCGCTGTTGGTCAGCCAGATATTTGGGGAGGAGGTGGGAAGGGGCGTACTTTTCTAAAATCTTCTTGGCCACTTTGAACGTCTCTGTGTCCATGACTTCGTCCAAGAGGCGTTCCCTGTCTTTTCTTAAGGTGTCGGATTTCTCCTTATTCATCTCGATTTTTCTGTGATACCACCACCCAAAGAGGCGACGGAGGCTCCATATTCTGCAGAAAAGAGATACATTTCAGCAAATTGTGTATTGAAATGACTTAATAAAGTGGTTCAGATGTAGGTTTTTGATAAGTAAAACAAAATTAACGTGAAAGTTTTGACTTTGATATTTTTTAAGGAATATTTTTGCACGATTTCGAAAAACTTGATCAGAAAATGATTAGAATTTTGCAAGTAATTAATTACGCACATGAAGGGAAATATGATGAAGGGGAGGAGGGAGAGGGCGTGTTGTCCCCAGGTGAACGTTTCCGTATGGATGAACAGATAATAGGCGAGGATGGAGAGAGCATACACGATAAATGCAACGATTGATAAGCGACCAATTATCCGCTTCTGTTGGACCTCCGTGTCGATTTGAAACCTTCGGATTTCATGGAGTTCCTAAAATAAGGTCATTTAATGAATGATAAGCAATTAATTTTTGATATCGAAAATATTACCTTATCAATCTTTTCAAGCCGATCTTCCAAGGAAGGTTTCGCCCTCTAAAGTAAACAAACAAGTAACAAATTTAGCTTATATTATTCTACTTCTGCTGACAAAATTGCTAAACCTGTAAGTATACTGCATATTTACACACTTACCCTAAATTTCGATAAGATGACCCCCATCTCAATTTGAAACGATAATCTCTTAAACAAATATATTCCCAAAAGCAATTTACAATCGCGACTAAATTACTATTACTCGTCGTCCCCTTTCCTTCCACACTTTCAAATCTTTCTCCTCCTCCTCCTCATTAACATAATTAATTAAATGATTGAAAAAAATTAGGGCTTAAATTTCTATAAAAAAACTTGTTTACAGTAATCTCGAACTTTTAGAGTTTCCAAATCAATTTTGATTTCAATTCGTCTTCCTACACACAATTTAACGACTACACTATTCCATATAAATTTAACTGTTCAATTAAATTTAATTCTAACTAAAAAAAGTAGAGCAGATGTTGATCACTGTTTTTTTATTACAGTAAAAATTATGCAATGATTAAACCCCATAAATTTTGGGAATGTTCCAACAACACAGAAAAGAATTTGAGATGATCTGTTGGCTCGCATCCCGCCGACGTGTCGTGTCTATAAAAATGATGTCATTTTGCACCTTTCAATCCTTTTGTTATCTGAATTTGCATAATTGCGCATTTATTTATGGCCAATTATATTACCTATAAATGATAACTAATTAGCCAACAAAGTTTTGCAATCTGCGCAACCTTTGTAAAGTTTACAAATTCATGACACCATTAATAAAAACTTCAATCAATCAATCAATCAATGCAAAAAACTTCCAAATTCATGACACCATTAATAAAAACTTCAATCAATCAATCAATCAATGCAAAAAATCGCTATCTATACAAATTCAGTAAAAAACGGGGTACAGTTTTAGTAAATCCACGTCTCATAGTTTACAAATGTCAATAATTAGTCCTCCATCGTCATTAATTAAGGACAAATTAACCTTATTTTCAATCAAAATAATTTAATTGTGCGATAAAATATGAAATAAAAAATAAACGCAGTTTACTTAACTTGCACGACCATAATTGAAATTTAATATTTTGCAGGTTATTTTAATGATTATGTAGATCAGAAGTCCTTGCTCTTTGAATTATATCGACATCTTTATCATAATCGAATTATAGCATAAATAATAATAACCTAATATTTTTTTCATGAAATTTTGAAAATGTAAACATTTTTTTATAAAAATCTGAAATTTTGAGACACTTTTTTTTTACCCGATTGTTTTCCGGAGAGTGAGCCAGCTCCACCTATGACGACGGAAATCGGCTCGAGCGTCCAGCAAACAACTAAAAAAAGTCCATTCAATCATTCATTACTCATCCGGTCGGTTTATTTCTGCTGGGATTTTGATATTTATCGTTAAAAAATAATAATAACTAATTAGTTATATTATTTAAGCTTTATCTCAATTAATTAGTCAAGTCGGGTGAGAGTAAAGTTAATCACAGTTTTATTTATCATCCTTTTCGGTACAAAGTTAAACATGGCAGATCGTAAGTTTGTTTATTTTTGTTTTGTTTAGAAATATTTGGTAAATTCTTCTAGTAGTTCAATTCGATAAGAGGTTATCTTTCCTTGTAGAATACGGAGGTTACGGAGCATCCGCTGGATATGGGGGTTACACGGCGGCGCCACCGCCAGGACCGCCTCCGCCTTCTTATGGAGGTGGACCACCCTCCTCTGCGCCAGGATTCGACACGAGTTATCCTCCTCCACCAAGCGTGGCGGCGGCGTGGGGTGAGTTTTTGTGTGACCTTTTATGTCATTTGAGTGGAAATTGACTAACAAATTCGGCGACAAACAGGCTCATCGTCAGGGTCTAGTGGGAGGGGCGACTATGGCGGAATGGGGGACAATATTTCGGGTTAAAAACTAATTGAAGTCTTCTCGTTGCAGAATTTCGCTTGGAATATTTATTTTTTAATTTTTGTCCAAGTTTAATTATTTTTGCACGAAGAATGGGTTTTAAATTTTAGTTTACCTTTGGTTTAATTATTATGACTTCGATAAGCATAATTTAGCTGGAAGATCAACTTTTTTTTCTTCTCTTTTACCTTAATTTTATATTTTTGCAAGATAAATATGAGTTAAATTTAATTATTGCTTCGATAAGCATGCCAATTGATCTCTAATTACTCACTAATTAATTATTTAATTGCTTGCCCTTCTAGGCGCCGGAGGTGGAAGTAGCTACGGCGGAAGTGGTGGTGGTTATCAAGCCGCAGCACCGGCAAGTGGTGGATATGACGCATACGGGGGAAGTGGCGGAGGGGGGAGTTCGTACGGTGGATCTACCGGAGGGGGAGGAGGTTACAGCAGTGGAGGGGGCGGTGGCGGCGGTGGATATGGGGCCTCATCCGGTGGAGGGGGAAGTTATGGCGGGGGTGGGGGTAGCTCGTATGGAAATGGTACAAGATAATTAATTAAATTATGATGAATATCAGGGCAATTAATTAATTATTTAATTTTAATTTTAATTAGGGAATGGAAACAGTGGCGGATATGGGGGAGCCAGTGGGGGTGGCGGATCTCGCTTTAAGTAAGCACATTTCGTATTTTGAAACTTTAAAAAAGAGAAGAAATCTTGATAACTAAAAGAACATTTAAAAAAGTGGTGGAAATTTTACTCTAATTGTTTTGTAAGAAAGTGAAAGGAGTAGAAAATGCAGAATCGTAAAAAATAATTCAAAACGGGTTTAGTTGGGGATTACTACATACACGAGTAATTAATGAATTGGTCGCAGATATCAACAATTAATTGTAAATAGTCACATCGTCGACACTTCCTCCGAGACGATACACAAAATCAATGTTGTAAAAAACTAATGTCAACTTGACATTGTATTTATAATTTTTATCGAAAATTAGAAAATTATCACGATTCTGCACGTTCGTATCGCCAGCCAGCAAGTACAATTTCCTCCCCGTTTTTAGGAAAAATTGTCCCTAATTGAATGAAATGTACGAAATTATGCAGTAGCGAGTATGCAAAAAAAGTGGTAGTAAAAATGGTTATCTGTCTCCTGAAATTACTAAATTTCTTGTTTTTCAATCATCGCTAAAACCTGTCCAGTTTTCTTTTCGGTTTTTGCGTGGGTGGGTGCGTGGGTAGATTGGATGACCATGTAAAATTGTCGGTGGTGGCAGGTGTTGGTTGTTGGTACACACATATTTAAAATATGTATATTGAATATGTATTATTGTAATATATAATTGGGACATGAACTAAATGCGTGTGGTGTGTGGTGTATAATTACCTCCAAAGTTCCACAGGGTCTTACTACTTATACTTAAAGATGAGATGAGAGATGTGGTGGTACATGCGATGAAACTGCAAGTTGTGCGTTTGTGGTCATTCATTCGCCGTGCTGCAGAAGTTGTCAAGTAAATCACTCACTGCTGAGAAAATGATGTCAATTGTGTCTCTCTGTTTGTAGCTCCGGTTCAAAAGGGTCTTCATACCCTTCCTCCAAAGGTAACCAGTGGAGTCAATGCACTGCAAACTCTCTCAAGTCTATATATCCTTAATTAATTAATTAGTTAATAAGTTAATAATGATGATAATAATTTGGGTGAAAAAATGGATCGAATTACAAATTAGGATATTTACGAGTATATGAAAATTGCGAAAATTACGAAAGTTTGCGAGAAGGGAAGGATAATTATGGATTAATAATTTACAAAGTGATTGCAATTTGCAATTTGTGGGTCGTTTCTAATTTAAGAAAACCTCGCGTCAGAATTTAGGATGATAAAAAATTAATGAAACACGAAATGGAAATGGTTGATGTCGGTATAAAAAAAGTAATCGATGAATTGGTGGTTCAATTAGTTATGATGACACGGAGAAACTAATGGGTTAATTAATTATAACAGCATGTCGTAGTAATTAATTAATGTTCGCGTTTAAACACAAAAAAACGAACGAATTTCAGTTGTGTCGCGTTTTGTAAAAAATCTCTGAAACAGGAAACATAATATAATACTGAAAAAATGAGAATGAAATGACGGAAAAGTAAAAAAAAAACTTGTTAGGGAATTTAATTACGTGGCGTGATTTAAATGAGTACTAATTAACCTTTGTAGATGGTTAGGGTTATTTAGTTTTAAGTTAAATTTGGTAAATAAAATTTGCCCTAATTATTGCGCTAATTGGTCATCTTGCTGTGCTGTTTAGGGGGATACGGATCTGGTGGGGACATGATCGAGCGGTCGGACACCGTTTTTGTCGGTGGACTGCCGCCAGAAGCATCAGAAGAAGCCATAGCTGAATACTTTGGTTCCATTGGGCTGGTGAAGGTAAGATTTTTATTTAAAATTAGTTAAATGACGGTTAATTAAATCTGACCTAAACGGAATTATTTTCTGCTTAGATCGACCGGCGCACCAACAAACCAAAGATCTGGATGTACAAGGACAAAATGAGTGGGAAGCCGAAGGGCGAATGTACCGTGACCTATGATGACCCCGAAGCTGCCAAGTCCGCCGTGACGTGGTTTAATGGTGCGTGAAGAAATTTCGAAATTCCAAAATTTCTTTCCAAAATTTTGACCATGTGACTTTTTTTACATCTGCAGATAAAGACTTCCAAGGCTACCGAATCTCCGTGTCGATCGCGACCCGGCCCAATATCGATAATTCTTCCGGTGGTTATGGCGGTCGAGGTGGAGGTGGCGACCGTGGCGGAAGAGGGGGCGGATTCCGAGGGGGAGATCGAGGCGGTGGAGGATTCAGTCGTGGTGGTGGTGACAGAGGCGGAGGCCGCGGGGGTGGCGGTGGTGGTGGTGGCGGAGGTAGTAATATATCAAAAATATTGGAAAATGTGTGTGGTGGTCCACGTTAGACGGCTCCTTTACGTTGTCCCCCTTTCTTTAAGGGTTTGGTCGCGAAGGTGACTGGACGTGCCCGGACTCTGGCTGTGGTAATACAAATTTCGCCTGGAGGACGGCCTGCAATCGGTGTGGATCTTCAAAACCGGGTAATTTTAAGATTTTAGAAATAATCTAGTTTACCAATTTTATCTCTGCATTTTTTCCTCCAGATTCCGCCGACGGTGGTGGCGGTGGCGGCGGAGGTTTTGGCGACCGTGGCGGTGGTGGATATCGAGGTCGTGGTGGCGGTGGTGACCGTGGAGGTGGCGGCGGTTATCGAGGCGGACGTGACGGTGGAGATCGCTACGGTGGTGGGGATGATCGTGGCGGGCGAGGAGGTCGTGGTGGTGGAGGTGAGGGTGAGAATATGGGAGGATTAAAATTACAAGGAGTTGGGAACTTGCACCATAGTTAGAAATAATAACATGGGCGCAAGTTGCTGTTAATAATAAACTCTGTGCGGTGGCAAAAAGGAGATGGGCGATCCATGAAAAGGTCACCCAGATACCACGTAACAAACAAATTAGTACCTTAATCCAGTGAGAGAGCGGGTTTATTGCGCTGGGAATTGAAAGTTGACAACGCGTACCATATGTCTGTCATTTTTTAAAACTCCAACACCACAAACCTTGCAGAAAACAAGGGATTTCGGTGGAACTAGATTTCGGGCTGGCGGAGGAAGCAAGGTTATTTGGTTGGGAGCGCGGAGGCCTACACTAAATATTATTTTATACCACTTTATTTTTATTTTGACGTACAACTTATACGAAATTGAAAGACTTTTACGTCAAAATAGAAATAAACTGGTGTTAAATAATATTTTATTATTGTAGCCCTGCGCAGCACGATCGGCAAATCACGCCTCTTATACTCCGCCAGCCCGAAATCTAGTTCCATCGAAATCCCTTGTTTTCTGCAGTGTTTGTGGTGTTAAAATTTTAAAAAATTGTCAGAAATATTGTACACATTGTCAACTTTCAATTCCCAGCCCAACAAACCCGATCTTACTAAATTTGACTAAAATCGTTGTCAACTTATCGTGTACACAAACAAACAAGCATATTTCCATTAATGAGTTCACCCTTAATAACAGGTCACAGAGGTGAAATTTCTAAAAATTTTATAAGAAAAATAATTTTCTAGTAATATTTTCTAAATTTCGGCAAAGTTTGAAAGTTCTTTTGTTACGCGGTATCTGGGTGACCTTTTCATGGATCGCCCATCTCCTTTTTGCCACCGCACAGAGTTTATTATTAACAGTACGTACTGATGTTGAGTGGGATTCTGGCCCGGACAAAAAGTCCTGTTTTGATGTGAATCGAGCGTGCACGCGCTCTTCCCTACTTTTGCACTGATTCATGTGAAAGTTTAAACTTTGTCCTAGAGATGCGAAATTTGGCATGCACATGCACCAACATATGCTGCATCATAATATAACATCAATTCCCGTTCCGTTCGCTATAAATTTTTCAGGAAAAATTAAAAACCAAATGTCATCCCTATCATTTCTTGGGTTTTGATTTTTCCTGAAAAATTTATAGCGAACGGAACGGGAATTGATGTTATATTATGATGCAGCATATGTTGGTGCATGTGCATGCCAAATTTCGCATCTCTAGGACAAAGTTTAAACTTTCACATGAATCAGTGCAAAAGTAGGGAAGAGCGCGTGCACGCTCGATTCACATCAAAACAGGACTTTTTGTCCGGGCCAGAATCCCACTCAACATCAGTATATAAATGCACATAAATAATGAAATTTTTTGGAATTTGTAGGCGGATTCCGTGGTGGAAGAGGAGGAGATCGCGGCGGCGGGGGTGGTTTCCGCGGAGGACGAGGCGGCGACTCCTGGGGTGATCGAGGCGGTCGTGGCGGCGGAAGTGGTGGTGGCCCCATGCGCGGAGGTGACCGAGTCCCACGTGACAGACCGAGACCGTATTAGAGTGCGAAACGAAACAAAATAGTTAATACTTTCTCATCCTCTCGTCGTCTTTTAATTAATTAAATAGTCTTCGATTTAATTCCACAAACAACAGTTAGTTAAGTTTATTAATTAATTGTCTTATACCATGTATTTAGTTAATTATCAACAGTTTTTTCGTCACTACTTACTATGTACAATTATATAGATTAATTAAATAAATAAATGAGCAACAAGTGTTTCGTAAATAATGCTGTATTTATTCAGATAATCAATTAATTCACTAACTATTCAGTTAACACGTTTTTTGCAAAAAATAATTAACTATTCAGATATCATTTGAATAACCATAATTACTTAACTAACTATTCCGATAGCATTTGAATAACCTGTCTCGCCCTCTCATACCCGACCTTGTCCCCCTCACTCGCCGCCTGGGTGCTAGCCCCCACCGAAAAAACCGAAGATTTCTCTCCCGTGCCAAACTTTGCTTCAAAAGCCGCCATATGCGCCCCCATTTCTATCCTCGTCTTATCCCTGGCGACCCCCTTGATCGACGCGACGTATTCGAGCAGGGATGCAAAACAAGGTTCATCGACGGCCTCCGTGTCGACAGCATGTTTCAAAAGCCAGACTTGTTTGAGCTTGTTGAACTTCCAAACGTCCCGGTGACCTTGCCAGAGTTGAAGATAAGCCAGCGCTTCGCGACGACAGCGATCAGAGGAGTCTGCCGCTGGGAGGAAGGAAGATTGAACTTTGACCTCGCCCGTTGTCGTAGTCTTGACCTTTTTCTTTTTGGATTTCTTTGACTTTTTCTTAGATTTTGAGGGGGTCGTGGTTGTGGTGGATTTTGTGGGAGCGGTGAGCGAGGAACCGGCCCATTCTCGAGCGCGGATTTTTTCCTTTTCCTTTAAAAAACGTTGCCCTTCGACGGAAGCGTGGCGAGGTTTTTTCTTGCTTTGTTGGGAAGATGAGGGGTCAAGAAGGTCGGTATCTGGAGGGGGGTGGGGTCGTTTAGGTACCGGGGATGGTGTGGTAGCTGTGGTTGTGGGTTCCGTGAAACGTTTGGATTTTGAGAGAATGGAATTTTCTAATTTAGCCTTTTTCGCTTTTTTTACGGGACGAGGATCTGGTCCGGTTGGCATTTTGAAACGTTAAAAAACCTGCGATAATTAACAATTAATTGTGGAAATCTTACCACTTGTACTTAAACTTTAAGAAATCTTAATTGATCCTTTTACCGTTTGAAACTGATCGAAAAATTAAACCTGCGATAACTAACAATTCATTTTGTATTTAGTTAATGATAATTTAGTTGAATATATTTAAATATTGGAAATCCTACCATTTGTATTTCAACTTTAAACCGTAAATTTTCAATTTAAGTCTTAACTTGATCCTTTTACCGTGTTAAACTGAACTAAACCAGTAAAGTTAATGACTACAAACTGTGTTTTAGTTTACAGTCGTGCTAACAAACTTGTAAAGTTTTTGGAAACTATTAAAATTAAATTTTTACGAAAAAGTTTAATTTCTCTAAAATCTGGAAACACGTGTGACTTTGAGTCTGGCTTGTTCCCAGTTTTGCTTGGTAAATTTTGGGGCTTTAAGCGAGTTGCTTTATGAATCATAAATTATGATTAATTAAAACTGAAAAGTTTAACCAGATTTTAAGTATAATTTGACGCAACAATTAAGTAAATAAGTAGCTATTTAAATGGCTGAAATATGTGTATTCATATTTCTAAAATATTTTTATCCATTGGTATTTAGTTTACTCTTAAAAAAAACCTGAAAAAAACCTTTCTTTGTTATCATTCAAATAATTAACTAATGGCGTTACACTAGCGAAAAATTTAGAAACAATTACCAAAATAAATCATGCAGTTCCTTCACGCAGTCATTGGTAACTTTGTAAAATAAAATTTGAATAGCTTGGGACACGTATGAAACAAAATTGTCCCAAAAAATTGGAAATCGCAGAATAGGAATTAATATGATATCCAAATTAATATATCAAAATTATAGGTTTGCAACTTTTATATCTGATAAATGAAAATAAGAATGATTGTTTGAAAAATTATTTTCAAAGGTAATTTTTGAAAGATATGTTTAGATTTCAGAAAAAATAATGTGAGGATTCGAAGCCGTTAGCAGTTTTATTATTATTAATTAATGAATACATTAATTTATGGAAGGAATGAATTTGCATACTACAAATTCATTCATTACATTGAATTACTTTTTCATTCACAAAGAATAATAAAACCCATAACGGCTTCAAATCATCACAGTTAATGATTATTTTTTATAATAAAACAGTCATCATCGTAAAATAGTCATCGTTTCTAACAATGAAGGTCTCCCAACGTATGCTCACAGATTTGGACCAAATCGATCACAAATATAATTAGTATGAAATTTGCAAATGACACTTTCTGCCAATGCTCAAGTTTAGCGGAGATATTTGCATAAAAAGAGGAGAAAACGCATGGAGAAGAGGCTGGCAAATTTTTTATTTTCCAAATTTGCTGCCAATTTTTCCCGTATGTATGTTGTCCTATATATTTGGATGTGTATGTAAATATGATATGTATCTAAACTAATGACTAATTGGTAGACGTATTTTTTCACTTTATTACCGAGAAATGCTACTTTACACAAGTGTGAAAAATTGAAAAACCAAGAAACATTAATTTAAAATACTTCTCTGTCTTTGAGAAATTCAATGTAAAGCTCTTTTACAGGATAAATAAATACTATTTTTCTAAGGTGAGGTAAAAAAAAACTATGGTTACAGTTACACCTTAGTATGCATTCACCCCCCCCTTCGAAAACTTTGACCGCGCCCTACAGCCAAGGGGGTGCGTTTTAGCGAAAAAAATAAAGAGACCGAAAAATCAATTACGGACATAATCTAGTGCTATTGAAAAGGATTTTTCGATATGACCTCCCAGAAAAAAGTTTTGATGGTGGTGAATGGTTGCGTTTCACAGTTTAAGTATGAAGGAGACTACCTACATAGCTGGGTATCTAAATTTATGGAACATCGGCCCCACTTTACTATAACCGGAAAGAAGAATTGCGTCGATTAGTTGAGAAACCACCGACTTTTCCCTATAATGAAAATTATCGGGTGGTTGCTATATAGTAACTATATAGTTACACCCTCGCTATGGAGTACTTATAGGCTTAGCCCGAGTCAGGGCTTATGGAATCGCCATGTCCGTCCGTGAACACGATTGACTTGCAATTTTACCATATTTATATTGGACAAAGTTTGGAAACGAGTTCGAAGGTGGGCGAAATCGGTCAAATTGTTGACCCGTGGAGGTATAGCAATTGATGCTATGCACCAGATTTCAAAATTGTCATATAAAGCTAAAATTTTGCATGCAGATTGTGGCTCCTATGGAAGAATTGAATTCGGATTGTAAAAATTTTCATCTGGAGAGACCCTATGGGGTGACCCATACCAATTTTTCAAAATCATCAAATCGAGGTGTAATTTAGTACAACGGCTTTTAGTCGCACCTTATGGAAGAATATGAGTTGGATTAGGGAAAATATTTATGTGGAGAGACCCTTGAAGTCGCTAATTGTCCCCAATAGTTATATATAGCTTTACGTTTACACATTAGTCAAAGCGCAAATTTAAGTGGGTTAGGCATATCGAAACTTGATATCTTTCAACTGACACTTTTGAAACGTATGCTGTAAATTTGAACGAATTAAAACCTAACGGGGTAAATATCGTGCAATATTGGTTATCTTCTATCTTTGCTTTTAAAATTTCAAGGCAGAAAAAAGAATTAAATAAAATATATCTTGAAAAAGTAAAAATTTCTAAGGTGAGGAAGTGCACTTAAAAGTACTAAACAAGCTCCACACACCTCCACCCCTCCGCCACCCAGATAATTTTACTTCGCCTGGGCTGTCTATTCCATGCAAAAAATATCGACAGTAATGTTTTGGCGTCACGTAAGAAAAAAGGATTAGAATTCATTTATTGGCCCAAAGCTAACTTTTCAATTGGTCCACCTCAACATTGCTGGGTGCTAAGGGCATTAGCAATTATGATCATCTGATTGAAATTACGTATTAGACATGGCTCATTCGCCCCCAAATTTAATTACTTGTATAACGACGTCGAGCTCGTTGGACATTCAAGTCAGAATGTATGAACTGATAACCCGTAGATTTTAAACCTATAGTATAGTATACAATGCAAAACAAAGACAAACATCGTTATTAGATCTATTGGGTGACTCTTTGAGCGACTTATTTGCAACATATTTTTACTAAAACAGATATTTTTTGCATGCAATGGACAGCCCAGGCGAAATAAAATTATCTGGGTGGCGGAGGGGTGGAGGTGTGGGGAGCTTGTTTAGTACTTTTAAGTGCACTTCCTCACCTTAGAAATTTTTACTTTTTCAAGGTATATTTTATTACGTATGCAAATAATTTTGTTACATGTCAGACGGCTTGTATAGTAGTCTTATTACTTGGTGTAAGAATTTATTAGAAAATTTACATGAGCAAAATTATTACAAATATTGTACCACGGGATAAAAATAATACTAAAGTTCTACTAGTGTGATAAGTAATGGAAAATCGAAAACATTGGATTTGTATGTATTATGGCATCAAGGCATCATGTGGGGCCATAATTATACATGTAAAATGTAAAAATGATTTACAAAGTTTAAATTAAGTTGTTTAAGTCAAGATCATGTTTCTCTAAAATGGTCGTATCAAATAAGCGTATGATTAATTAATAACAATAAATTTCAAAACCGTATTTTTTACCATACTCCTCCGATTAGCTCTATATGTTGAATGTGCAAGTTTGGAACCCTTAGGAGGGGAGGTTGTGTACTGTCAACTCCCGGATCTCGATGCCCTTTGGATATTTTGTAGTGTCCCACGAATGAACAACAACCCTGAAGTGGTTTAATGCCATGGACACATTTGCGCCCGCCACACCCACTCAAAGGTGCCCTAAAATCGCTTTCACTCCAACTTTCACCCATTCAAAACCACGCCAAAAATCCAATTTTACTCCGATTTTGAAATTTCTTTCACCATTATACACCCAGATAGTTGCTTTCTTATGTCCTACATCAAACTCAATTTTTTTGATGATTATCTCGCAGAAATAATATTTGCTTTGTTGATTTCTACAACAATGCGCATTCAGAATTTTAAATTTTTAAAATACTAAGAATTTCAAACAGTTGCGTTTGATGTTGAATATAGGAGAACAACTATCTGGGAGTATAATGCTGAAAGAAATTTCAAAATCGGAGTAAAATTGGATTTTTGGCGTGGTTTTGAATGGGTGAAAGCTAGAGTGAAAGCGATTTTAGGGCACCTTGGAGTGGGTGTGGCGGGCGCAAATGTGGCCATGGCATTAAACCACTTCAGGGTTGTTCATTCATGGGACACTACAAAATATCCAAAGGGCATCGAGATCCGGGAGTTGATAGTACACAACCTCCTCTCCTTAGTAAATGTGGAATTGTGTGCATGAAGTGCACAATATATTTTTTTTTGTGAAAGCCCTTCTCTCATATCGTAATCCAGTCATACATCTGTGCAATTATTAATTACTTCATTACTTAGTTTCTAAATTAATAATAAATTAACGAATCATTTACCAACAAAAATTATTAATTTTAGTTATATATAATTATGCTATATACTATATAGCATAATTTCTTAAACAAATAATTCAACTTCAAGCTCTTTAACAAAATTCTGTCATAAATATTGATAAAGTCAGAGCAGCTCATGCAGAAACGATATACACATGTATGTAAGATTCACATTTTACTTGGTCACTATTAATGATACTATTAATAATAAGACGCGTTTGACTAACAATGCGATGGTGTGAAGTGTAACCCTCCGATGTGGTCGAAATTTCGAAATTACGTGGTCCATGTCAATACAACCAACGTTTCTTCCGGCATTTTGTGCGATGGTCAGAATTTGACAAAGTATTTGAGGTCAAAGTTGAAAAACGGACGATTCTTACCAGACGGAGGAAGCAAACTCAAGTTCCATTCCCTTCCTGTGCTAAAAATCGCATGTTTTTTTTAACTTTGCCCTCAAATATTTTGCCAAACCATCGCACAAACTGCCTCAAGAAACGTTTGTTGTATTGACTTGGACCACATAATTTCAAAATTTCAACCAAATCGGAGGGTTACACTTCACACCATCGCATTGTTAGTGGCCGTCCATTTACGTAACGCAAGGGGGGAGTGGGGTCAAAGGGTCCAATGAATCGTGCCTACGTTAAAGGGGGAGAGGCAGATCTAGAAAATTAAGATTTTTTTGTTCCATAATTTATGACCGGCCCCTAACAGACCTTTGAATTTCGTCCACCATGAATAACTATCAAGGTTGAACTATCTCTTTTAAAATGCTAAGACACACCACATATCCTCGAACAGGTACATGATCAGTGACATTCAAAGGTGCAATATTTATCAACGTTTCCACAGCTTCAGTCAACCTTTCCCCCAATACATTCCCTCCAAGGGTATTTCTTCTACACTATGCAACCCTAAAACAGGCGTGGGACCAAAAGTCGAGACAAAAAAATCAGTAGGATTCTCCCGTACGCAGAATTGGGAAGGCTTGTAGAACGCCGTATTTAACTCGACTCCAAACATTTCTCCAATATCGACTGGATAATGCAACCTGCCAAAATCCTTTACTTCGTAAATTTTTAATTTCGTATGATTAAAATCTCCCCCGATGAGGGCCGGAATTTCTAATCTGTCCACTAAGATGTCCACAAATTGAAAAAAGTTCGCATTCTGCGTCCCCCATCTGTCAGCATGCCAACTTATCGCTATAAAGTCAAAGTTAGGCTCAGCTTTATAGGTTAATTTAGTAATACAAAACCTATTAATGTCCACACCAGGTCCATCTTCGGCCAGGTTATATTCTTCGCTGATACTCGTAGCCTCAAATTTTTCGTCATTGTAAAAAATGATTTGCTGGTATGACTTACATATACTGAAATTTTTCTTCAGTTTAAGAGTTTCTACATGGTTTAAAATGTCTACCCATCCGCACTCCTGGATGAAATAGAGGTCTGCGGGTAGATCTGTGAAAATTGCGTTTAGAAGGGTTTTTCTCTGCACTGCTGTAGGTGTAGCTGGATAATTGGTGTAGGAAATATTGTAGGTGATGATGGAGAAGGAAATCCCATTGCAGAATTGGAAAATTTCCTCTTGGTGGTGTGACATGTTGCAAATGTCGAGATCAGAGACAGGAATTACTTCCGGTGCTGGATCATCTTCTCCGTCAGAGGATGGTGGAGAATGTAGTGTTAGTGAAAGGGATGATATGTCGGGTAGATTAGTCCCACTATTTCATTTACGAATTAAATTACTGGCAAAGAATAAATGCATATGTGTGTACACAGTTATATAAATGTAAACTTTTTATGAAATCCATGAAAAAAACCCACCTCATACCGGCGTCCTTTTTGACTTTGTCCTTTGACTTTTTCGGCATTTTTTCAAAAACAGGGACGGCGTCCAACCACAATCTTTCTGGGCTGCTACTACCATGCAAATTTTCAAGCTGTTATCGTGCCCAATGTGTGAGATGGAACAGTTTTTCTATATACCGTACAATTTAATTTGCTTCCCAATGAAAATGTATATGTATGTATTTAGTTTGGGTAGCACGTAAATGCCGATAAAACAGTGTCGCGCCGCGGAAAAATAATTCTATAGCATTATCGATTTTATTAAAGTTTGGTATTTAAACTTCAATAAATCGTGATACCTAAGAACAGCAGAAAATTGCACAACATAGGATAAAAAATGTTGCGTGCAGTTATGTATCGTGCCTTTGTATATAGTGCATGCAGAACAATTACATCGTTTAGATGTATTGGTATGTATGTTAACCTCCAATGTACATATATACATATCTATGTATGAACATACATATTTGTTTTGCACATATTTGCATACAAATATTGCGTAAAGGCCCAACTATATTACGAGCTAAAAAACTTGTACTGTCATCCAAACTAAACACAACCCGAACAACAATATTTCATACCATGAAGTTCATGGCATGAACACAATTTAAAACTTTGGTTGGAAATTCAAACTTTGAATGGTTTTATTTTTTAATTTGGTTTTATTGTGATTAAAAATAAAAACATGAATATTTTTCCGCATCCTTAATCCTTACATAATTAGCGATCTAATCCTAAGGCGCTGACACTTTGTACACTCTGTAGCAAAAATGCAGAAGTGTAGGTGTTCGACGCTTCTACATCGTTACGAAGGAATTATCGAAAAAATTTGATCAAATATTCTTAGGCAGTACATGAAGTAATGTAATTTCTAAAATTTAGAAATCGCTATGATTAAAAATTGCGGCATTTTCATTAATATACATAATTACACGCATACATATTTATGCAAAATAATTACGTTTGGCTAATCTTATAATAGAACAATAATAAATAAATTTTCATGGAAGGTTTTTGTTTCTTTCGTTTTTCAATAAAAAAAGTATAATTTGTAATTAATAACTTCCCTGGAAGATCTTTTTTATCAGATAAAATAAAAAAGATTAATTATTCCTAGTATTTTTCTTAACTACGTGGAGTTGCTGAAAAAATTCCATATTTCCAAAAAAAATTGTTGCAATTGATTAAATATTCTTGGGCAGTGCGAAAACGTAGTTCCTAAAATTTTAAACCGCTATGATTCGAAAATTACGAGAATTACATATTTATAAATGTATCTACTCGAAAAAGTAATTTTTGTTGAATTGTTTAATAGATTTTAAAAATTCATTACTTTATGAATAATATCATTGAATAAGGCAGGGATAATTTTTCTAAATCCATTTTCATGGAAAATTTTTGCTTCTTTTTGCCTTCATGTATAATTTATAATGAACTATTTTAAAAGAATTGTCTTATTGATGACTTTCTGTAACTGCTTCTGTAACTGCAAAATTTGAATAAATGAACAATGAATGAGTGAAGGTTTGTCTCAATTTTGAAAATGAATGAATTTTGAATGAATAAATCTTTTTTGAACAGGTGCGTGCGTGCATATTTATTTCACAACAAATAAATTAAATCAATTTAAGATATGTTTAATATTACTTCTGTTTTATTTTTTCAATTAATGTCAATATACCAAATGTGTAAATTGAAAAAGGAAATAATCAAATGTGAAAAATAGTCCAAAAACATTTTTTGTTTTTCCATTTTATCAATTCAAGTCGATATACCAAATATCATCTCTTATCATCCTGTTATCAGTGTTATCCATCTGATCGATAGTTTGTCCTCCAAAAGCGTAAATTCTATTCAATTTCTTTACGTAAACGGCATCAGTAAAAAACATTTGCTGATCTTCTTCGTCCGGAAGTCGTCAATTGTGACCGGGGCTATCAAATTTGTTTCAACATTATACGTCCAAACGTTCGTGGAGGTATAGTTTTGAACGTTTCCGAAAATATAGATTAACTCCCCAGTCCACACCGTCGACAAGGAAGCCATATCTCCAGAGCGGTAAATATTATCTAGTTGGAGCACCTCGACATGATCCATTTCGATGCTGTACTTGCCAACTTTGTCACAAATTTGGTCCAGCTCCACATATGCGCAGCCAAACAGGAAGATGCTGTCGTTTCCTGTGTACCACAGGAAAATCAGAAAACCCTAGTTTTAAGAGTCGTTAACTAATTTTGTAAAAAAATTGGGCTGGGAAAATGTTAAAATAAAAATTCCCAATGGACAAGAAAAAATTAATAATTTCAATCTAGTATTCGCATCATTATTTACTAGAATTGTGAATTTTTTATATTTAAGGTTCCATTGCAGGAGGGTTTGAGTTTGAAGTATTCAAATGGCGATTTCGAAACCCATTTTTTACAAATATAACAATCATTTTTTACACAATTGTTTGACCTTTATATCGAAATCATTTTAGTGAAAACTTGCCAAATCGTATTTCGCCAAACCTTATAAACATGTCCATCAAATCAATATTCATAGTGTTGCGGGGTTGCACCCCCCTTTGTATTTCTTATCTTTATATGTTCTTGTCAATTAGGGGTACTTATTTCATCCCGAACAACTCCGGTTTGTGTTTCTATGTATTTAAGTCATTTATTCTTTCTTCCACTTACTCAACTATCTAACTTACATACTAATTTACATACTAATCCTAACCTAATTTAACTTATTCCTTCTTCTTCTTCCTCGGTTCCCGATGTTGTGAGAGACCCTGTTTTCTGGTTGGGTTCGTTATTTTATTCGATTTATTCTTGGCTTTCTTGCCAAGATATTTATTTCGGGGAGAGAGAAATCTCTCCCCACGACACTCCTGGGCCCTTGAGATCTTCGTCCTCGAAGACAAGTGGTTTACATATTTACTAAAAATGCATTCAATTTGGCGTTTGAATTTCATTGATTAATTATTTTGAATAACAATTTTTGTTTGTTGGATAAAAATTTACATATGGCGTGAATCTCATTTTGTAAGACGTATTTTTAGAAATTGGTATAATTATCATCTTAATTATTTTTATGTTATCATATTTTAATTTAAATGACAGTAGGTTATTCACATCGTATATTTATAATTGAAAATAATAAATCATCAATTTTTATGGGCGTATTTTAACATACATTTTTAGCTCATGCATTTTATGCTGAATTGTACATATTTTACATTCTTGTTTTAAACATCTCCAATTTTTTTTTTCTCGTAAGTCATAACAAAACTGCTTACATTCCAAATTCGTTTTTTAATGGCAGTATAATAATTATTCGCTCAGTCATAATTTGACAACGTGAAGAATATCATTAATAATAGAATTTTCATTTAAATTTTAACAATGTTAAAATTGATATTATTATTTTTCTTTTCCATTGTTCATTCTCAAAATGTTCCTCTTGCATTATCATGGGACATATTACAGTCTTGTTTGTCGTGTTTGAAAACAGAAGAGAATCTATTCTTGATACGAGGTGGGGACGAAATTTGTGTACCGTGCCATAAGTTTCCAAATAAAGATGATGAAGAATTTATTGCTTTACATTTTGTCGCCTTCCCGGAGTTTTGCTAGTGCAGATTCCTAATAACTTCATTTCATGGACGTGATGTGGGATGTGGAAATTTTGGTGAGTAACTTTTGTATATAATATTGTTACATGATTAATTATTCATATTATTTATATAAATTTTACATTTGATTTGATTTGTTAATTAATTTTCATAATAATTTCACTATTTTTACAGGAGAACTGCCCGTGCATCTTTTAAATGCATGGATGGACGATTCTTCATTGAATATTTCCCAGTTCGTGTTCAATTGGCCCTTTCTGGTAAACACAATAATTTGTCAATATCTTATTGTTTTACATATGTAATAATAATAATGTATATATATGTATTTGATTTTTGGTGTTTAGCAACAATCCTTGCTTGAAATTCCAACAACGACTCCATTAACCCCCGAACAGTCAACAATCATGACGACGACAATTCCTTCATCAGCAGAGATTCCCTCCTCGGAACAGACAACGACCATTTCTTTTTCAGAAACGACCCCAATGTCGCCAACGACCTCCCCCATCAGTCCGGTTTATGAAGTCAGCGATGACGAGACAGTTAATCAAGCGACGACTCACTCGTCTCCCTTCGTCACGGAAAACACAGAGCCGGACACCGCGAGGACGACAGGAAAGGAGTGGACGGAACAAGTGGGAGCGTCCTGGTGGGTGTGGTGTAGTATCGGTTATGTGGCAGGAATGCTGACATGGGTTGTCATCTGGGTGCTCGTCATAATGAGTAGTTGGAAACAAATATTAGCCATGTAAACATATTATTAATTTTGAAGTGAATACCCCTCGGAGGAGGATTTTTATATCTCACTTAGTTGAATAATAAATTACTTAAAATTTCAAAAATTCAGAATAATTTCAGAACTGTTGAAAGTTATATGTAATGATAATTCCTGATAATTGGTGGATTATAAACAATTTGAAATATGATCATTTTAATTATTGTTGTTGTTTTTGTTTTGAGTCAATGCATTTTTGGAATATAAAATTCCTCCCCAAGTCAGGTTTTTATCAAATAATTTCAAATTATCGTTTGGAATGATTAATTAGACCTCCCTGGTCATAATTTTGTCGATAATGACCAGGTAAACACGCCGCCACCTGGTCATTTAACCCCAAACCATAATCCATCCTCCTATGTGTTAAACTGCTATACGAACGTTTTCGTATTTCTGAGCCTTTTATGGCATCCGCCAGACTTGAACCAATTAATGAGCTCCGAATAAGTAAAATATGCCTATGTCGGACCAGTAGACTTTATTTCATTCATTGGAAGTCAATTGAGGCTTATATTTAGCCCATTCCAATTTATTCAGGTGGTTCGCTTTGGGGACTCTCTCGTCGGTCGGGCTACTGGAGCCTGAAACCCCAAGGCATAATTTTTTAGTGAACACCAAATTGAATGATATGTTTGCCCCACAGTTGGTACTGCAATTCAACATGGATTTGGGGGCTAAAATCTTCCGATCTCGAGTAATTTGTTGCTTGATTCATCAGTAGATTTTGGGCGTAGGTGACCTTTTTCGTCCGCATCGTCGAAAAGTAGAAACTGAGATCGTCATTTTATATTTCTTTGCTACGTTTTCAATAGTGAATATGGAAAAGTATGTTTTCTCTTTGATTTTTCGATAACAAAGCATTTTTATGGAAGAGGCATGAATATTTCTCGCCGCGCCAAATACAGCTGGTTTAGTGCCGCCATTTTGGCTCCAGACAACACAACTGTAGACTTAAAATGTCGCTAACGTTATATTTTGTCACCTAATTACCTTACGTAAGGAAATGTGGAAGATGGTTAAGAAAATTGTGTCGAGTAACTAATTTAGCCACATGTTGCCAATACTTTTTGCAGGTTCGTACCTGACTCGTTAAGGTCAAAATCAGGATTGCGTTATGTTTACTAGATTTAAATCGGAATCATGATTATAATCCAACACTACATTAGATTTATCAAATGTGTTCAAAGTTTCATGCCAATTTGATAACGCATGCCAAAGTTATAACCAATTTTATTTAGCTTGCGTGGGTGTTGCCAATACTTTTTCCATTGACTGTACATCATCAACCTAGTTTTAGTCCAGAAGTGTGATGTGAAGAGTTCTTATGGTTGGAGCTCAAGAGCAGAGATGAAGAAGTCCGGGGTCGCGGAAAGAGGGTAAAACTCTACTAAAGTTCTATTTATAAGAAGTCACAGTGCCGTAACTACTGCATCAATATTAGTTTAAACCTGGCAAAATGCCCGATGTCCTGATATTTTTATTTTATTTTTAAATTAGAAGATAACTAAGCACTGATTTGAACACCTGCCAAACAAATTTGCAGGCTCTGAAATTTTGCACCCCAAATAGCGCAGCCACCGCCGGGTGAGAATTTCAACTAGGTACGCGAAAACCAAACTCTGCAAACGATTAAAAGCTGACGTGCCCAAAATGGGACATAAGGGAAATAAAAAAAAATTTTACCACTCGAGTAGCCAAGGACAATTTGTTACTTGAGCCAAAATTTTTGGTGAAGCTCAAAATAGCAAATATTAGTCAAGACGGTTGTTAAAGAAAACAAGTAGGTATTACCATGACGCAAACCGAACCAGTTTTGGTAATGTGAATGGAATAAATGGTCCAATTATTTGAGAGGAGGGAGAATTATTTATGATTTAGACCTGCATGCACGTTTTGGATAGCATAACAAACCCTAGTTATTAAATGAAAACAAAAATTTCTGGGATGAAAAGCCAGGCGAACCCTGCATTATTAACATCATGCTGACGAAAAAAAACAGGAAAGCTATCGGCGTGAGATATATAGACTCGAGTAAGTAGCTCGAGAAAAGTAAGGGGAGTTTCGCTAAGAGGTAAAAAATGTAAGAAGGGGTGTGGTTGCAAAGCGGTTAGTTGTTCTAAAATTATCATTACAGCTTGAGCCTCCAATTCCGCTGAGGTTATGCAATTCTGACGATAGCAGGCGAATTGTTGGAAAATAAATGCTAAAATGGATAACGGAGATTCAGATAAAATAGGCTGGTTAAGGTGTAACAAATGCAAAAGAGTAGCCATTTGATAAAAATTTTATAACACTCTGACCAATTATTAGAAGTCGATCCTCAGCAACGTAATCCTGTCACAGGGGGACGAAATGACACAAAGAAAAATTCGGTGTTGATTATTGTCACTGTGACACTTCTACACTTGGTGTTGTCCGAACATGCGAATTTTGCAGAACAATCCAACAAATTATTGACGTTGGCACTTGTACACTTATGGTAGTCGAAAGTCGGTAAGTTGGCAGAACGATGCGACGAAATAATTGCACAAGTTGCGGTGGTGGTGGGAGAGCAATAACGAGTTGAATTTTTGTTATTTATTTTAGACTGAAATATGTATTAACTAAGTGTGGGGTGGTCGCTGGAAAACCGAAGAGGCACCATTTGTGTTGCGGGGTTGCACCCCCCTTTGTACTTCTTATCTTTATATGTTCTTGTCAATTAGGGGTACTTATTTCATCCCGAACAACTCCGGTTTGTGTTTCTATGTATTTAAGTCATTTATTCTTTCTTCCACTTACTCAACTATCTAACTTACATACTAATTTACATACTAATCCTAACCTAATTTAACTTATTCCTTCTTCTTCTTCTTCCTCGGTTCCCGATGTTGTTAGGACCCTGTTTTCTGGTTGGGTTCGTTATTTTATTCGATTTATTCTTGGCTTTCTTGCCAAGATATTTATTTCGGGGAGAGAGAAATCTCTCCCCACGACAATAGCATACCTGTGTGCACGCCTGATAACGTAGTGTCCCCGAACGGGGCCGGTAGGTCCTTCAACCTCGTGGACGTCGCCGTTTTAATGTCGAATTTATGAACCGAGTGGTAAAAATATCCACTCATTATGTAGCCTGTATTATCGTCCAATAAAATCCTGGCGGCAATCCACTCAATCGTCCAGTCTGCAATTATCGTCCAGTTGTTCGTGTTAAGATCTACTTTCAGAATTTTTCCTATAGGGTCTAAGCCGCTCAAGTAGTAAATCAGGTTTTGCTCAAAATCCATAAAGGCAGTTCCCAAGTTCAGATGATAAACCGAATTCTGAGCGACAGAGACTATTTCATCGGTGGAAATGGAGTACCTCGAAATGATGGCGGTACCGGTGTTGTTGTAAGAGCCGTCATACCCGTCGATGATGTAGATGTAGTCGTCCCCGTCGTAAATCGGGTTTAGCAAGTATTTCAGAGCGGGAAGCTTTGCCGAGGACTTGATCGCTCGTAGATTGGGTTTCGGTGTGGTACACGCGTGGTTGGATGACCACGGTGACCAGGACGAGGAGGAAAACGGTAGTGATGAGGAGGTGTGACCCGGAAGTCATCATCCTGTTTCTAAAAAGCCCAAATTTATTTTAACGATGCATTTAAACTCCGTTTCAAGTTATCTGACAAGGGACACTCACGACCTGTCGTTTGAGTCCAGGGTACCCACTATGTTTTTCAGGATCTACTAGGACCCCAGATGAAGGATCCATTCATATTTCCGTGTAAAACTCATATTTGGCGCCATGGCGTGGCGCCAAACTTAAAAATTTGCATTTTCGACCAATTTCAAACCCCCATAACTTTTGCAGTTTATGTCGGATTTTTAAAATTTTATGCTTAAAATGATCAGAAAAGTCGAAATTTTAGAGAAAAAAATAAAAATAAAAAAATTTTAATTTTTGAGATATTTTTAGCATTTTTTCGACGAACCCGAAATTTCGAAATTTTGCGAAAAGTTAAAAGCGACAATTTTGGAAAAAATTTCATAGAATACGAAAGTTGAACTCCTTGTCATGATTTTTGCCAAAAATTTTGAAAATCCGTCCAGGATTTCAAAAGTTACGGCGGTTTTAAAATGAAAAACCATCAAATTTGGCGAATTTGGCGCCACGCCATGGCGCCAAATATGAGTTTTACACAGAAATATGAATGAATCCTTCATCTGGGGTCCTAGTAGATTCTAAAAAACATAGTGGGTACCCTGGACTCAAACGACAGGTCGTGAGTGTCCCTTGTGAGTTCATCACATGGAGTAGATTAGCCGAACGAATATTTCATTATTTTACATCAGTTATTTTTAGTTTGGCGTTTAAATTATTCAATTTCGTATGATTTTTAAGATTTTTATGATTTTATGAGTTATGATTTTTGAAATAATTCGGCTCGTTCGGCTAATGTACTCCATGTGATGAGCTCAGATAGCGTGAAACGGAGTTTAACTGCGCAGGTAAAATATTGGGATAACAAACTTATTTATTTTTCAGATTGGAATAGGCACGCAAAGTTGTAAGTAAGTACTTTTCTCAGGTGTGTGAGTGAGACTAAAATGTCCCCCAAACTTAGGAGTAAATATATATCGACATGGTTGACAGGCTGGATGAATTTATATATTGTACTTTGTACTTTTTATCTAATTATTGGGATGGAGGAAAGTTGTTAAGAAATTCTTTGTATCCCGAGTCAAGCCTTATGGAATCAGTATCTATGTATGTCTGGGTGTATATGTGCGGTCTTCGGTCACTTTACATAATTTCTGCTGCATAACTACCATTTCACATAATGACCATTTTACATAATTATCAATTATTTTCGAGTGTACAAACTATATAGGTACTAAAGATTTATCTACCTACACCTATGTACATATGTGGAATGGTTACACTGTTGCTATTAGAAATCCAGTATTAAAATAATACCCAGTGGTCTTCATATATAACTCAACCAGGATGGTACTGATAATACCTTCTTGGCATAGCTCGGTATTTTTTACGGGCCGGTAAAATTGTAATACCAAGCGGTAGCAGCTTTAATACCAAAAATCAATAACTGCATGACTAAGGTGTATCAGATTTCTAAGTACATTTGTACGTAAAAAATAACTCCAATGGTTCCACCGACGACTATATTTGCACCTTATAGTGCTCGGTTACTGTATATAACGAGAAAGGAAATTTTAAACTTACGTATAAACACCAACTTCTAGCCCTGATAATTAAGCTTGTAGAAATTACGAAATTAAAATCCAGTTTTCCCTGCAGATTTCCAAACACGCCATTCAGGAAGATTTTAAGATGTGCAAGTTCCTCTCAATCTTAATTACGAAAAAATTATGCGATACGTATTTGTGTGATAAGGCTTCTTATGTAAAATGACTTTTATGCAATAAAAATTAGGCGAAATGGCCATTATGCAAAGGTTCGTTATGTAAATTGACCTAGGACCATGTGCATGTGTATGTATGCATGTACTATTTATGTGTATTGTACGTGTGCGTATCGGATCTGACAGATGCTTATGTGCATTTGTTTGTGAATAATTCAAAAATTGAGGGCCGAATAATAGAGAAAACCTATTTAGGAAATATTCACCAGGGGTCAGTAAGTCCGGGCAGAAATTTAGAAGCGGACTCTGTCGGGCTAAATGAAGGCTGTGCCGTAGATTTTTATCATAGTCGATAAGCAGGAGGAAAATTTGTTGAAATTAATTCGTGTGACGGTTATCATGCCATTTTCTGTCAGGTGGACATAATATGAATATCATCAATATATTGTGTAATTTAATTGGTCGTTAATTTAATCATACTAAATTGTCAGTTCAATTATATGACCTGTATAAGTTCAAATATAAGTTCAAAGGTATACAGGTGTCAACAGGATAAGTGACGATGTTTCGTTAAGTCATGATGTGCGTAGCGTGTTTATTTAGGGGTGAACGTCTTTTATAAGATCGTCTCGTCATGTCACATGTCCGTCTGTCCATTGGTCCAATAAAACTAACTTGAACGGATACGAATTTGGGTATACGGTTTTTTGTTACGTGTTTCCCCAAACCTGTAAATTAAATACTGTAAATTGAATAAATTAACCATGCATTATTCCAATATAATTTATGTTTTTTGTTGAAAACGAGGTGGCCCACTCAGACCTCATCATCAAACATTTAGGCCTGGCTTCCGAGTTTCGATTTGCAGGACATCCTATTCCCTCCTGGATATTGAATTAAAATAAGGGGGCAAATTCTGAAGACTATGTTTTGGTAAATCGGTATTGCATAACAATTCGTTGATAACAAATTTATCAAAAATGTGCTTAAAAATAATTAAGAGATACACCTTTGTAAAATTTCATCTTAATCTTTATATCTGCATAAATCTTTATTTGATTGGAATTTTTTCTTCGTACACTTTTATTTTTCACCCAAAACGGTACACATAAACTTTGCAACATTTTCTCATTTCAATTCATAATTTAATGGATGAATTTCCGGCAAAGTTTCTGACTCTATTTAAGTTTTACTGGGGTCAATAAGCGGTTACATTTTACTTTCACTTTTTTGCCCCTCATCACTAATTCCAAGACTGGAAGGGTTATATAAAATGCAAAAAATCATGTTGCATGCTCCTGCAAGAAATATGTCGTCTATTTGTGGGGGTGGTTAAAACCATTGGGTCGCATCATTCCACTCAAGGGTGTAAACTCAAAATTCTCACAAAATTGGCAGCACACTTTGTGTTAGGCTCATTTATTTTATGGCGACTTGAAACAACAAATAACGTCACGAGCACAACAACAACCTTTGTCTTGGCGTTACATAAAAATTGACTACGTTTATGTGACAGACATCCTGCTTGACAAAAATAATTGCCAATTGTTTCAACTTCTTTCTTGCCTGGTATGCATGCATTAAATTAGTAAAGTCGGGTTTTTATTTTATGAGCACTAAAACTACGCAACTTTGAACAAAAACATATACGTAAGCCACATTAAAGACAAAAATGTGGCTTATCAAAAAGAACATGGGAAATTTATATACTGATAAAAATTTCATTTGTAAAACGAAAAACTGCATCTTTTTTACTCTGATCAGACTAAAATTAAAATCTGACACCATCGCTTTTTTCAGAATCATATTATTTTATATATTTTTTTTAGAAATTCAGTGTGGCGAAAAATCTTACTTTTTGTTCCTGAGTAATACATGTTTAGAGTGAATGAGTGGACACAGTGGTCATAGATTCTCATCGATTCCCATCGATTGAAGTTTGGCAATAAAGCAATGTGTGGATCACGTTGCATTTAGCAAAGAATGTTAACTCTTGTTTATTACATGAATACGTACATTCGTGTATTCTTACAATTGAGGTCTCTCATTGTATGCTTTCCGATTTTGACCAAATTCAATCGATCACAAATTTAATGATTATGAAATTTGCGAAAGGCAAGATCTCCAAATGCACAAGTTTGGCAAAGATATTTGCATCCGAAGAGGAGAAAATGCGCAATAAATTTTGAAAGTGTCAAAGAAATTTGTCAACTTTAGGGAGTGTTTTCTCCTCTTTCGATGCAACTATCTCCTCCACACCTGCGCTGTATTTTTTGCAAATTTCGTACTAAATTTGTTTTAAATTCGTTATAGATTAACACTAATTTGGTCAAAATCGGAGAGCATACACTGGGAGACTTCCATTGTTATATAGCGCTTACAGAGAAATTAATTATGCAATTTTATGTCTGTATATGTATGTTAATAACGCATGCATTCTCCATGGACAAGTGAATATTTGTATGTATCGTGTTATGTATGCGTCAATTTGACTAGCCTCACAGCCTTTTCAATCTAAAGATAGCTACATAATTAATTAAATTATGTAAATACCTGAGCCAGGCTCAATTCAACCAACGCATTGACTCATGTACATATGTATAAGTAAACGCATACAACAATCCAAACTATGAAATTTTGTCCTTGATGTGTTCATTCGAAGAATTATCTTTACCAGGTATAAGTTTCATAACCCAACCCTTCGCATATTTCTTCATGGTAATAACAGGATTGCCGAAATATCATTAAATGGTGGCAGCCGCTTATTGTGATCAATTTGTCTGTCCGTCCGTAGGTAGACAAGATATGTCCCGAACGGCTCAATTCTTTCGACCTTCATGACGGTGAGGACGAGGTCAAAGGTCAAAATTCACATAATTTTCATTGGATATTGTGCTCGCTAACAACAGGATAAATCCGATTAGTGCGCAAGGGGTGCGGTCCAAAATTAAGTCTAAAGTAATCTAAATTTAATTTTCATATGGTGTGTCATTTTAAAGAAAATTTCAATATTTTTGACGGCTGACCAGACCAACCCACGACCGAGAGGAGGAGGTCAACAAAACTCAAAAATGCATGATTTCCATTTTTCATGCGTCACATTAAAATTTTACATATTACTCATGCCACCTTTTCATGTTCGTTGACACGGTTTATTTCATTGTACGTTTTTTGTGGTTGAGTTGAGTGAAACATGACTGGAATGATCCATTCAATTGTGACGTGGTTAAAATCTTAAAATGATTCATTTTGACATAAAGCTACAGACCTGTAGATAGATGGGTGTGGAATGGACGTACTTATTTAGGTATGTACTTTATTATGCAACACTAGACAAAAATTCGGGACAAAAAATACGGTCCATCCAATCAAACCCATCACTGCTCGGCAGTGGCCGCGGAAGCTGTGGGTACATGTGAGGACTTAAATATTGCAAGATAGGGAATCGAGGGGTTTATATAACATGGGCAGATGATAGGGAAATCGAAAAACCGTGGGGACATTGTCCCTCTGTCCGCGGTCACTGTAGCTCGGTTTTGTATAGATGCGACTACCTTCTTAGATTAACTACCTATAAATTTTGGTTGATGCATGAACATTTGTCTTCCAATCTTATCCATGCCATATTTTTGAATTGAGTCGTTGTATATTGGTACACTTATATATAGTACAACAATAAATTACATTGGGATCGCAGTACAATTGTAACTGACCAGCAGTGCATTCAAGATCTATTTAATAGTTGATAAAATTTCTAAAATTCATCGAACTTGGAAAACCAGACGGTTTCGGAGCGATTTCTTCACAAAACCTGCACTTTCGTACGACTTTAGCCTTCCGCACACAGATTCTGGTCTTTTTATGAGTGCAGCACCCCTGGAAATCATAATATTTACGAAATATTTCGAGTTGGCATTTTTAGTGTTGATTTTGACTTTAGTAAACGGCACAAGATATTTGTTATTTGCTGATTTACTGTTTTAACTTTAATCCACACTGGATATATACACTCAAAATAAGGTAGTAATGAATCATTACCATGCGGAATGACTATGTGGCTCTACCACGTCGGTTACGATTTGTCGTAAAGATTGTAATAATAAGTTCAGGGAAATTCAAATTTATTACCAAATATTAAGGAAATGAATACCATTATGTATTAAATTTGAATTTCCCTGAACTTATTATTATCATTTCTGCGACAAATCGTAACCGACGTGGTAGAGCCACATAGTCATTCCGCATGGTAATGATTCATTACTACCTTATTTTGAGTGTATATATTTCTAGTTCGTTGAAACAAAATGGCCGATCAAGGAGATCAATATCCAACTGAGAAAATGTACCCAGCTCCAGCACCACCCCCCTATTTTCAAGGAGCGATGCCAATGCAGCAATACCCACCCATGCCAAGTTTTGCGGAATCTCCACCCATGCAGCCCCTTGCGACGGCACCACCGCCACCACCGGTAACTTTCCAGCCAGTACAGACCCGTGCGTTTTTGTTACATTACATATTTTCTGCTGTTTCAACCTTAGAGTTGATTAAGGTGGCATTGTATGCGGGCTTTGAGTTTGAATTATTATGTCTCAACTTTCCCTTCTTCCTTCCATATATTCAAATGACGATTTTGAAACCTATTCATCCCCGTGGGTTTTTTTACAATATGAAGATTTTAATGCATCTAAAAATCGACAATTTTTAGACTTACAAAGTTACGACTGTAGAATTTTGATTTTTTTCTTCTATGAGGAAATAAATATGAAATAGATGAAAATAACAAGTAAAAATTAAACATTTTCTCATTTAAGAAAAAAATCAAAATTCTAGCCTCCTAACTTTGTAACCCTAATAATTATCGATTTTTAAGTGCATTAAAAACTTCATATTGTAAAAACCCCACGGAGTTGAATAAGTTTGAAAATCGCAATTTGAATATATCGAAGAAGGGAAAGTTGAGACGCAACAATTCAAACTCAAAACTCGCGTACAAGTGCACGTTAAAAATGTATTGATTTTCGTGATTAGTCATAAGCTAAAATATATTTTGCAGCTGTTATTATTCCCCGCGTGCATGAACCCGTCGTCATCGACTGCCCCCACTGCCGAGCTAAAATCACGACTTCCGTTCGATACGGTATTGGAATGATGGTTCACCTTTTCGCAGTTGTGCTCTGCTTCTTTGGGTAAGCCAGCAAGTAGTTCACTCTAAAAAATTAGGTAACATATTACGAAACGGTGAGTATACAAGGATGGTAAACAAGTGTTTTTTTCGCCCTTGATTCAATTTTGTTGAGCGGTTTCATACCCATTCATGAAAAAGATTCGTAAATCTACGTCGTTTACAAAGAGTTGACGTGAAAAGCCCATCGTAAAAAATTGGTTTTCATTTTTATTTCTTGCCAAATATCATTGATAGATCGATCGTTTTCGTAACTTGCTTAATACACGAGACACTGACTCAGTTTGAACCCAGGTAAAACCCCGTTATCTTGCTGACGGACAAAGTCTTCGTTTAATAGGGCTGCTCCCTATAGTAATCATGAAATTCATTATTTAATTCATTAGTATGTTATACATTCATCACCTTGAATGATTGTATACAATTTGTATAGGTGCTGGCCATGCTGTCTCATTCCCTATTGCCTGGACCCGTGCAAGGACACAACTCACGAATGCCCTGCGTGTGGACGACACCTTAGCGTCGTCAAACGCCTTTAAGCTTCTGATAAATCTAGATCTTTCAGGAAATCAACACTTTCAGTCCAATTTCTTTAAAAAAATGGACAATTTTGAATAAAATCGTGTTAAACGAATATAAATAAAAAAAAGTTGCGTCAAACCACTGACACACACAGGTATTTTGAGGCGTTCTAGAGATATCCTGCCTGCAGACGGACGGACGGACATAACGATCACATTAAGCAAGTTAATAATGATTATCCAAATTCATTCCAGCTTGATTTGAATGTGGACCTAAAAAATGTGCTTTACAAAATTAAAAATCAGCCCATTGCATATTACATACAAAGTTAGCATTTTTCGTGTTGATTACTATAATTTTGACATTAGTTAACGGGACAAATGTTAAAAATTTTTTCTTAAAACCTTACGAAAGTTTTCTAGTTCTTCTCCAATTAAAAAAGTGTAGCGTGGGAATTTGTTGAATTGTGGAATTTGTTGAATTGTGGAATTTGTAGCAGAAACAAAAATTAAGAAGATTTATGTTAAAGTTTTAATAGATATCTGGTAGTGTTTAACGCCAACTGCTAAATGTTTACAGAAAAAGTTAAACTAAAAAGGACAAAGATGAGATTCTTGAGTCCCGGAATTAGAAGAAATAATTTTTCTGGCATATTTCATTGTTACTACAATTATGAACCATAAGTCGTGACAGGATTTGGAATTGACACGTGATTTGTATTGTTATCACTCTTTCTTGTCGATAGTCAAATTTGTAGTGTTTCTCAACGGGTACAAAATCCTTCATCCGAACCCGAACCCGAACCCGATACCATCTACCCGAATCCGATAAATACCCGAACCCGATAATCCGATTTGTTTGGAGAACGATCCGAATCCGAACCCGAACCCGATACACTCCATCCGAACCCGAACCCGATACACTCCATCCGAACCCGAACCCGAAACCCGATAAGTACCCGATAAGTATAAAATAATTTCATAAGCTCATTTGTGTATTAATGAATTTGTTTCCCAATTATTGTTTAAACTGTTAATAACAAATCGCAACTTCGAGCTTCAATTTTATAACTTCTATTTGTGTTAAAAAAGAAACCAACCTTCTACTGCATAAATTTTTGTTTCTTCCCCTAATATTATCCATCACTCATGGTTATTATTACTATCCTGTTGTTTCCTCTTTGGCATCCAACCGTGCACCACGTATCTCTCTCTCGCTCTGCAACTGGATCCTCTTCCATCTGGGTCGCGGGTGTGCCAGGGCAAGTAAAGTGTGTCCCAAGGCCTTATCGCCATGTGAGCACTCACACCCCCACCTGCGTGCCTGGTGACACCCCCTGCCACACCCGTCCCAGCAACGACAAGCTGAGCCATCAGGCGAAGATGGATTCGCCGGACCCAGTGCACGGGAGGATCTACGCCATGGAGGACTCCCCCAGGTAGGTCATTGTTTGGTATATCGGGGTAGTGACCGTGGGGGTGGTTGGTGGAAGAGTGAGGACGGGGTCGTGCATGGCGGTGGGCAGCGTAGTCGGGCCTACGGGGGTCCCATGACCCGGTTGTGTTGTGAGGAGTGGGTGAAGGGGCAAGTGGGTAGTGTCGTTCGGCCCTGGTCACACTGTGTGACCGTGAAGGGGACACGTAGCCCGAACCCGAAAGGGTGCTAGGGTATTTCGTGGTCCGTGGACACCCCGCCCAACAACCTTCGCTCGTCTTGCTTCCGCCTTCCCGACGCCGTCCTCATTTGGATATCACCACTATCTCTCGGGATCTGCCTATGATCCCTATCACTCATTTGTCCTGCCTGGGTGTCTGTAGTCGGAGCCGAATGGACCTCTGGGCCACATTCCCAGAGGTGATAGTGGTTTTCCTAGCTCTCCACCATAGCTAGGTTTTCCCACTATCCTCCGACTACTCTGTTATACATTTACATATCTAACTCTGTAATAATTCCATGTATTTGATGAGGGCCACCGGCCATATATCAATAAATTTCTATATTCTTATTACTATCCTGTTAAAATTTCTATCCAGTAATGTTTACATGGAATGGAGAGGTAGGACCCAAAAATGGTTAAAATTTGGTTACGTATTTTATGAATGTTCCATTAATTGAATGACAAGTTATTTCAAACACCTCGCAATGTTTAAAAAACTTTTTGGGACTAAAATTTTTTGAATCGGGTTTTCGGATAATCCGGAGGTAAACCCGAATCCGAACCCGATAATAATCGGATACTGAAAGCGTGATCCGTATCCGAACCCCATAACGTTCGGATACTGAAAACCCTATCCGAATCCGAACCCGAACCCGATAAAAACCCGAAACCCGATGAAAACCCGAACCCGTTGAGAAACTCTACAAATTTGTAAAATGGTCCAGGCAATGCCCAATAGCAAAAGGCATCAAACGGGAAAAAGGCACGCAAAAAAGCAATTTGGCATTGAAACAGAAAAGGGCATGAATTGTTTCCCAAAAAGGCGCCTTTTTGCACACTCTGGCATTAATGCAATAATTTAAATAATTAGTCTGAATGATAATATCAATCAGGGTGCATAAACATTTTTCATTTCACAACATTTCACAACATTTCATTTCACAACAAAAATGTTTATGCACCGATATCAATAATCAATAAGATAGTTTGGAGAGTGGTGGTGCAAATGCTATTCCGGAAAATTGATTTGATAGTAAGTGAAGTACAACAGTAGAATTGTTCGTCTTTATAAAGACGAACGAAAAATAAAGTAAATAAATAAAGTAAAGTAAATTAATGAACAGTTTAATTCCTAAATCACCTTAGATCTAGTCTAAAATTGGTGGTTAATAAATATCTAATTAATCTGCACTAATTTAAAATGCATATTGTTTTATTTACATTATCATGAAACTCTTTCAAACCACGCCAGAATCCACGAAGAGGTTTTATCACTTCGTGGTAATCATATTTCCCAGTTTAAAATCAAAGTACAAAGTTTTGGACCATAAATATTTTAGTTACTACCAATTTGACATTTTATTACTATCGGTTTCACACTATTCATTGCCGGCGATGGTAAATATTTTACTTTATTACCTAAACCGGTACATGTAGCCATAATTACTGACGTGTTGTAGTGAGAATTTTAATGATGTTACTATCAACATATTTTTTGTACGGCATCAGCTACTTCTTGTGATCGCTTTGTCCGTCCGCCCGCAAACAGGATATCTCACGAACGTATCAACATAATTCAACGCCGTTTGATTTTGAGTTCTCGGATAATCCATTATCCGAGAACTCCGATAGGGAAGTCCGATTGATTCCATTATAATGGAATCCATAGGACTTCCCTACAGCTTTCGGGGGTGTGGTCCAAAATTAAATTGAACTTAATTTTTATTCGGGGTATCATTTTAAAATAAATTTCAAAACAAAATCAACGCTGTCAACATTTTTTACCATCGATTATTTGTAATCCATGATACTGGGCACGAGGTCATATTTATTTCGGTAAAAAACATAATTCTCATGTGTGTTACACATTAAAATCTTAAATTTTGCTAAACATATGCCACCACTTTTTTATGTTCGTTTATTTCGTTGGGCGTTTTTTGTGGTAGAGTTGGCGCATTACTGGAGTGATATTACAAATGCATATTCATGTGATTTAATCTTTACAGCTTACATAATATGAAGGGGTTTTAGGATGAATACGATAAATACGATGCTCATATTTCCCAGTTTCACATCAAATTACTCCAAACAGTAAAAGTTTTTAGTATTTTTGTTACTACCCATTTGACATTTTATTCCTATCGGTTTCACACTATTTGTTGCCCGTGACGGCAAAGATTTTAGAACTGTAAAATTACCGCCATGTGTAGTAAAAAATGCAGTGATTTTATTACCAACTTATTTCTGAGTGTATATAAGACTACAAATAGTTATATGGGCTAGGAATGTGTATAAAACACTCAACTTGATTATATAACACGGAAAAAATACCCTCCGCATCCCTACATGAATACTACTGTTTAGCTGATATTAATAGTCTGAAAAAAATCTGAGAGGTTTCCCGGCAGATATTTCATAATATTTTCAAAAAACCAAATAACCTCTCAGAAAAATTTCCAAGGAATTGAGACTATTAATACTGGCTGAACAGTAAATACACAAGTACTTAGTCGGTCCATAGTTCGGATATTTATACAAGCCCAAACTTTTCTTTTCTAAATTTCCGTTCAAAGTTTCCTCGAAAATTTGTCATTTAATATTATTAGTGGGATATCGTGTATTGAATTTACTTTTTGCCCATTTGGTGCAAAGTTTTTTTCCAAATTTCGTGGCATTACACACACAAAGGGTAATAATTAATTAGGAGACTACACATCTGTGCATACATAGATTTTTTTTAAAGTCGTAAATAAAGAACTTGCAAAATTTTGCCCAATTTTTGAACGTGCAAAAATTGTTTTTGTCCAAAACAATTTTTAATTAAAGACTGGTTCGGACAAAGCGAATTCGATTGCTTACATACATTGCACAAGTCTGGTATTTTGCTGCTTTACTAATTTTACTAAGCCACACCGAAGTACATTTCTCGTTCGTTGAGAGAAATGGCCGATCCAGGATACGCAGCTCAACCTCCATATTTTCATGGTCAAGGAGGGCAGTACCCACCCCCACCGCAATCTACAGCCCAAACGGCCATACCGGTAGTAACTTCCCAACCAATGCCCAACAGTACGTTTTTCTTGAATTACATATTTTCCGTTATTTCCACTAACAATTGGGACGCAAACAACGTTCAACCCAGATAATTTTTTGTCATATTGCGAACTTCCGGGTTCAAAACTTGCTGAAATTTTGCATCTGTGCAAGCGCTGCGATAAACGTTGTTTCTAAAGTGTTGCTCTTTCAAACTGAGGCAGTCAAAAAATAATCTGGGTTGAATATGGTTTGCGTCCCAATTGTAAGCAAGCAATTCACAGAGGACTCGATGACAAATTGTCAAAATCAGCTCGGTTCTAATAATCTTTCCTCGGCGGTGAGAATTCATTTTAAAATCCTGGACGACAAATTTGTAGTTAGTGGTCTCAACGGTTCTCGGTTCTCATAGAACCGAACCGGAACCGATGGCTCGGTTCGGTTCCGGTTTATACGGACAACCGAACCGAACCGAAACTTTTATTACCGGTTCGGTTCCGGTTCCAAGTCTTTGAGAACCGAACCGAACCGGCCGGTTCGGGTTGAACCGAACTTCATACATAAATACATTAGCGAAGTTAATCATATTTTCGAAAAAGTTTTACGAATTTCCCGAAATACACATAGTTTCCAAAATGAAATTTTGACGTGGCCGCACCTCCAAAGTTCCCAAAATGAAACTTTGACATGGCCACACCCCCAAAGTTCCCGAAATGAAACTTTGACTTGGTGACACCCCCAATGTTTCCAACACCAAATTTTGACTTGATGACACGCCCAAAGTTCCCAAAATGAAACTTTTATTTGGTCACACCCCCAATGTTTCCAAAACCAAATTTTGACTTGATGACACCTCCAAAGTTTCCAAAATGAAATTTTCACCCCCAAAGTTTCATAAACGAAATGTTTACCCCCAAAAGTTTCTAAAATGAAATCTTTACTTGGTCACACCCCAAAGTTTCCAAAATGAAATTTTGACTTGGTTACACCCCCAATGTTTCCAAAATGAAATCTTTACTTGGTCACACCCCAAAGTTTCCAAAATGAAATTTTGACTTGGTTACACCCCCAATGTTTCCAAAATGAAATTTTTACTTGGTCACACCCCAAATGTTTCCAAAATGAAATTTTGACTTGGTTGCACCCCAAACTTGGAATTGTTTTCTAACTTCAATAATACATACATAAGTGGTTTTGCTGTTGACATGTATTCGAATTTGCTTGTTTAAATACAGTTAAGTTATTGGCTTATATGTGAAATTTCATCAGAAACACGTCAATTAGCATTGTTTGTTGTTTATTGCATATTAATAACACTACCGGTTTGACCCGAACCGCCGGTTCGGTCCCGGTTTGGTCCGGTTGCGGTTCGGTTCCAACTAAAAAAAGTTCGGTTCTGTTTCGGTTCTTCAATTCTGGTTCTCGGTTCTAAACCGGTTCTTCCAAGAACCGAACCGAACCGCACCGTTGAGACCACTATTTGTAGTCAGTCAATTGATTACTAGGCGAGTTTTTTAAGCCATGCAGCTTCGAGGAGTTCCAATTTTTCTGAAGGCTTCCTAAATTTGAGATCTCTTCCTTCAAAATCTGTCAAAATCCGGAGTGTATATGTTTTTTTAAATTTAGCCACTCCCTGCTCTACACATTAGTCGTTCAGGATTTTAGATTTGATTTGATTTTTGATTTATTTATTTCAATGAGACACCCCAATGCTGGGTTATTACGCCTCAAGGTAAAAAATTTGTCATTACAATAGATTTAAGAAAATAAATAATACAATTTATCAAAGTGCATCATGATCGTCTAAAATATTAAATAATTCCACCATTCTCTCGGTACATTGTTCATGAACAAGCTCACATTTAACTAGTCGTTTAAATTCAATTATACTTAGATTTCTTAACTTTTCAGTGATTCGTACCGGTAAATTCAGTACCGTTTTTGACGCCCTATATTGAAATGACTTTCTCATTAATCCATTACATATAATGTTAGGCTCAGAATACGTTACAGTTCTTGTTGCCCTTACTATTCTTTTCTCTTGACAAATATAGTCCCGGAAAATTCCCGGTCCGATATTATTATACATATTAAAGACAATTTGTTGTAAGTTTGCTTACATTTAACCACTCGAGATCTACAATGATTTCATCAGAAATGCTGTCAAATTTAGATTTACCATACACAAACCTGGCACATCTTCGTAAAATATTATTAATACATTTTAAGTTGCTACTCCCAACTAACCAAATCGGACAACAATACATTATAATAGGTAAAATTAAGGCTTGCACCACCATTATTTTATGTCTTACATCGAGGACTCCCTTTAATGAATATAGCGACCATAACGCAAAGTTACATTTCTCCGCTACCTTATCACATTGTAAATTAAATTTTAAATCGTTATCAATTATAATACCGAGAATTTTTATAAAATTAACTCTTTTCATGGGTACTCCATCCAGTTTAACACTAATATCCTGAACATATTGGATATGTTTTTTTGCAGCAATGACCATCATTTCACATTTATCATTATTCAGTTCAAGCCTGCTACTTTTCATCCAATTACATATATTTAATAAATCAGATTCAAGTTTGCTAACAGTTTCAGAAATATTACCGATTTCACCAGAGATTAAAATTCCCGTATCGTCCACAAATTTTATACACAAAGAATTACAAATACATAGTGGCAGGTCATTCATCATTATGAGAAACAAAAGACAGCTTAAACATAGACCTTGAGCCACACCCATATTTGTCGGTAACGTATCAGAAGAACAGCATCTATTATTACATTTCATGTAAACAAATTTTTTTCTGTCAGTTAGAAATGATTCAATAATTTTCTCATTAATCCCGTACTACCTTAATTTATGTAATAACACCTCTGGGTCACAGCGGTCATAGGCTTTACGTATGTCTAAGGCTATGAAGATGACAAAATTGTTATTATCAAGGGCTTTATATACATAATCAGTTATTGCTATTAATGCATGTGCTGTTGAATGGTGCTTTCTGCCACCAAACTGGAAATTTGAAAACATTTTGTTGTATTCAAGATAGCTAAAGAGCTGTTCAAAAATACACTTTGCAAATAATTTAGCAATTGTTGGTTGCAACGATATAGGGCGCAGGTCATTACCCGAAGTTGGATTAGGCTTTTTGGGAATTGGGATAACTTTGGATAATTTTAGCAAACTTGGTAATGTCCCACTATTTATATAGATATTAAAGAGAGTTGATAATTGACCTACAAAGTGATCTGATTTCATGCAATGATTTAACATAATATTACACATATCCAGATTATCAGTTGAAGTAGAATTCTTATTCTTAGTTAGTTTCCATGATTTTCTAACTTCCAGCGCGGTGATCGATGAAAATTTGAAATCAACGGTATCCGGCCAAGAAAAACTTGGTCTACAAGGTAATCTCGGTTGCGATAGTATAAGGTCACGTGTACAGATGTCAGCGAAATATTTGTTGACCATATTTGCATCTAATTGGATTTGGGATGTAGGTTTGAGAAGTGGATATAATTTGTGCATTGCTCCCCAAAAGTGCAGCTTGTCCACGGTTTTATTGAATTTCTCTCTTGAATCCTTTATGACGCTTCTTTTTACACCTTTTTTCAGCCTAGCCAACTTTTCTAGTACTTGATTAGACGGATCAGTAGTTGATAATTTGTACATTTTGTCTCTCTCCTTTATGAGCGATTTTGTTTCTTCAGATATGTATTTTTTTACACCCTATTTTTATACCCTATTTTTTTACACCTTAGCATAAATTCCCAGAGCTGAGAAACGATTAACAATGTAGCGATTGTTAATCGTTCGTACATCGAGTCCTACGTTAAAATAAATTTTGCAGACGCTCCTCTACGTGAGCATCAATCCGTCCGGGCGGACTGCCCCCACTGCCGAGCTAACGTCACAACTTCAGTTCGATATGATACTGGATCGATGACCCATCTTGTGGCAATTGTGCTCTGCATCTGCATGTAAGGCGGCCAAATAACCGCATGCTAAAAATAACGGCAAGAAAGATTCTTGCAGATATTTTTGTTAACTTGCAGGATTTTTATTTTTTCATTTTTTGATCTGCGAGAAGTGCAAAGCGCAAGAAACCCCTTCCGGCCGCTGAAGTTCATAAGTCGCGAGGCTAGATGGCGCATATTTCTTGCACCTTGTCCATCTCCGAGGTTTGTTTCATTTCTTGCACTACAAAGCAAGAAATGCGACGCGCAAAAAACTGCTAGAAATATGCGCCATGGCGCCATGTAATCACGCGCCGAATGACGTACTTATTTAAGGACATAGTTTCATGCGCCCTTGCAGGTCAAACATAGCTGCAATAAGAAACCACTTTCTTACTGACAGTTCTTGCTAGTGGTTCACCCGAAACATTCGAATTTAGGTCTATTTTTTTGTTTGAGAATATTCTGAAGTCGTATGAATACCCCCATTGAATTTATAGGTGCTGGCCATGCTGTCTCATTCCATATTGCGTGGACAAGTGCAAGGACACAACACACGAATGCCCCGCGTGTGGCCGACAGCTTGGGGTCGTCAAACGCCTTTAAGCTTCTAATCAATCTTGATCGTTCAGGAAATTAGCACCTTCATTCCAATTTCTAAAAAATTTATAAATAAAATCGTGTCAAAAATGTTTTCAACTTTTAGCATATAGTTCTAAGGTAAAACTCGGTTAAAACCCAGTAAAGCTCATTAACATGGTAATACGCAACGGATTTTATTCATGGACAACCCAATAAATTCTGGGTCACAATAACGTGCCCAGCAATTTGGCATATAAGATTACCTACTTGTCCTGTGTATGAAATTCTTTAAAAATGGCAAATAATCAATGGAACCAAATTTCAATTTCATATATATAGGGTGACAAAACAGCTTGTACAGATTTGCCAAATTTTGCAAAACCATAGTGTTTTAGCTTAATGAGTTTCGGTGCGAAATAGGACGTCCTAGGACGTTGTCATGAGTTGTCTCATTATTTATTAGATATTCAGCACCCTAAATCTGACATTTGTTACATACCATATTAATTGATGACCTGATAAATGAAGCATGTGCGTCAGAATGTAAATAAAATTATACGACCTTTGCATACATGATGTTAAAAACATAAGTGCGTAAATCAAATACTGAGAACTTCCTCAAAATTTTTATACCCATTAATCTCTACTAATCATACATATTTGCCGAATTTCAACGGGAACAGCAGGCCTAATTGTTCATAATCTGGTTAAGAATTTATGACAAATTAATCTCTCCGAAGTGTAGAAAATTTACCTATTACGAGAACGGGAAAGCCATAAATATATTTGTTTGTATTTTTAGCCCGAGTCAGGGCTTATGGAACCGTCATGTCCGTCCGTCTGTCTGTCAGTCTGTCTGTCCGTCTGTCTGTCCGTCTGTCTGTCCGGCACGATAGAGCCAAAACGGCTGAACCGATTGACTTGAAATTTTTACCATATGCATATTGGACAAAGTTAGGAAACGAGTTCGAAGATGGGCGAAATCGGTCCAGTGGTTGACCGGTGGGGGTCATCGGAGTGGGTGGGGTCTTATGCACCAAAATTTCAAAATTGTTGTAGAGAGCTGAAATTTGGTACAGAGGTTGCTAATGGCTCCTAATAGATAAAAATAACTTCAGGGTGGAAAAATTTTCATCTTGGGAGACCCTAGGGGGTGACCCATACCGATTTTTCAAAATCGTCATAACAAGCTGAAATTTGGTAGAAAGGTTGCTAATGGGTCATAATGAAAGAATATGATATGATATTGGTAAAATTTTTATCTGGAGTGACCCTGTGGGGTGACCCATACCGATTTTTAGAAATTGCTTTAAAAAGATGAAATCCGGCACAATGATACTTAATGGCTTCCAATTAAAGAATATGAAGTTAAAAGTGAGCAAACTGCGACCAGAGTGACCCTATGGGGTGACCCATACTGATTTTTTAAAATCGTTAAATCGAACTGAAATTTGATATGGAGGATGAAAACCACTGCTGAAAACCACTGCACATGCATACAGCTTAGAACTTCAGGATGCTAAAGAATTCCACTAGTCATTTGTTTGTAACTAATTCAAAAATTTGGTACCAAATAATAGAAACTAATAGACTTTTAACTATCCACAACAAGGAGTTTGGTAATATTATGTCGGACAATTCGTAAAAAAATTAGAAGCGGGCTCTGGCTTATTGAGTCAGGGACTATGTCCCTGACTCGGGCTATATGGAGTCTGCACTGTAGGTTTTTAATATAAAATCCATCCCCCCAGTGAGATCTTGTTCAGTTATAAATTTTTATTCCGCTCTTTAAGTGGCTAAAAACTGTATCTCGCCACAAAAATGTACAAGGTACTCGTCTTGCTCGCCATATTCGTAGGCGTTGCAAATTGCTATGTCGCAATTGAACGGAAGGATATTTCGGTCCTTGGCGGGATAGGAATTCCAGAAATTCCAGGATTTAAGCCTCCCTTTCGAGATTGCGGAGGTAAGTAACAAGTATAGCAAATTATGTAATTTTTTATAAACACCTTACCCGACACAAATCTATGGCCGAGGCATTATAATTAAAGCCATTTTTACAAAAGGAATGCATTTAAAAATGACGCGCCCAATTGTTGTTTAGATATCAGAAATATTGATAACCTTATCTTCCTACAATTATTTATAGGTGCTGGCACTCTTATCGACGTCAGGATAATTGGCTGGGATGGAGATGAATATTTTACTCCTGGACAGCTTTATACCTACGAGCTCACATTTATGCCAAGTAAGTGCTGCTAGATAGAATTCGTACAATTATAAAAGCTAATTTTTTAAGTGTTTCAAAAAAATGAGCGGGTTTGCTAATTTTTTGTACGGCCAAGCAAAGCAACGCAAAAAATGCAAGGTGTAAGGAACTACAAGAAATTTGCGCCATCTAGCGATCCGCCCGATGAGAAAAGTAGTTTCCAGCGCCCTGCATTTCTTGCAGGTCAAAATACCCGCAAAAAAACATTTTCTTGCCGTTATTTATTTCTTGCACGTGCTTACTTGCACGCGACATGCTGAAATTTGTACGTAAATCTTAGGCACAGCTGGACCTGTCAGTTTAAAACAAGAATATTGCTTTAACGGCGGATTCTGCATGGGAATTATTGATGTCGACTTACCAATTTCTAACGTTCAACCTGGATTCGCAACCACGGTCAGGTTCAGCTTCACCCCGAACGACATATTGTCCGGACAATCAATAGAGCTCAAAACTTCAATCGTGCACTCGACTAATCTCCTGGTTGAGGTCTGCGTGGCTTTGGAAATTAAAATTCGTTGACATCGCACGTTTATAGTAGCAGTGAGCGGATATGTATTTCGTTGAAAAAATCGCTGAAATATGCATTCAATATTTGCAAAAAAAAAACGAAAAAAATGACATATGTACACATCATATGTGAAATTTGATTTTTTTTAATGCTCTGGATTTCGTGTGGTCCTATTTCTCTGAGAAAAAACTTTCGGAGCCACATCGTAGATATATTAACATAAAAATGAATGTATTTTTGAACAAAAATTTGGAAAATATTTACGCATTTTTAAAAATAATAGCGGAAATATCTGAAATGTTTACCTCAAAATCTAGAAATAAGTATGTTGTATGTAAAAATATGTATGAATATTTTGAAATTCTTGCACCCTATCGGAGTTAGGGATACACTCACAAGGTATGACCATCGGTCGTTATCATATGGAAAAGTTGAAATTAAATACATATCCGCCCTGTGTACATAATATTGACTAAATTATGATTGAAAAATTTATGCAAATATAATAAATAGTTGCACCAAATTTTCAGCTGCATTAATGCATTTAAATTGTTGAAATTAAAAACATTTATTTGCTAAACACAGAATAATCAGATTCAAATAATCAATCAAACCAAATTTCATAAAGGGTTACAAAACTGTTTGTACAGATTTGCCAAATTTTGTAAAATTCTCAATGCAAATTCAATAAATCAACAAATAAAAATTCTAATGATCAAAACAGATGAATTTTGACTTGCTTTAAGAAAGCTTAAAAACAGCTTAACACTTAAGAACAAACCATACTATCTACACAGTAATTGCTGAAATTTCTGCTTAGTAATTTTTGTTCCGCTTACTAACAAACTACTATCAATTAGGTAGTAAGTTATTACCAAATCAATACCAGTACGGAATATGTGAGTTTTAGATTTTTAACTGTTAGGTGAGTATATAGTGCGTCTCAAAATGTAAAGATAATCATGCACCTGGACCAAATTACATACTATTGAAGGAATAAACTGTAAAAATACAAGCACTGGATAATGCATGTTAATTTAATTATGACCAATCACAAAATTATCTTTTCATTTTGAGACACACCATATACACTCATTTACCTTCCATATTAATTAGTCACCTGATAAGTGAAGCATGTGCGTCAGGAGGTACATAAAATTATACGACCTTCCATACATAATCTTAAAAATACAAGTGCGTAAATCAAATACTGAGAACTTCCTCAAAATTATATACCCATTAATCTCTACTAATCATACATATTTGTCGGCATTTCAAATGGTACAACAGCCTAATTGTCAATAATTTATGGCCAATTAATCTCTCCGAAGTGTAGAAAATTTACCTATTCCGAGAACGGGAACGATGGGAAAGCCATATATTTGTTTGTATTTTTTTTTATATAAGATCCGTCCCCCACTGAAACCTTGTTCAGTTATAAATTTTTGTTCCACTCTTTAAGCGGCCAAATCTCGGCGCAAAAATGTACAAGGTACTCGTCTTGCTCGCTATATTCGCAGGCGTTGCAAATTGCTATGTTGCAATTGAACGAAAGGATGTGTCGGTCCTGGGCGGGATAGGAATTCCAGAAATTCCAGAAACTCCAGAATTCCCAGATTTTCCAGAATTCCCAGGCTTGCCTCCAATTCGAAATTGCGGAGGTAACAAGTATAAAATATATATTTTTATAAACAAATTACAAGCAATATCAGAAATGTTGATAACCTTTTACTTCCACAATTATTTATAGGTGTCAGTACTCTTATCGACTTCAAGATAAGTGGCTGGGATGGAGATGAATATTTTAATCCTGGACAGACTTATAATTGCGAGTTTACATTTATGCCAAGTAAAAGTAAGGCTACTGTTGCATTTGTTCTAGAAATAAATAACGGCAAGAAAGTGGGTTTCTGCAGGTACCTACTGTTCCATTTGCTATAAGAGTTCCAAGTGATCCACGATTACGTTTTTTAGCCGAATAAGCCGAACCGCGTAAGTTGTTCTAAATTATTTAATACCAGTTTATTTCATTTTGACGTAAAAATCGTTCAATTTAGTGTCTAAAATTTGGGAAATTAAATAAATTTTTTAAATTAATAAAAGTACACATTGTTTACGTCAAAATTAAAATAAAGTGCGATTAAAAATAAATGCTGATTCGGCTAATGTAATCGTGCATCACTTGGAACTCTTAATGCAACAGTACCTGCAAACAAAACGCTTTCTGGCCTAATTTATTTCTTGCAAGTGCTAACTTGCTCGCGGCATATTGAAATTTGTACGTAAATCTTAGGCGCTGCTGGACCTGTCCGTTACAAACAAGAATATTGCTTTAACGACGGTTCCTGCAAGGAAATTTTTAATTCCGAGTTACCAAATTCGTCCCTTCAACCTGGATTCACCACCACGCTCAAGTTTGGCTTCGTCCCGAACGACATATTATCCGGACAAGCAATAGAGATCAAAACTTTGCTCGTGCACTCGACTAACCTCCTGGTTGAGATTTGTGTGGCTTTGGAAATTAAAATTCGCTGACCTTTATAATAGCAGAGGGCGGATATGTATTTCGTTGAAAATCGCTGAAATATGCATTCAATATTTTTAAAAACGGAAAAATACGAAATATGTACATAAAAATATGAAATTTGTATTTTGAATTTAATGCTCTGGATTTTGTGTGGTCATATTTCTTTGAGAAAAAACTTTCGGTCCACATATCGTACATATATTTACAAAAAAATGTAAGTATATATTTTTGAAAGACTATGTAAAAGATTTACGTATTTCCAAGGTCCTGAATTTTACTTAGTTACGTGTCTACATAAGGTTAGCTCATTTGATGGTAAATTTTGTGACCGAGAGCTTGGGACGAGTTTGGGATTATTTTTGGAAAAAAATTCGTTGCCACGCGAAGTTAAGGCCGTTTTCATGTAAATTTATAAAATATTTATAAAATTGACGCCTTTTCTATGGCACCGAGCCATGAAAGCGGTGTAAATTAATCGTGGTCACTACCGGCGATGACAATCTAAATCATTATTTTATAAATTTACATGAAAACGGCCTTAACTTCGCGTGGCAACGAAGTTTTTTCCAAAAATAATCCCAAACTCGTCCCAAGCTCTCGGTCACAAAATTTACCATCAAATGAGCTAACCTTATGTAGACACGTAACTAACAATGGAGAGGTGTCAGGTGGTTATCGCCAATGTGGACCGGACTAATTTTAAATTGTTCAGGCCCAGAAATAAGCCCACCCGTATTTTTTCGTTTTCTTGAATGGGCATATTTACGCCCGTGGCGGAATTTTCAAAAAAAAATTCAGCCAAAATCCTGATTTTTAAAAACGCTGTAACTTTTCGAATTTTAGCCCGATTTCAAAAATTGAATACAATTTGTGTTCAGAATTACTTCCCTGAAAATATAAAATTTCATTTTCAAAAATTTTTTAAATTTAATATTTTCATGCCATTTCTGAGTTTTTAGAAATGAAAAAAACGATAATTTTTTGAAAATTAAAAAATTTTTGAAAATGAAATTTTATATTTTCAGGGAAGTAATTCTGAACAAAAATTGTATTCAATTTTTGAAATCGGGTTAAAATTCGAAAAGTTACAGCGTTTTTAAAAATCCGAATTTTGGCTGAAATTTTTTTTGAAAATTCCGCTAAGGGTGTAAACATGCCCATTCAGGAAAACGAAAAAATATGGGTGGGCTTATTTTTGAGCGTGAACAATTTAAAATTAGTCCGGTGGTTATCGGCGATAACCACCTCACACCTCCTCATTGTAAGTAAAATTCAGGACCTTGCGTATTTCTAAAATAATAGAGGAAATATTATATGCCTGAAAACCTAGAAATCCATAACAATACGTACAAGATATTTCGCAATTTTTATCATCAACGTGAGTTAGCAATAAATCTACAAAGTTTACAAAGTTTTACGTCGGCTGTCTTCAAACGAAAAAGTCGAAATTAAAATCATTTCTGCCATATGTACATAATATTGACTAAATTACGATGGAAAAATTTCAATTTAATTTCATTAAATATATATAATTTATTTGTAAATTTTCAGCTTAACCCTTTTCCGTTTAATGCATTTAAATATTTGGAATTAAAAATTATGCAGTTGCAAAATGCAGAATAATTACTTTTGGATTCGTGATTTAATTTTAAGCTCAAATTGATCAAAATCGGGTAATAAATCACAAGATTTAAAATCCATGAAATTGTCGGAAATTAACAAAATCTAAGGACACCAAGTGCAATTTTTTTTATTACACATACTTAAACTGGAAGAGGGTTGATTCAAATTCCTGGATACGATTTAAGTGCAAGTTAAACCTCGACCCAAATTCAACCATGGCTTCTTGGTTGAGTGGTCTGTGTCGGGGATTGTGGGTTTTTGGAAATAATGCTGGGATTCGAACTGGTCACTAACTAATATTTATGTGTTGTTGTTTCTTTACAGAATATAAAATAACCAACCAACCATCTGAACCAACCAACCAAACTCCAAAAACCAGCGGATTTCCACGGCTCGCATTTTTATTTTATCCTAATCCCTGCTACGTCGCTCTAAGAAATTTCGTAGCAGAGTATACCACATAAGATGAACACACACAAAGCAGCAGACCTTACAAAACAACTATACACAAAAACAACAACAAAAATATAAACAAGTAAGAATTGACAAATATCTAAATAAAAAATATCCCCGAGACAGACAAACCACAAGCCAATTTTTTGAAATTTGCACGATCTGCTTGTTTATCGTAAAACGCTAAAAAAATAATCCCCATAGCGAGGCAATTCAAGAGGTCATTGATAAAATGATAACTTTGTAAAATTCGTATGCATTGACATACGCATATGCACACAATTACACACACATATATATATATACATACTGGTTCGATAAGCCACGACTCTGGCATCAAAGCTGAAATTTAATTTCTCAACAACTTTCCTCCATCCCAATAAACAGATAATACAATTACAAAGCACAAATAAATAATAAATTGATGCATTCTGTCAACCATGTCGATATATATTTGCTCCCAATTTTAGAGGACATTAGTCACTTTCAGACATCAGAGAAAAATACTCACACCTGTGCCTGCCTGCATATCTGTAAAATAAATAGGTTTGTTATGCCAACATTTTTACCACGTAATTATTAATAAACCCTTGCAAACGAAATGTAGTAAATGGGCGAAGCGACATGGTCACGCCAAAAAATTAGAAACATTTTGGCAAACACACTGTGAAAACCGCACGTCGAAATTCGAAACCTTTCTAAAGTTGTCGTGGATACAGACAGACGACAAGTCATTCCCGTAAAGGGATTTCGCTTCGCTTCACCCCTTAATAACTAGTCGAAGTTAATGTATACTTTTTTTTCTAGAAACAGGACAATGGCTTGCGGATCACATCTTATCGTTGCTACCTTTTGCCTTGGCACCCTGGTCATCCAACCTCTCGACGCGTGTACCACGCCGAAACCCAATCTACGAGCGATCAAGTCCTCGGCGAAACTGCCCGCTCTGAAATTCTTGCTGAACCCGATATACGACGGGGACGACTACATTTACCTCGTGGACGGGTACGGCAATTCTCTTAACCACAGTACTGCCATCATTTCGAGGTACCGTAAAAACTCAAATAGTAGCCGGGGGCTACTATTTACAAAATTGGTGTCTGGGACCCGGCTACTATTTGAGCAAGGCTACTATTTGGGCAGGGTCACTATTTATAAAATGACGGAAAGAAGCACGGCTACTATTTGCAAACAGCTATTGAATTATGTTTCCAGAATCAATCTCCAATTAAATTTTAATAACAGCACCAATTTCTCCCCTAGAATCGCAGTCTATGACAATTCTGTTGTTTAAACCTCCTCTTAATCAATTTCTTTGATGAGTCGAATTTGGTGTTCACTTCGATTTTTTGTGTTTAATTGCGATTAAATCGAATTATAATTGAATTACTTAAATGACCTGGCTGGGAGATGTGTGGTTAAGTTGATGCACGGCTATAATTCAAGTAAGGCTATTATTTGGGCAGGGCTACTATTTGGGCAGGGCTACTATTTGAGCAGGGCTACTATTTGGGCAGGGCTACTATTTGGGCAGGGCTACTATTTGGGCAAGGTCACTATTTTTAAAATTATGAAAAAAGGCAGGGCTACTGTTTGAGCACGGCTACTATTTGAGCAACGGCTACTATTTGAGCACGGCTACTATTTGAGTTTTTACGGTATTCCATTTCCACGGATGAAATAGTCTCCGTCGCTCAAAATTCGTATTATAACCTTGTCTGGGGAAGTGCTTTTATGGATTTTGAGCAAAACCTGATTTACTACTTGAGCGGCTTAGACACTGCAGGACGAATTATGAAAGTAGATCTTAACACGAACAACTGGACAATAATTGGAGACTGGACGTCTGAATGGATTGCCGCCAGGATTTTAGTCGACAATTATACAGGCTACATAATGGGTGGAAATTTTTACAACTCGACTAATGCATTCCACATTAAAACGACGACATCCACGAGGCTGAGCGACCTGCCGGCCTCGTTCCAGGAGTGTGGCTTGTCCGGCGTGCATACAGGTATGTCAGGGATGGACCATGTCAAGAATCGTCACCGGTCCACCTTACCTAATACCCCTACCTACCGTGTGATACCCTAAATCACAGATTTTGAAAGTGAATTAGGATCGATCCTATAGATCATTCACTTTTAAAATCTGTGTAGCATAAAATCTGAGTAGCTCATTTCTGGACAAAAACTTCCCAGCTTTCATACTCAAAGATCAAAATGAGAAAAATCCCTTTTGTTGGGCTTACGATTAGTTTTATCTTTCCTGAAAAATTGTGGGTGTGAAAGTTGGGATTTTCTTATGTATAAATGATCTACTCATTATTCCTGGTCAACCCTAGGTCAATTCACTTTACATCCTGTAATTTAGGGTACCATAAGGTAGGTAAGGGGCATTAGGTAGCGGTGCACCCCTGAAAATCGTCCATGGCCGAGCCTAATGGTGGACCACGGACTACCAAGTTTCTCTAATTTTAAGTTTCTCAAAGTCTTATCTTCACACAGGAAATGACAGCGTCTACCTGTTTGGCTGCCCTTGGGGGACCTGTGACAAAGTTGGCAAGTACAGCATAAAAATGGACTCCTTCGAGGTGTTACAACCCGATACTGGTTATAAATCTGGAGTCTTATCTACGGTGTGGACTGGGGAGTTGATCTATATTTTCGGAAACGTTGCAAACTATTCCTCCCCGAATGTTTGGACGTATAATGTTGAAACAAATGTGTTGGCCCCGGTCACAGTTGACGACTTTCCGGGGGAAGAAGATCAGCAAATAGCATTTACTGATGCCGTTTACGTAAAGAAATTGAATAGAATTTACACCTTTGGAGGACAAACTGTCGACCAGATGGATAACAGGATGATAAGAGACGATATCTGGTATATTGACTTGAATTGAAAAAATATGAAAGCAAAAATAGTATTCAAATCTAGAGTTTTTTCTAAAGTTACATACAGTGTCGGACAGATGTCTACGTCCACATAGTCGCGTCAATTTCATTTTCAAATTGTCACTGAACTACTGAACCAATTTTCATCATTGATATATCAAATTCTCACAAATTTAACGTAATTTCATAGCACATTATTAGTTTTCCGCTAAAAAATTTATTTTAGGCCAGAGATGTATTTTAATTCAAAATGAAAACAATTGGATGGACAAAAATCAACGTCCAGTCAGAGAAAACATACAAAAAAAACTGTAATTTATAAGGAATGTTATAACAATTAATTTTTAATATTTGGTTGGGCCTCCGTTCGCTTTAAGGACGGCTTCAAGGCGTCGAGTCATAGAGTTTACCAAATTCTTGGTCACATCTTCAGAAATGGTTTCCCAAACTTCACGAATTCTGGATTTTAGGCCCGGAATTCCTGAAAAAGATTTTTTTCTTATTTCTCTTTCAATGTGGTCCCACAGATGCTCAATGGGATTCAAGTCTGGAGATTGGGGAGGCCATTCTAGCTTCGGAATTTTTTTTTCTTGAAGTATTCCATGGTGGACGTGGCAGAGTGTTTCGGATCGTTGTCTTGTTGGAAGGCAAATCGTCGTCCAAGTCCAAGTTTTCGAACAGATTCCTGGATATTACGGTCAAGTATTCCCTGGTACTTGTGTTGGTCCATAATTCCGTCAACAAATTCCATTTTTCCTGCCCCACTTGAAGCCATGCATCCCCACACCATTACCGACCCGCCGCCGTGCTTAACTGTGGGGTTGAGATTTTTTGGATTCAAAGCTTCTTTTGGATATCTCCACACTCTACGACGCCCATCTGACCCAAAGACATTGAACTTTGACTCGTCAGTCCATAAAATATGTCCCAGAATGTTTGTGGCTTGGAAATGTGGTCTCTGGCAAACTTCACTCGTTTGGTTGCATTCCTCGGTACAATAAGAGGCTTCCGGACTGCTCTGTGGGATTTCAAATTTCCCTTATTCAGTGTTCTTTGGATGGTCATAGGACTAACCTGTTTGCCGAACATCTCCTTGATCTCGGTAGATAGCTTTGGAGCACTAAGTGAGGGTGTAACGTTGACTTTGTTGAGCACGTGGCGTACTTCTCGGTGAGCCAAAATCGGTTTTCGACCACTTCTGACCTTGTTTTGGACTGAACCATTAGCTCTAAAGTTCTTAATGATTGTCTGGATGGTTGTCCTTGCTAATTTATACTTGGTCCCTATTTGTCTCTGCGACAGCCCCCCTTTTTGTCCACCCTTCCAGTCCTGAATGACAAGATCTCGAATAGCGATAGGAATTTCCTTGCGTGTCGACGCCATCATATTTTTCTGGAAGAAAATTATTTAAAAATTAATGCGGCATATGTTATTGATAGATTTATTAAGTTACCTGATTTTATAAATTGGAGAGATTTTTGTTGTTGACAATTAAAGTGAAGTGGACGTAGACTTTTGTCCGCTCAAATTTCATCCTCTCTCGCTCTGCACTATGATTCTCAGTTTTCCCAGAATTTTCAGAAATAACTCCAGTTAAGTACGGCGGCGGGTCGGTAATGGTGTGGGGATGCATGGCTTCAAGTGGGGCAGGAAAAATGGAATTTGTTGACGGAATTATGGACCAACACAAGTACCAGGGAATACTTGACCGTAATATCCAGGAATCTGTTCGAAAACTTGGACTTGGACGACGATTTGCCTTCCAACAAGACAACGATCCGAAACACTCTGCCACGTCCACCATGGAATACTTCAAGAAAAAAAAATTCCGAAGCTAGAATGGCCTCCCCAATCTCCAGACTTGAATCCCATTGAGCATCTGTGGGACCACATTGAAAGAGAAATAAGAAAAAAATCTTTTTCAGGAATTCCGGGCCTAAAATCCAGAATTCGTGAAGTTTGGGAAACCATTTCTGAAGATGTGACCAAGAATTTGGTAAACTCTATGACTCGACGCCTTGAAGCCGTCCTTAAAGCGAACGGAGGCCCAACCAAATATTAAAAATTAATTGTTATAACATTCCTTATAAATTACAGTTTTTTTTGTATGTTTTCTCTGACTGGACGTTGATTTTTGTCCATCCAATTGTTTTCATTTTGAATTAAAATACATCTCTGGCCTAAAATAAATTTTTTAGCGGAAAACTAATAATGTGCTATGAAATTACGTTAAATTTGTGAGAATTTGATATATCAATGATGAAAATTGGTTCAGTAGTTCAGTGACAATTTGAAAATGAAATTGACGCGACTATGTGGACGTAGACATCTGTCCGACACTGTAATTATTGATTTATGCAATTTATTTGTTGCTCCGTAAAATAAATATGTATGTTCGTACGCATATGTTCAAAAAATATTTATTCATTCAAAATGCACTCATTATCAAAATTGAGACACATATGAGGACCCTTTCGGTTGTGGTCAACATGGTACACAATTTCCTTAGACATCACCGAAAATTGGAAAAAATCTTATCGACAAAGTTGTGATTAATGAGACTGATATAAAAATTAGTCGGGTCAAGTATTACGAAGTATTAATTGAGAGCCTAAAACCTATCAGGTTGTTATTTTCTGATAAGTTAACCTTATTCAGTGCAGTAGTGATCTGCATTGTCAAATTTGCATGACAAAAAGAAATGTAAATGAGTGCCAGTCATTGTGATTGACAACGATCAGACCATATAATTTCGACTCATTTTCCCTGTTGTTATCAGTATTGATTCTTACACTTATTATATTAACTAGTCTCTATGGCCATTAAGGCTCGGAATAGTTTGATATTAAATCAATCTGTATTATTTTTCATATGTCAAGCTAAAATGTCTATATTAAAAATATTAAAAATAAATCAGATTATTTTTCATATGTCAAGCTAAAATGTCTATATTAAAAATATTAAAAATAAATCAGATTATTTTTCATATGTCAAGCTAAAATGTCTATATTAAAAATAAATCAGATTTAATCATTTGAATTAATAAAGCAGGTTTTTGTCAATGTAATTACGAAGTTATAAATTCTGACTTGTACAATTCGATTTTAAACATATGTATTTATTACATTTTAGCATGTATTCGTTTAAGATTAATGTTTAAATAGATGGCAAATTAAAATTCAAGGGTATAAAAAAATAACTCCTAAAAAAACCCTGAAATTGGTAATGATAGAATTGACGTATTTCACGCAAATCAAGCTCACTTACTCAAATAGTGCAGGAACATTTACTTGAATTTTGTGCTAAATATTTACATGAATGAATTGCCTCAATTATTTTTTATATCGTTTTTGAAACTTCTCAAGCAAAAATAAATGATTTCATTTATTAAATCTTAGTATAAGGTGTACCGCAGAATGTGTGAAAAAAAATATGTATCACAAAAAGTATCGACAAATCTGACTACGCAGCAGTCGCACAAAAAAACCATGGGCCATAAGGGCCAAGTACCATGGGCCAAGGACTGCATTCAAGCAGCCTCCGAGAGAGTACAGTTGAGGATCCCTTCCAGGGCGTCCTTTAGGGTAGCGTCGTAGTGGGCGCCCTCCCCGCACTGGGCAACGTAAACAGCGTAGCGGGCAAAGACGTCCGCTTTCTTCAGTCGGATTGGAGGGTGATTGTTGGGGTCGACAACCACAAATGAATTCCGAACCCAGTCCTGCGCGGATGAAATGGTGTCTTTTTTGGTAACACCGGGGGATGTGGGGCAGACGGATGACCGGCAGGGTCAAAGGACAGACAGTGACATGTCGGATAAAATATTAGAAATGGAGGAGAACGAAGTGACGTGTTCTCCTCTCAAGCGCCCTCTCTCTCTCCCCGAGACTACCATGTACCATGTACCATGGGCCATAAGGATTACCATGGGGCATAAGGATTACCATGGGCCATAAGGATTACCATGGGCCATAAGGATTACCATGGGGCATAAGGATTACCATGGGCCATAAGGATTACCATGGGCCATAAGGATTACCATGGGCCATAAGGATTATCATGGGCCATAAGGATTACCATGGGCCATAAGGATTACCATGGGCCATAAGGATTACCATGGGCCATAAGGATTACCAACGGCATAAGGATTACCATGGGCCATAAGGATTACCATGGGCCATAAGGATTACCATGGGCCATAAGGATTACCATGGGCCATAAGGATTACCATGGGCCATAAGGATTACCATGGGCCATAAGGATTACCATGGGCCATAAGGATTACCATGGGCCATAAGGATTACCATGGGCCATAAGGATTACCATGGGCCATAAGGATTACCATGGGCCATAAGGATTACCATGGGCCATAAGGATTACCATGGGGCATACGGATTACCATGGGCCATAAGGATTACCATGGGCCATAAGGATTACCATGGGCCATAAGGATTACCATGGGTCCAAGTACCATGTCGCCGAAAAATAAATTAAACTTTACTCTCGTCATTGATCAAATAGATAAAATCGACAATAATTACCCATGCATGTTATTTTAATTCGGCTCATTGGGCTAATGTACTCAATGTGATGAACTCACGAGATGTGAAACGGGATTTAACACAGTCATTGCTAACTTTGTAAAATCCGAGAACTCTTATAAAATTTCATGCATCTTTTGAAGGAAAATTCGCTTCCACATCATTTTTGTAAACTTACTCAGGATCATAGGCGTCTTTTTATTTTATACAAAAACTTTAGAAAATTTAAGGACTTTACAAAGTTCCCAATGATTTTATAATAACTTTGACATTCCTTTGACGCATAACTTTGACATTCCTAAATAACTTGTAAGTTTGCTACACTCAAGTTGCGGCTAATTAATTGTTTAATAGTTGTATTTTAAAGCCATTTTTCTACTGGTGACTTGCAGCACAGTTAAATTGAGACAATTAAGGCAGTCATCGGTAATTTTGTAATTTTTACAAAATTTTACGCATATTACGGAGGAAAATTAGCTTCCACATCATTTTTTAAACTTGCTCGGCTCAAGGGACTCTTTTTGTTACAAGTATTGTAGGAAATTTAGCGATTTTACGAAGTTACCAATGACTGTGTTAATTGCCTAATTACAATTATTTATCACTCATCCGGAGATCTGCAGAATATTAATTAATTCTCCGTCTGCTTGAGAGGCGAATGACCGGATAATTGTAATTAACAAGTTAGTCAACTTGTCGTACGTATGAATAATTAATTACAGTTCAGAATCCGTCATTCTATAGGCGAGAGATTAATTAGTTTATTCAATGTGACAGGAATTTACTTTTGCCTTTGTAAGTTCGTAAACTGCGTAAAATCCATAACAATTTATTTACAAGGGTTTAAAAAAAATTTCTGAAGGAAAATAAGGGTGCAAATCTGTCGAAAAATTTCAGAAATTATATTTTGTAAAATAATTTTGTAAAAGTTACACCGTTTTCAAAATTCGGCGTGAATTGACACTCAGAAAATACCAAACAATGGACAAAACGGGTGTAATCGTCGTGCTATTATTTGTAAGTTGTCCGTCAGTAAGGTTACACGGGATGGCGATTTAAAGTCTCCAATTCTTAAGGTGGAATAACTCCGTCATAGATTTTTAATCTCACTCTGCCCCAATTCAATATCTTACGTACTCAACAAAATTGACCTCAAACAAGTCACAAATTTCGCTACCTGATTTAAAAGCTTATCTCAAAAAAGAAATACAACAATTTGCATTTATCTATTTACAGACTTGTGTAACGCTCCTTCAAGCCGTGACCTCATCTCCGCAAGGGCGTCAAGGAATTTTAGAATTTCCTAAGCAAATTGCCACCATAATTCGAAACACGATAGAAGAAAGTATCGATGTCGTGTTCCCCACACCGACGCAGAAGACGGAACCACCACCGGTCCAACTTTCGACAAAATCTCCACCACCACGTCGCCGTCGTCCAACCGTGAAACCCACGCTGCCCGGCGATACGAAATTGGGACAGTACTTCGTCGATAATTTTATCATTACGGATCCCCCGAAAAGTACAGAAGGACTAAAAACTGAACGAACCCAAACGCCTAGAATTCCTCCCACGGTGGGACAACCCATCTATCCGGTGGGCCCGTTAAGGTAGAATAACCCTGTTATAAATTTGTAATCTCACTCTACCCCAATTCAACGTTTTTGTAGGCAAATGCTATCAATGCTATCAATTTTTAAAATGCTATCAATTTCATGCGTTTTGAGATAAATGGAACGTTTCGTACTTTAATGCAAAGTTAATTATTCTTACGACAGAACTATGAAGTTGAAAAAAATTGAGAGTTGATTTTGAAAATAAATTAATTTGCAAATTCATTTCTGAGAACATTTACTTGGCGAATTCATTTCCTAGAAAATTTACTTTGCAAATTAATTTGTGTAAAAATTTGCAAATTAATTTCTGAAAAAATTTACTTGGCGAATTAATTTCTGCGAAAATTTAATTTGCGAATTAATTTCTGCGATAGTTTAATTTGCTCGATACGATAATTTCGTCGTGCAAGAAATTTATGTTATGAAAAGTTATATTTATTTCAAAACTCATACTGGAATTGATGCCATTTTGGAAATTTCCACTTAAAGAGATTGAATAGGGATAGAGTGAGAATTAGAATCTATGTATAATACCACATTAATAAAATCATTACCTAATCTAACCTTAAGTCCGGACGAGGTGGACGAGTACGTTTATCTGCTCGGGTTTCAAACCACGGCAAAGTCCACGCCACGTGCTCCCCCAGAAACTACACCCGTGCCACCGCTCGAACAGACGTTCGAACCCGAGGAAGAAGACGTCGAAACGACCACGGTAGCTTCGTCTTCGGTGGAGGAAGGTGTCGACGAAGAGGTGACGACAACTGAGGATGGCGATGAGGTCGTGGCGACAACTAGTGAGACCGTAACGGAAGGGGGAGATGAAGGGGAAGCAGGAAGTTAAGTAAGGATGGGGGGATAGATTATGCAAAATATGCATGATGTGCAAATTGTAAAATTTAAAATTGGATTTTAAAACAATAAATGAAATTTCCAAATTTTTCGTGATTATGTATCTATGTAGCCTAATTGAGCATATTGAGGATATTCAATTCATTTTTATAAAATGTTTAATTTTTACAGGATAAAATTTCAAATTAAAAAGTGATCGGGTAAAAGCCTTCGTAAACTTTGTAAAATGTTGAAATAAAGTTTCCTAATTGGATGGCAATGGGTGTTTGGAGATCTAAAATTGTGTACCTCCAATTCACTTTGAAAAAATAATCTTATCCGGTGCTAAAATCCAGCAAGTTTTTACAAAATGTTTCATTTTTACATACATGACATAATTTCATTTAAAAAGAAAGAGATCCAGTAAAAGTTTTCGTAAACTTTACAAAATGTTGAAATAACATTTCTTAAATTGTGATCCAGTAAAAGTTTTCGTAAACTTTACAAAATGTTGAAATAACATTTCCTAGCTTGTGATCCAGTAAAAGTTTTTGTAAAGTTTACAAAGTGTTGAAATAGCATTTCCTAAATTGGGTAAGTTTTTGAGTGTGCTACAGAGTTTTTGAGTGTATTACCATAGATATAGAGTAGAGTATTCTACTCTATATCTATGGCTATTACAAAAGACGTTCAGGAAATCAAAAATTTTGTACTTACATTAACTTTGAAAAAATAATCTTATCCGGTATTAAAATCCAGCAAATTTTACAAAATCTTCAACTTAGGCGAATCTTTCTTTAGGAAGCTTTCGATTAAAATTTTTAATTGAAACGATATATAAAACTTGCAAATTTTTTAAATAAACAGAAATTCACGCAGTGCTTGGGAAAATTGTAAAACCCGTAAATTGCAAACTTTAAAAATATTTGTAAGGAAAATTGGCTCCTAAATTTTCGTAAACCTACCCAGAGATCAAGGGCGCCACTATCCTTTGTAAAGTCTGCAAAATCATTTAACAAAACGCACGGATTTTAGATACAAAGTTACCAAGGACTGCGTGAATTGCCGCAATCTTAATTTACAATTTCGCTTGTACACAATTGTCGACAACGAAAGTTTTCCTCGATTTGCCAGAAGATCTGGAAATGTTTAACAGTTTTTAGATATTTCTAGAAATTTATTTCTCGACGTGCACCTTTCTCATTTTTCTGTAAACAACTTTTATTCACTAAATGCGCAAACCGAAAATATAAATAAATAAAACATGTTACTTTACTAGAATGAATTACTTAATTCCATGTCGTCATTCTAATTTAGCTTCTGTTTAAGGTTGATACAGTTATTGAATCAATTCACGCAGTCCTTGGTAACTTTGTAAAATCGGTAAATTTTGTACAATAATTTTACAACAATAAAGAGACGCCCTTGATCTGAGCAAGTTTGCAAAAAATTATAAGGCAATTTTCCTTCGAAATATTTCTAAAAATTTGTAAAAATTTGTAAGTTTACGGATTTTACAAAGTTATCAAGTCCCGCGTGAATGACCTCATTGCATATTTTTTTCGAAGTAGAATGTTTTTTTTAGAAATTTAATTAAAAATTTAAGATTCTCAAAAATATTTTAACTCCATGAAAAACAAATCGCATTTACAAAATTATTATCTTTCATTTTACAACATCCTGAAGTTTGTAAAAATTTGTAAGTTTACAGAATTCACGGATTTTACAAAGTTATCAAGATCTGCGTGAATGGATATATTCGAAATAGAATGTTTTTTTTTCGAAATTTAATTAAAGGGTTAAAATTCCCAAAAATATTTTAACTCCATGAAAAAAATCGCATTTACCAAATTATTACAACATCCTACTGTTTACACGATCTTCGATGACTTGTTTATTTTTGGTGTAAAATTCTTCAAAGTTTTTGAACGGGTTGACGCCCGAGTTGTAGACGGGCGCGGAGCCGCGGAGCAAATACTGCACGAGCGCCATGACGTAGACGCGGTTGTTGTAGTTTAATTCCTTCTCGAAACCGCTGTCCCCTTCGCCGAGGAGTTCTTTATCCTCGGCCAATTTCTGGTAAGCGATTTTCAATGTGCGGATCTGAGAAGGAACAAACAATAAATTAAAGTTTGTAAAATGGGAATTTCAAGAATTTGGCAAAAAAAATGTTGCACAAAATTGCAAAACTTTGGCAAAAGATAAAGTTGTCAAAAACTTCATCACAAAAACATTTTGTAAAAAAATTAGTAAAAGGTTTAAAGTTTGGCAATGTTGTCAAAAAATTAGAAACATTAAGTAAAAGATTTGGTAAAAGATAAAGTTATCAAAAGATTGAAAATATTTGGTAAAAGATAAAATTGCAAACATTTGGTAGTAGATCAGAGTCCAATACATTGAAAAAAAATTACCGAAAGGTAAAATCATCTGAAAATTTGAAATCCTGACAAGAAGTTACTTTGCCTAAATTTACAAAAATTTGGCGAACGATTTGTATAAAAAATTGAGTATAAATAATCATAACGTAAAAAAATATTTCTACTGATGACAAAATAAGGACCAATCTAGAATTTACAATTTTCTTCATAAATTGAAAATAATAATCTTATCCGGTCTTAAAATCCTACAAAAAAATTCAATTTCATGTGAATCTTTATTTCTGAAAAATTGTTAGCAAAGATATATTTCGAAATTTTGAAGAATGTTACGTAAATGTGATGAAATATTTATGCAAATTTTGCAACCAAAAGTGAAATGAAATCTAGTGAATTTTTAATTTAGCTTATCCTGTAACATAAAATTTGCGACTTGTCACCCTCTCAATTTCCCGCCTTACCATGTTTCTATTTAATTTAAACCCATGGCGGGAATCGACCCAGATATTTTCCTGCGAAAATCCCGTCCCCGTGATGACAACTTGCCCCAAAGTGAACACCGAGCGGGAAATGGTGGACCCATCGGGGGCACTAGTCGACGGCGTGGGTGACCTCAATTCGGCGTTGTAAACTTTGGAAAACATGGCGAGTTGGACGCCACGCAATAATTCTTTGAGCTGTTTAACGGTCAATTTCTCTTTCGTGCTGGAAAAAAAGCAGGAAAACATTGGATTGGGATTTTTGTTCAAATTGGCCCGCCTTTTTCAAAATTATTAAAGTATTGGATAGATTTTTAGCATCAAAATCCAATAAAATTGTTCAAAAATGGTTTAAAAATTGGTCCGAGTTTGAGTTAACTTGTGGTAAAATATAATTTGAGTGTACCGCAAAAATTTGAATTTCGCTTCTAAATTTATCTGTCAAGAGCAAAATAGTTATGTGCAAAAGTTTGGTGCTAAAAGAAGCGGGAAAAATTGGATTAGATTTTTTATTCAAAATTGTCCGCGATTTTTTAAATTTTGCAAGGGTTAGATAGATTTTTAACTTCAAAATCTACAAGAACAAAAGTTCAAAAAGTATTTATAAATTGGTCTGAATTTGATTTAGCTTGGGATAAAATTTTAGGGTGGAATTTGAGTTTCCCGAAAGAATTAAAAATTCTTTCCAAAATTTAAAGGGCAAAATTAGTTTCTCAGTTTGATCCATAATTCCTAATTTCGTAGGATTTGAAAACTTAAACTGTCCAAAAAGTGAAAACTCCTGTCAGAAATAGGCCAAATTTGATTTGATTTTGAATTTCCCACCAAAACTTTAAACTTACAAGTGCGCCGAATGTTCCCTGAGTTCGAAACTCTCATCATCGGCCACTTTAAGCAGTCCAGATTTGAATATTTCCTCCAGAAAGTCCGCCTCATACGTGACACATTGCGTTTTGAGGGCACGCTGATACAATCTGATCCGTTCCGGAACACCTCCCGCCAAATGGATTTCGTCCGCGAGTACGTGATGATACCGACACCCGCCCCACCCGACGAAAACGTCGTTTGAAACCGTGGCGCCATTCGTTTTCAGCCAACCGAATTGCACGTACGGCTTTTCTTCGCCGGGTGGCTCCCAAGCTGCGCCGAGGGTGCGGCCCTTCGCGACGGATGGGTTTACTTGGTCGCTAACTTGGTCCACCATGAAATCTGTGGTAGCCTCGTCGGGTTCAAGGGCTGTTACAAGTCCGCCCAGACCGCCGGCTGAGCTTTGTGTTACGGCGGCGACTAGAGGGTGCGAAATTTAAAAAAAGATGCAATTTGGGACATTTTATTGTTTGGAAATACCATATTTTGTAAAGAAAATATGAGAGGGTTTTAAAATTGAGATTTTTAAGGAAGCCTAGCTTTTTGTAGGATTTTGTAATTTATTTTTTTTAAGCGAGCTATTTAAGATTCCGGCGTTTTTACTACGTTTTTTTAAACATTAAATTTTTTGTTTCATCTTGTTTGATAAAAATCAGATTTTAAAATCAATCTTGGTAATTTTTTTCTACTGGAAAATTACTCGCACTTCTTACAGTTTTGTTTTAATTATTTAAATCCGTTTTTTTTAAATGTTTCAGAGTTTTAATTTTGTAATGAAATTCTTTAAAAGCAGGAATTTCTCAGTTTTTAAAACTTCGGCCGATTTTTTTCCTCTCCTTTTCCTTTCCTTTTTTTAGAAAATGATTCTCACGTGCTTTTAATGCTTTTAATTTTTTTTAAATACGTTTTTCAAATGTTTCAAAATCCCCCACTTTCTAATTTTCTAATACTCTCTTTTCATACCTTGTTCAAAATTTCGTAAATATTATTAAGTTTTCAAAATTCTGCTTTTACAAATTTCTCAAAACACTTACCAAGCGCCAATTTTTCCTCAGTACTAAGCGCATTTCCAAACTCCAAATCATCCGTCCCTTCGATCCCGGTTTCAACCCCGATGGCCGCCAAAAGTCCGTCATCAGTGCCCAACCCGCCATATAACCCTTCAAAATTTTTGACCAAACCGAGCGCCATTTCTTTCACGACGTGGACCGAGTTTCGAACAGTATTTGGCGTTTCGGGATTAAATTCCCCGCCGACATAAACCACTTCTTCCTGGATTAAGTTGGACGAATATCTGTCCTGGTTAAAATATCGACCTCTTCCCAAATAGGGCGCGGGTGGGGCGGCATCTGTCGGAAGTTCGGTCAGTTCACGACCAAGTTTAATTTCGCGGTCGAGATCGCCATAAATATCGATGAATTCGTCGGGATCGTAACTATAAATTTAAGAAAGCCCGGTTAAATTAGCTGGTAATAAAATAAAATTGTGACTCGGTTGTTGCCAGGTTGGTAATGATTTAAATTACGCAAAATTAAATAATTGGCCCTGGTAAGTTTCTGGAGATTTAAGGTTACGTTTTTTCTAATTTGAATTTCGTGCATGGTCACAACTTAGTAAAAAATCATTCGGTATGAAATTTGTTACCAAATTATGCATAAAATTCGAAAATTATTAACACGATATTGAACGGTAACAAAAATAATAATTTTTCAAATTTAAATTTTTGACATTCGATTTAAAATGTGGTAAAAAATCGTTACCACTCGGTAGAAAATTTGGTTACCAAATTATTTATAAAATAATGTACGCACCCATCGACCACATGATATCTCTCCTGAACTTTAGGATTTGCCGCGGGAAATCCCAAGTCCAAAACCCTCCCGCCGTTATCACTCTGAACTGGCTTTTGTGTCGCTAAAGGGTAATCCATCGTTTCGTTGGACGCGCACGGAATAAAAATCAAGTTTCCGCAACGGAACGAATTTTCGAGCGATTTCGCGCGCATGTCGATGGCTTCTCGATGATCCCAAAAGTCCCATTCTAAAAATACTTTGCGCCCGCCAAGATTATGAATTCCCGCAGAACTGTCTCCGGCTTCCCTGTAGAAAAAATTAATGTGGTAGAAAGATCAAAAATTTTCTGCAATTGTAAAATTTATATTTTTGTATAAGTCATTTTGAAAGTAATGAAATTTACGCAGGCCTTAGTAACTTTGTAAACATAAATTCTGTAAACTTTTACAAATTTTTAGAAATATTTGTAAGGGAAATTAGTTCCCAAATTTTAAAAACTTATTCAAATCAAGGGCGTTTTCTATTTTGTAGAAGTCTGTAAAATTATTATTTTTTAATCCACGAATTTACAAAGAATTGCGTGAATTGCCTATTGCATAGTTTACAAAGCTAAAGAGATGGAAGTAAATATGTAAGCGGTTAAATTTGTAAACTTGTACAGTTTACATAGTTGAAAATTGTACGAAGCATCTCAAAATATCTGGAAAAAACTATAAACATTTCAAAATTTATTTATTTATCGACATTTGGCGTAAAAATTTTGCCAAAATTTGTCAGAATTTGTCAGAATTTGTCATAATTTGTCAAAATTTGCCAAAATTTGTCGAAATTACTAAGAACAAAGAACAATTTCGTAATAAATAAATCTGAAATTTCCTCTGAAATTGTACGGAGCATCTCAAAATATCTGGAAAAAACTGTAAAATTTATTTATTTATCGACATTTGGCGTAAAAATTTGTCAAAATTTGACAAAATTCTCCAAAATGTGCAAAAATGTATCAAAATTTCCCAAAATTACTAAAAGAAAGTTACAATTTGGTACTAAATAAACCTGAAATTTCCTCTGAAATTATCCCAAGTATTATTTCTGTTCATTGTTCCCCAGATTGAAATTTTTAATTCAAATCTAAAAAACCTCCATACTCACGTGATATATAAATACGCCACGAAATAAACGTGCGGATCTATCTGTACCGCCCTCCTCAGGACGACATACGTCCTCTTATTCTTATCCCCTTTCGGCGCGGGAATGTTATCCTCATCCCCCGTCAAAATTATGACGTCAACCCCGCCATCGTTCCGCTTCGTTTCGTACACGGCTTCCGCAATGGCGTCCATCGGGTCGAGGTGGCGATACGTGGTTTTGTGATTTAGCGGGTCGACAAACTGGAGCAGGATGGCGTCCCCTTCAAAAGACAGGATTGGAACGGCGGCAACATATTGTTTTAAATCGGATACGAACAAGTCGTTATTTGGGGAGGGTGTTGGGTCGGAAACTTCGGCAGTTTCGGCTTCTTTTTCGGTGGACCCGCCGGCGGGAAATGATTCTTCGTTGGAGGAGTGGTGTTTGGAGGTGGATGGGTGGGAATTTATATTTCTGGGGGATGCGATGGCAAGGGAAAATATGGTAAGGAGGAAAAATCGCGACATTTTTGGGGGAGGGGAGAAGAAGCAAGGTTGTTTAGTTAGGTGGATATAAATGAGCAATTAAAGTTAATTGTTTGGGGATAATTGTTATTGTAAACATGCAAAATAAAGATGCAAAACAAATGAAAACTTTCACCAGGAAATGACCCAGAAAAGAGAGTTCTCTCTTTTCGATTAAATTGTGATAAAAAATTATGATAAAGTAGCTGTCGAGCGAATATTTCTGAAAGTAGTCTTCAAAATTAGGGATTTTTGGCAATTTTTTGGTTTTTGACTTTGTTTCTAAATCATTCTTCTGCTTATTAAATAAATTATATAAATTTTAATTTGAAAATATATTTTTTTTAATCATTCAAATTTAAAATTTAAAATTTATTTCAAAAATCGTGGATTTGTCCTCCTTGTGTAAAAAGTATCTTTTTGCACTTTAATTTTTTGTCTGGAGCGAAAAAAATTTTCCAATTCTAGATCAATGATTCTTTTTTTCTCACCTTCTTTTTGCGCATGCGTTACATATTATTTTTTTAATGAGACGAAATAAATAATTAAAATGTTATAAAAATGTGAATAATTTAAAATTTGCATATTTAAATAATTTAAAATTTGCATACTTAAATAATTTACAAATTTGCATAATCTACGAATCGAAGGCACAATAGAGCAACGTTCTTTTATAAATTTCCTTGTCGTTCGACTTCAAGAATGCGTCATACGTTGTGAGTACATCCTGTCCATTTTGAATCGGGGTGAGCCCATTGATATAAAAGTGGATAAGTCCCGCCAAATGGAACACGTTTTCGAACGCGGCTTGTTTTTCGGCGGGAGTATATTTCGTCGAGAAAGAGGCGACCATATAATCCTGGGTGACCTTGGTGAGCGCAGATTTTAGCGCTTTGACCATATTCCTGCTCAATTTGATTAAATGGGGCCCTGCTAAACTCTTGGCTTGAGTCAAGTGCCGAAGTCCGAAACGCATCATGGTGACGATTGTGGGGTTAGAGTTGTTTAAGGTGAGCGCGACGACTTCTTTAAGGTCGGCGGGAGGCGCGTCGGGTTTTAATTGGGCGACTATTACCTGCGAGAAGGAGGCAAGTTGTAGAGCGCGGGAGAGTAGGGTGGATTCTTCCAGGGTGAGTTTGCGGTTTTTCCTGGATGGGGTAAAATGAGAATCAACTTAATGAAATTAGAGACCTGTTAAGGTTATAAACTAGTCGCGCGAATTTTAAACCATCATTTTCAAACAGAACTATTAATTTTCTAATTGGTTTAGGATTTTTTTAGATTTTGGGGAAAAATTTGTACTTCAATTTTCAAAGGTTTCAATTTTCAGAATTTGAATAAAAAATGAATTAAGTATGTAAGAGTTTAATAACTTTTCAATTTAAGTAATTTTGTTAGGATTCTTTCAGAAAGTCTGAATTGTAAATTCAACTAATAACATTGCAATTTGGTACATAATATGTAACATTTGTCAAATTATAAAAAAAGTTCTAAAGTTACTCAGTTTTAGAAACAAAAATTTGAAGTTTGATTGATTTAAAAATAGATTTCCCGTCAGACTTAGCCAAAATGCTGAGGACTTGTGAATTCATTTATTTAAAAACAACTTAGAATTTTGAGTAATTTGGACATTTTGCCTAATTAAAAAAACATTTCCCGCCCAACTTACAAAACTGCTAGGTCCTCCGGTACCGTGAAATACTTATCAGCCCCAACGATCAAGTACTTCTTGGTCAACAATTCCTTCACCTCTTTCACCTTACTTTCCAGACACTGAACTCTCAACAAGGTCAGAAAAAAGGTCACGACGGCGTCCCCATCCAATCCGCTAAGTTTCCCAGCCTCCCCGGGCGCCATCTTTTTACACGGGCCGAACCCAATAAAGGCGGCCCCTGCCCCGGGCGGGTCGTCTTTTCCCTCCAACCCGACCCATCCCAAGGTCGTGAAAAGGTCAACATTACTTTTCGACGTGACCTTGACCCCGGGCGCTTGGCGTCGTTTCCTTCTCCACATCCCACCAATTCCCGTGTTCATTACGCCCTTCACGGCACCCTTAAGGGTTTCCCGCCCTATATTTCCAAACGCTGATTTTCCCGCGGCACCCACCGTGGCGTCCATGCCGCGCCCAATTTTGCCTAAGAATGACCCCATTAATCCCCCCGTGGGGAGAACGGAGTCCAATTTCCCGCCAATCCCTTCCGCTATGGTGGACCCGATTTGTGTCGGACCGGTATTATTTTCCCCCATGAGTTTGTCCGTTATTGCGATGGCGGCGGCGTCCTTAGCCATTGAGGAGAAACTGCCGTCGTCCGGTTGTCCGCCGATAGCGCCGCCGGTCAGGCCGGATAAAAGCCCGCCTTAAAAAATTTGAAAGTATTTTGTTTGGACAGGAAAATGAGGTATTAGAGAGGTTGCGAATGGGTATTTTTTTGTGATTGTAATTTTGATTGTATACGGATCACCTAAATATAAAACTTTTAGCTACAATCGAAATCACAAAAAATATAAAAGCCCGCCTAAAAAATTACAGCTTACGAGGCTTTTATATTTTTTGTGATTTCGATTGTACCTAAAAGTTTTATATTTAGGTGATCCATATACAATCAAAATTACAACCACAAAACATTATAATCACAAGTTGTGATTGTAATTTTGATTGTAAATTGGTGATCCACCTACAAGCTCACAAAAATACATTTGCGCAATCTCTCTATTATGAAAAGAAATATTCTATTTTTACCAGCTGCACCAGTCACCCCGCCGAGACCGGCGGCTAGCCCGCCATTGGAAAGTATATCGCCGGCACTTTTGAGGAAGAAAGTTTACAAAATTAGGCGCGAATTTGCCTTGAATTGTTATTATTTATTTTACCCGAGTGAGCCTAGTATACCTGCAGATTTTTTAAAAATTGGTTATATGCGAGTAAATTTAGCTATGTATTAAAAGTCAGGTAAATTTAAATCTTACCGCCGCCCGTACCCAGCCCGCTAAGTAAGCCTGTTAAATGTAACGGATTAATTCAACATTCTCCTGGATGGAGGGTTATATAATGCATCGTTGGAAGTTTGAGTTTTTCATGCCAATTTTTAATTCAAAATTTCTAAAAATTCCTTCCATTTTACAAATTTTAAGACAAAGTGACACTTGAAGGGAAAGTAAATTTTTGCCAATACAAAACTATCGATTTGAAAATAATTAGCGAATTTATTTTTTAGGAAATATATCCTTCAGAATCTTACGTTAATTTACAAAGTTACGGAATTCACTGAATTACAACCAAGTTTATTATCACAAAGGAGCTCGTTACCTAAGAAGTCTAAATGTAATTGTATATTTAAATATTAAATATTTACCGTAACCGACGCTCAAATGCAACAATTAAAAAAAACTTGTGTATTTATGATTTGACAAAAATTATCTTTCGTAAAAACTTAAAAATATGATTTGCAAAAAAATATGTATTTATTTTTTGAGGGAATTTATTGAAAATAAATTGCATTTTTTTCAAATCGATAGTTCTGTCGTGTGAAAAATTAATTTTGCACTAAAGTATGAAAACTTGCATTTAACTCAAAATTCATGAAACTGATGCCATTTTAGAAATTTGCATTAAAAGACATTTAATCAGGGATACTATGCCGCGCATCAAGTCGCTATCCTATGTTTCGTAAAAATCGTAAAATTATTGTGGTTTTAGAAATTTGAAATCAAATAAACTGAACATGGGGGTAAGGTGAGACGAAAAATTCGAACATCCAATCGCGCAATTAATTAAGCTTATCAGAATAAGAAACTAAATACTTAACTAAATATTTATTAATTAAATTTAAATACCTCCTCCAATACTGCCCAAACCGCCTAACAAACCCCCACCACCGCCGCCCAGGCCCAATCCGCCTAATAAACCGCCACCACCGCCTCCAAGGCCTAATCCACCCAGTAAACCGCCTGGACCGGCCGGGGCTGGTGCCGCGCCATCTGCCGGTGGTGCATCTGCGGGTGCGGCATCTTGGCGCTCTTCGCGCGCAAATTCTTTTTCAAGCTGTGCCTCGAGTTCTTCTTCGGATTGAGACAAATAGTATGATCTCTTCTTACGACGACCGAGAAGCCCGCCTAAAAAAAATTTGAAATTGAAAGTCGGTAACGGATTTAGAAAGTAAAATTGAACTTTTAAATTTTACCAAGTCCGCCAAGAAGCCCACCAACTTTTTTGGTAGGGACGCCAGAAACAGAGATTTCAGGCCCTAGTGGAGTTTTGGCACCGACTTTTTCTGCAACTCCGGACGCTGGTTTTTCGGTGGTGGTGACGTCATCATCTTAGGGAAAAATACGAATAAGAAAAAAAATTTGGGGGTATAAATTGATTTAAGAAATTGGGAAAATCAAAAAAATAAATTATAAAAATTCGAAATAAATTCCAAATTTTAAACAAATTCTTAAAATTACGAACAAAAAAAAATTGAGACAAGAAATATTGAAGTAAATAGATTGTGAAAAATTACGTAAATCAAAAATATAAATTCTAAAAATTCTAAATAAATTCTAAATTTTAAATAAATTCTTAATTCCAAATTAGTTCATAAAATTACGAAAAAAAATTGAGACCCTAAATTTGCACAATTAGGAAAAAATTACATTTCACAAAAGTTTAAAATTATGGAAAACAAGAGGACGCTAAATTTTAAAATTATGAAAAAACTAAACGGATCTAAATTTAAAAAATAGGAAAACCCGGAAAAAATAGACCTGCCAAGTTATTACAAAGTGGGAAAAATAGAGGTTACCGAATTTTTTAAAATAGGGAAAAAACTAGAGGGCACAAAATAAAAAAAAGATCCGAAAAATGTATAATTTCAAATTTAACGTAAAAGACGCCAAATTAAAAATTAACATACTTTTTAAAAAATCACCTTTATCCTCAGGCATCGCATTTCTCCTCCTGCGCCCTAACAGACCGCCCAAACCGCCGAGTAAGGTTATTGGGGCAGCCGGTTTTTTGGGCGCCGCCGGGGCTGCTTCGCTTGAGTCACCTTCACTTTCCTTCTTCTTATTCTTCTTTTTCTTCTTCTTCTTATCCTTTTTCTTCTTTTTCTCTTTTTCGCCCTTCTTTTCATCGGTTTTCTTTTCTTCGGGTTTTTTCTCGGCGGGTTTCTTCTCGTCTTCTTCAGATTCCTCTGATTCTTCATCCTTTCCTGGTTTTGGGGTGGTGGTGGCTGCGCCAGGTGGCGCTGGGGTGGTGGCAGCGTCAGGACCGGGAGTTGTTGCTGCGTCATCATCATCAGGAGATCGACGACGTCGACGACGACCAAGAAGCCCGCCTTAAGAAGAAAAAAGTTAAGGGTTTTGTGGAAAGTTTGAACTAAAATTTTATGTTACAAATCAATTACGTTCAGAAAAAGATAGATAAATGTCTAGAAATTAAACAGGAAGTAGGCAAATTCGTTTGTTAGCAAACGATTTGTAGATTTTTTTAACCCCACAAACGATAGGAATCTCAGTTCTTACTGGATTCTTTTGTAATCCAGGAATTAAAACCAATTTGTTTTAAGTTGGAGAAATTATTGGAAAAATTAGAAGTAAAGTTGTTTGTCAATAAAAAAAGTCATAAATAGATTTTCTGAAAAATTTGACTATTTCAAAAAGGATAAGATTTTAATTTTTGCTTCGAAATTCCATGAATCGATGAAATAATTCAAGGAAAACTATTTTTTTAAGTTTGAGAAATGTAGATTTTTCGATAATCATTAGCAAAATGATTCAATTATCGTTAGAAAACATTCAATTATTTTGCTGCACGACATTTCAGGAATCGCGCGAAAAGTCAAACTATTGTTTTAAAGTTAGAAGAATTACTAGGAAAATTCAGAAAATTGATATTAGTTGGACAAAAAATTTTCAAATTTTTCGACAAATTTAGTACGATAAATGATTAGAATTTCATTTCTTCAAGAGAAAACTCCAAGCATCATTTTTAAAAAAAATTGCGGGGAAATTTACATTTTTAAATTTTTTTCTCTTACCCACTGCACCCAGGAGCCCTCCATGCAGGCCGCCCTTATAACCTCCATGTGTGGTTACAACTTGCACAGTTGCGACCGGGGCGGGTGTAGTTGTCGCCCCTGGTTTCTCAGTCGTCTTTCTGTACAAAGCTGCCACGACGTCGTCGGCGGCTAAAAGCGAAACAAAAATCATATTTAAGTCGAGGTGGGAAATAAAAAATTTAAAAATAAAAAAGAAACTTGATAAGGTGAAACACAAAAAAAGCAATACAGTAAAACTAAAACGGTGATTACAAAATTTTAAATTGATAGGGCGACAACTTTAAGCATCAAAATAAAACTTGGAAACTCGAAAAAATATAAAGCTCAGGAAAGCGGTAACTAAAAAAATTAAAATAAAACGAAAACTTGATAGGGCGGCAAATTCAAAAAATAAAAATAAAACTGGATAAGATGGAAAATCAAAAAATATAGAAATCAAAAATGCAAAAAAAATTAAAAAAAGAATTTAATTAAACTTGATATGGCGGCAAATTTAAAGGCCAAATACTAAAACTTGATAGGGCGGCCAACATTAAAAGTAAAATTGGATAACATGAAACATTTAAAAAATGTAGAACCTAGCCCAGGAACACGAAAAACAAAATAATATGATGTCACATTCAGCGGCAAATATCTGACCTTTATCTACATTTAGTTCCGTCGTGGTTTCCGGTTCTGCAGTCGTGGTAGGTTCATCGTCCGGAACGCGGCGTTTTCTTGAACGCACATGGCCAAAAAGTTGGTCAAACATGGAAGGGATGTTATTTTGTGGTTCCTCCTCCGCTTGTCGGGCGTTGATCGTAATTCTGACCAAATTTGCACCATCGTCGATGTCTAAAGGACGCAAAAAATAGTTTAATCATGCCTTTTTAAAAAAAATTACTTAAAAAAACGCCCTTTTTTTGGGAAATTTCAGACTCATTAGAAACTTTTTGAAATACTCATTTTTACTCTAATTCTGATTGTAGACCAAAAAAACACATCAACCGGGAATTCAATCCAAATTCAAATTATTTGACGCTAGAGCTTGCTTTATCCCATTCTTGCAGTTTATTGTAGAAATAAGCGCTCAATTTGAATTATGAAATTATGAAAATCCCCGCATTTTGTAGGCGGGATTTTTTCCACCAATTTTGGCTGAATCGTTAATCAATTTAGCTTTGGATTTATTACCGTCAAAGAATTTCGCAAAATTTTGATCCTCCTCCATTCGTCGAGATCTTAGAGTTGATTCCAAATCCCGCTTTTTCTTGCGACCAAGTGTACCTGAGAAGGAGCCCTTTTTTGAATTTGAAACACAAATTGGTAATAGTTTCCTTACCAAAAAGTCCAGATCCTAAAGATCCCAACGTTCCCGCCAAAGTGTTTCCTTTTTAAAAACCAAACTTTTTTGAAACTCCCTCGAAATTGGAACATTAAAAAAATATATTACATACCTAATCCTTGCCCCGTACTAAGAAGTCCGGATCCCACAGAAGTCCCCAAATTGAACAAACCGCCCCCAATTCCGGTCAACGCTCCGCCCACACCTGCCACTGTCCCGCCCAATACGGAACCCACCCCGCCAACCAGGTCGCCATCTACAATTTGACCTAAACCGTCACTCAGCCCGACGCCCAGACCGGTAACCAAGTTGCCGACGCCTTCTTGAAGTCCGTCAACCTGTTTAAATAGAAACTTATCAGAAATATTTCGGAAATTTAAAGATACTTAATAAGGGTAAAGTGGGATTAAAGCCTATGATAGATTATTTCGCCTTAAGAATTCAACGATTCGGAATGAATTTACTCACACTAATCTGAGATTAGTTTAGTGTTAGTAATCCGAGTTTATGAGATTAGTAATAAAAAACGTGCCACCCTTACCACGTGTCCAACACCGTGCCCAGCTCCCGCTAATGTTCCACTAACTCCGCCTAACGTTTGTGTCAAACCATTTCCCAAGTTTGCCAGAACACCCGTGTTTTCTCCCGAATGTGGACTGTCTGATATGGACGAGGCAGCATTTCCAATTCCCGCTACAAGTCCGCCAAGCGCATTCCCCAAAACATTGGGATTCTCACCACTTCCAAGAGAAGCACCTGAGTCGGCGGGAGGAGGAGGGGCACCGTCCGCCGGGGGAGGTCCACCCTCAAGGGGAGGTGCACCCTCTGGGGGAGGAGCATCTGGCGGGGGAGGATCTTGACGTCGTTGCAGGTCAATTTCGGATTGTGCTTCGATAGGTTCTTGGTTACCGAACTCCCGCCGAAAATCGGGGTGTTGTTGTTCTTCGATGGGTTCAGGATCAGAGTATTCCCGCCGAAAATCGGCGTGTTCTACTTCGTCGTTATCGTGGTAATCGCTGCGTCGATGGAAATGAACGTCGGGATCGTTATCGAATCGGAATTCGTTTTCGGCTTCGTCATAACCAGGATAAGGTTCAAGGTCGCGACGTTTTCGGTTGAGGAGAGGGGCCGAATTCGGGCCTAAATTGGGTACAAATTGGATAAATATGTGCTTAAAATGAGAGTGGGGCCCAGCTTTTTTGTTACCTAGGAAATTTTAATAGCCACACATTCATATAAAAGATAAGAGATCTTCGAAAAATCGAGCTAGAAATCTAAAAATGCCCAAAATTGCATGTGTGACTGCTAATTTTTTGATCATTTTCGTTTGAACGAGTAAAATTTTTGGTGAAAAATTGAGCGTTTTCGTAAATTTGGAATACCGACAAGTTTCGAAAATTTTGCGCAAAATTGTTTTATCGCGGGTAACAAAAGAACCAGGGCTGAGGAATGGTTTTTTATTGTATTTAAGTACCGAAAGGTCCCATGTTGCCGTCACCTAGATCCAGAATCATGATGTCATCCACCACCTCTGCACAGAGTAGTACACTCAAGATACATAAGTTGGTAACAAAATTGTCACCGCAGTTCTGACGACAATGGTAGTTTGGTAATCGCGATTTACGAGACATTTAAATTTTAAAGGTTTAAAGCAGTTATTGTTCGACAACAAATTTTGTTACAAATTTTGTTACCAACTGACGCATGCGTTTACAAAAGTTAGTTGACACATGTAAATTGAGCAAGCTTACTTCGTACGGAACGTTTCCCATCGTCGCTATTTAAACCGTAGTTGACGTTTTCCACTACAAAAAGAGAAAAAAATTAAATTTGACGCCCTTTAGTTGGAGAAAATTTCATGGTAAGAATTACAGAGGACCAAAAGTTTAATTAGTCTGCTTTTTCCGCTAAGCTTAGCTTTTTTGGGGTAAAATGATGAAATGTAAAATCTTGCCCTTTCATAAATATAATTAATTACCAGATCGTCGAAAGAATCCAAATTTTTTGGGTTTCGCGGGTCCCGCAGCATCCATGGATCTCCCGGTACCGCCACCGCTACTGCCACCGCCACCCATCATGGAACCGAACATTCCCATAGCGCTAGAAGCCGCCCCGCCAGCGGCAGACATGCCTCCTTTCGCGGAAGAAAAAGCGGTACTCGCCGCGCCGCTAACTTTAGATTTACCGAGGCCCAAACCGCCTAGGAGCCCGCTTAAAGCGCCACTCCCGCCTGGGGATAAATGAGACACATTGTTAGTATGTTTAAATTGAAATTTTAATTTTAAGTTTAATTTGAATTTACTTAGCAATCCACCCCCTGAGACTGCACCGAGCAGACCCTGTCCCCCACCCCCCAAGAGTCCTAGGCCTCCCGTTAATCCACCCAATTTATCGGTTAAACCAGCAACTGCTTCCCCGTGTAAAATGTTACCTGTAAAATTTGAGGCAATTATAAATTAAGGCGGGAAGATAATGATTCAGGATTAGATTTGCATAAAGTTAAATTCCCTAAAATTTCCTCAAATTTAGAGGAACTATGAGCAAAACTGAGCATATTTCCTATAGATCTCCCAATTTGTTGTAGCAATTCATACAATGAAATCACGTTTTAATTACATTAACTTACATTTTTTGCATTCTTCAATCAATGAAACTTGTGACATCATTTTAATTGCACGCAGTATAAAAAAATTTAGTACTTTACTGAAGCTTTAAACAAGTAAACTTTCTAAAAAAAATACAAATTTGTCGTAATCTTTCCGCATGTTTATCATTGTTTAAAATGTGTTCTCAAATTTTACGACAGCATTTTTAAAACATTACCAGAATTTTGTAAAAATTTTAAAAATTACCCGTCAAATTCCCCAACCCTCCCGTTACACCCTTCAACTCTCCAGAAACCACGGTCCCCAAGGATTTTCCTAGCATCCCCATCATCCCGTTCATCGCATCCTTCGCCGCCGCCACTTTCTCCCCCATCGTTGCACTCGTGGCAATTTTGACTCCCGCCGTTTTTGCCGTATCTCCCACCCCGCTGATCGTATTGGTCACCTCGTCCTTCACGCTATTCAACGCTAGTACATTATTCAGCGGGAGAACGCTGTTTAACACGGGCAACGTCGGTAACGCCGGTAACGTTTTTACCGCCCCGGTCAAAACGGGAATCAAGGCGGCCGCAATGTCGGAAACGGCACTCTCGTCAAAAATGTCACCCAAACCGGTCGTTTTTTGAAACAGGTTTTGAAGCGCGACAGCCTCACTTCCTTGGAGCTGAATTGCGGTCGAAAGGGGTCCCGCGCCCCCGCCGACGAGCTGGGTGATGACGTCATTGTCCACGGAAAGGGCGGGATTTGGATGGACGAGTTTCACCTCGCCCCCGTTCAGATTGGGCTTAATGTTGAGGAGGCCTTTGAGGATAAGGGTGCCCAGAATGCGGCCCACGTCGGGGGTGAGGGTTTTATTGGCGGCGATGAGTGGGTCCGAGAGGAGGCCGAGGACACCAAGTTGCTTGAGGAATTCTTGTGCTACTTGGGATATCGTGGTGGAAATAGCTTTCGCCTTGACGACGGCGGCGGGAACGTCGACGGCGGCTAAAACATTGAATTTTTGACAATTTTAGAGAATCTAAAGGTTCAAGAATTAAAGACTCGTAATTAGTGCAGATTTTTGTACAGCGGCGAACGATTGAATTTTTGAAAATTTTAGTCACGATTTGATGACTCGCAATTCATGCAGATTTTTTTACGACGGGAACGTTGATGGGGGCTTAAAATTGAATTTAAAAAAATGAAAGGGATGGAAAAAATTGAGAAATTTACGAAATTCATGAGGATTGTTGGAACTCTGTAAACTCTAAAAACGCTCTCTGCAAAACTGTAAACTCTGTAACTCTGTTCATTTTAAGAAGATTACGAAGGAAAAGTAGACCGTTTTTAGAAGAAAAAATATTTCTAACATAGTGTCTCCAGTTGTTTTATAGCAATATATGTATTCGGTGAAAAATTACGTGACCTCGTGAAGAATAACGATTTATAAAATTATTTTGCAAGCAAAATTATTTAAGTGAAATTTTCTAAGATTACTGAAAAATATCGAAATAAAATATTTACATTCTTAAAATCATTTTATAAATTTCATACAATCATAAGGATGAAATTTACGAATATTATGAAAAAACGCGTTTCTTCAAAATTTGAAAAAGAACACAATTTTTTGTACATTATAAAAAAATGCACATGAGCGTAATTTTGTTTACCCGTTGCCGCCGCTATAGCCACCTCCGCCCCGACCATGGGATCAACGGCGGGAGCAAGTTTCTTGAACAGGGCATGCAACGTGGGTTTTGCCGCTTCCAGGATGGATTCTCCAATCGCCGTAGCGCGAATGGTCTTCCCGAAGAACATGGCTTGCAAAGCGTCATCGTCCAAGTCGGCGAATAAATCGTAATTTGCTGCCACATTGAATCCTATGAACAATTTTGGCGGGGCACGTGAATAAAATTTAACATAATACTCATTACCAAACTCGCCAAAATGAACACATTTTGAATCATTTCTCGCCCTCCGGGAATTTATTTTTAAATTCTGAACGAAAAATTAGTGGTCCGAAAGTTGATTAATGGAATGCGGTGAGTTTTAAAAATTTAGATAACCCAGTTTTGATAAGTACCAATTTCTCTGAGGGTTTCTTAAACTCGAGATCTCCTACTTCAAAAAGTGTTAGAATCTGACGATTTTGACGATTAGTCTCACGTTAAAAATACCGATTTTTTCCGCAATTTTATTCAAACCTGAAGTAGTTACCGCCTGGAATTTAGGCAATGCTGGTGGCGGTGCGGCCAAGAAATCGTCGGGATAATCGGCCTCATCCGTCTCGACGGTTTTTGCCTCTTCGAAAACATTGTTATCCGCATCGTCCACTCGGCACGGTACGAACGGGCTGGAATGACAGGTCGTGTGGCCGAATGTGATGGCCTCGTTGCCATAATGACCACGATGGTCCCACGTGTCGAATTCGACGAATTTCTTGCTCCCCGCGACATCGACGGCGTCCTTCGAGTCGGAAGGGGCGTCTCTAAAATAATTTTAAAACTGGATTAAATTCAACAAAATCGAAATTCACATTTAAATTGAAACTTGGTAATTAATTTTGGAATTTTAGATTTTTTAACAGCACAAAACAATAGAAAATTTTATCAAAAAAAGGCCTCAGAACCTCATCGAATTTTTCATAATTCGCTCCGATTATTCGAAATAAAATTGTTTTTTTCCTGCAAACTTATCTTGTGGCCCGAGTTTTAAAATTATTATCATCAAAATAACACCATACAACAATTTCAAATTTTCCGCGAAAAAAATTCAAAAATTTAAAACTTGCCGTCATACTCACCTCACATAGGCGTACATGACCCAATAATTTTTCGGGTTATCAAAAGTCTGCCTTAAAACTACGAAAGTCCTCTTATCCTCCGTTTTTGGGAGGTGATCTTCCTCTCCCTTCAAACCCACGACGGCCTTCCCTTCATCCCCCGATTTCCTCTTAAAAACCAAACTTCCTGCTTTAGCGCCCTCAGTGCGGACGTAACCGGTGTCTTTCTGAGTTAAAACTATGTCCTGCGCAAAGGCTCCCTTTTCCAGTAAAGTTTGGGCCTCTTTTTCAATCGCGGCGAGATACGCGTCCACATCGCCGGCGCCGCCGCGAGAAGGCGCCACTAAAAGCGCGAAAAAAAGGGTCGCGCCCCACATCGTGAGGGTGGCGCGAGATTTAAATTTTTAAATTTAAATCCGTAATCCGAAATCTTTTTAAATGTTTCCGTATGGTTTATCGCCCTAATGATAAAACCATCCTCGTTTTAAACAACTGACCTGGTTAACGAACTGGGACGGAGGGTCATTGTTTGGAAATTTGTTTTGGAAACAAAATTTCCAAAACAATGGGACATATAATAAGCGTGAACTTCCTGACGATCCTACGTGGTTATTGTGGGGATAAAATTGTGCATATTTTTTTTAAATTGTGCATGTTTTTTTCCAAAATTGTTATTTTTTGCAAAAAAATGTGTAAAAATTAGAGAAATCATGGTTAAGAGCTTTTATTAAATTCATATGCGTGCATCTTTTTACGTTGGGGAATTTTTGGATGTTTGAAATATGTGGGATTTATTTTTTTATGCATATTTTTTTGTATTGTACAATTTGAAAAAGTTGCAGTTTTTGAACTGTTTTGAATGTAAAAGTGGAATAAAGTTTTATTAAAGAAAACAACTAATTGTTTTTAATTTTCCCACCAATCTTTTAATCTTAGAAATATTTTAGCAATGGGTTTGTCTTAATAAATAGTTTTTAATAGAAATCATATTGGGGTTTATTATTTTAGAAATTTCCACGCTTTTTGAATTTTTCCTAAACTTTTCGGATGTAGTTTTAAAATTCTACCCGAGCGTTAGAAAAATATTATTTAAAGTTTAAATGTGCAAACAAAAATGTCCAATATTCTCCTAAATTATTTACACAAACGGTTAACGGTGAAACATTTAATTAAATTAATTAATACACTTTTTTCCCCCGAGATTTTTTTTCCTTTTTTATTTCGCAGAATTTTTGAAATTACAGTTTAAAATAGGTATTAACCTTATTCGCAATTTCCGCCTTGTTAATGAGATACCAATCGTCGAAGGCTTCTTTGGCCGGTGTGCCGTGCAGGACGGGACCCAAACCGGCGTAGTAAAAGTGGATCAGCCCTCCCAAATAGAGCAAATCGTTATTCGTCTCTTTCAAAACGATGGTGCATGCGGAGCACGGTTTCATTCGAAAGTAGTCTTGAAGTAATTTGACAAATCCGTATTTCGCGGTCATCGCTTTATTTCGGAGAATCGTCATGGCGTGGAGGGCATACCTGTTCAAAAAGTTTTTTTCATTCAAAAATTATTCAAGTCAAAATTTTTAAAACAAAATTATTCATTCATTATTCATTTTATCTAAATTTGAAAATAAATACGCACTCATTAATAATTTTTTATTCATTTTATCTCAACTTATTTCTTCATTCAATTTAAAAATTTGGAAAAATAATTGATTCATAATTCATTCATTCAAAATTTGGAAATAAATATTTACTCAATATTCATTTTGTAATCATTTTATCTCAAATTTGCCTTCTGAGATGGATTTCTCAATTTTCCCCGTGTGATAGAGTGAAAAATGAGACTAATTTTTCACTCTATCACTCATTTAATGAGTGATGAATAAAATTAATCACAAGGAGAAAATTGAGAAATGAATGAATATTTAATAAATTTATTAAATATTCATTCATTAAAAAAAAATATTCACTCATTATTCATGAATTTAATGAATAATGAATGAATAATTTATTTAAAGAACGTCCGGGAATGAATGGGAATGCGCGCTCTAGCGAGTATATTGACAAATCAATAAACCCGCGAACTATAATAATTTAAATTTCTGAAAGCCCACTTCATTAGGGTCAATTTGGTATATCACTCTTAAATTTCAAAAATGGATAAGGGTAGAAGAAGCTTGTTTGAAAGGGAGCTGTTAGCAAAACGAGTGATGGAGTTCTACAACACGACAGCCAACCGAGACTCCAAGGTGACCTGGAACTTTTTTAAGCAGGAAGGAATTCCAAGTTCAAATGTGTATTCCTACATAAAAAAGTTCAAGGATTCCGAAAATGTGCAATTCAAGAAGCCAGCTGGTCGTCCGGCGAAGCTAGCGACCACTCGAGTGAAAAATAGAATTGAAAAAATTTTCAAAACCAAGCCATCAACGTCAGTAGCTGTAGCTGCCAGGAAAGTCAAAATTTCCAAAAGCTACCTGGGGGAAATTAAGGTCCATAAATTAGGAATCAAAGCAAGGACCAAAAAACCTGCACCAAATTACAAGCCCGTACAAGAAAGTCGGATCAAGGATTGCTGTCAAAAATTGTTGAAGAAAATGCGTGGAAAAGTAGTGATCCTGGATGACGAAACGTATGTTCCGGTTGACCCTTCAAATCTTCCAGGGCGTCATTTTTGTCATAGCTCGGATCCCTCTGAAGTGGCTTATGAAGAAAAAGTACGAAAAAAAGACAAATTTCCAAAGAAATATTGCATTTGGCAATGCATCTCCAGTCACGGACATGTATCAGACCCGGTAGTTCTCGAAGGGAATATCAATCAAGATATTTATCTGAAAAATTGCGTCAAGGCTGGATTGGAAGCATTTATTAATAGGTTTCACAAAAATGATAAAGTTTTGTTTTGGCCTGACCTCGCCACTTGTCACTATGCAAAGAAAGTGACCGAGTACCTCAGAAAGAAAAATATTGATTTCGTACCAAAAGATATCAACCCACCTAATGTACCCCAACTCCGCCCAATCGAAAAATTCTGGGCACGTTCTAAGTCAGTATACTCCCGGCTTCAAGATGTGCCTGACACCTTTCGAAAATTCAAAGGACGATGGAAGAAAATCACCTCGGAAGTGGCAAAAACTTCGGGAAAAAATTTAATGAAAAATCTTCGCAAGAAAATCGAACTAGTCGCCAACGGGGGTGTGGCGGCCTTAGCTATTAATTAAATTATGTAGGTACGTATTTGGTATTATACATATGCAAAAAGTTTAAAATTCCGATAACTCATTGTGATTTTATGACCACATTTTCAGACCATTCCCATTCATTCCCGGACGTTCTTTATTTATTTATTTTTTCTGTAACTTATGTGAACAAGGCTTACTTGTCGGTGGCGAGGTCCACCCCCATGAGTTCGGTTTGAACGAAACCATACATTTTCGGAGAGACTGCAAGGCCGTCGAGGGTTGATGGGGTGGCTTTCGCGCCACCTTTGAGTGCCATGTAGCCCCGGGTGATAGCCTCTAGTTCGTGGATGATAGATATGAGCCCGGTCTCACGGCGGGTGAGTTTTTGGCGGGAGCTAGAAATTAATTCAAATTGTGATTTGTAAATAATTTTTAAAAATAGGACGAGAAAGTTATTAAGGAATATCGGGTTTGTAAAATAGTAAAATATGTTATATATTAGCCTTAGTTCGTAAAAGGTTGTAATTCGTCACAAATTTTACAGTTTAAAACATTTGGATTTGTTTATAAACTGCGTAATTTTTGCAAAATTAGCTTTTAGACATTAATATTTTTTTTGAATTTTGTGCTAATGTTTGTAAAATTAATTCGAAACTCTTTTGTAAACTGGAAAAATTTTGGAACATTATTTCGTAAACTTTGCTCTTTTTGTAAAATTGTTTAGTAAACTGGTAATTTTGTGAAGTTAGTAATTTTTGTAAAATTATTTGATAGCATGTATAATTTTGTGAAAACTTATTTTGAAACTGGGCAATTTTCTTTTCTTAAAAAAAGTTTTTGAAACCTGGAAGTTTTTGTAAATTTACGACGTTACAAAGATTTGCGTTAATCCTCTTACCGTAGTTTGCAGTCGGGGGTGATCTGCAACGTTTTGTCGGGATTAAGCTCTAAACACTTGGATTCGACGACGTGTTTAATTTGGATCAATTTTTCTTCGGAACACTGCGTTCGAAGGAGTTTCAGCACAAAAACTGCGGCATGTTCGACATCAGTGGTGGCGAGAAATTCGTCCGGCGTGGGATTTAACCAGGGACACGATCCGTACCCCATGAACACGATGGAGCTCAATTTTTCCTGGATTAAAAGTTTGAGATGTCTCGTTTTGAATTAAATAAAATTTGAGATGACTCCCTACGTATTAAAACTTGAAATATTTACTTTTGTTTCAAAATTTGAGATGTCTTGTTTTCAAGTAAAAATGTCAAATGATGTCAAATTTCTAATTAAAATTCTAGACGTCCCATTTCTAATCAAAATTTAAGATTTTTAATTATATTTGAGAGTTCTGGTCTGATTGCTAATTGAAAATGAGGGTTCTCGTGTTCAATTAAATTTTAGAAGTCTCGTTTTTACTCAAGATTTGAGATATTTGAAGTTTTTTGTTAAGTTTGAGTTAAACTATGAGATGTCTCGTTTTGAATCGAAATTTCAGCCTTTTAATTAAAGTAAAATTTGAAAGGTCTCGTTTTTACTTAGCATTTGAGATGTCTCGTTTTCAAATATAATTAGAGATATCCAATTTTGAATCAAAATTTGAAATAACTAGTTTTTAATTAAATTTGAGATATCTCCTTTTGAATAAAAATTTGAGATTTACCGTCATTTGTCATCATTTTATCCCGAATTATGTATTTCTACCTTAATTTTATCCAAATCTGGGGTCGAAATGTCTTGGGTGAGCCATCCGTAACGGGTGAACATGTCCGTGTCCATGTCTTTCGAGGCGGCATTGACACCTTCGACGGAACGTCCACCGCCCAAAAGACCGCCGAGGAGCCCGCCCCCGCCGAGAAGTCCGCCGAGAAGGCCTGGGAGAAAATGATATTCAATATGTCACTTTTTAATGAAAATTTGAGATTTTTAATTTTCAATTAAAATTCGAGACATTTTTAATTAAAAGTCCACACATCCCATTTGAAAATTAAGTTCCACATGTCTGGTTTTTATTTTTTTTAATTCGACATCTTCTCAAATCCAGATGTCGCTTATTGAATTAAAAAATTGAGATGTCTCACTAATTAAATCTTAGATGACTCGCTTCCAATTAAAATTCGAAATTTCTAAATCTCGTCTTTATGAAAATTCTAGATGTCCCCCTACTAATCGAAATTTGAGATGTCCCTTTCTGAATTAAATAAAATCAA